GTCATGGCTCTGCTCCGCAGTATAACATCGGCTTGATTAAGCATTACTTTCCTTCTAGACAGCTACGTTCTCAAAACTCTGGCTTACTAATTGTTACTCCTAGGGTTAAAACAAAGTGGGGGGAACGAACCTTCGCTCATGCTGGGCCTTCGTTATGGAATACTCTCCCTCAATGGGTTAAGAATAGCAGTTCTGCTGAGGTGTTAAAAAACAATCTTAAGAAATATCTGTTTAATTTAGCTTATAATTGATTACCATTACCTTTCATGTCTGTACCTTTCCTATCGCACTTTGTATAAATGTATCATGTATGTATTTCATCTTTTGCACAAGCTGCGCCTTGAGCATTTGACTGTCAAGTGGATTTGGCGCCTTATAAATCATATGTATTATTATTATTATTATTAAAGGTCACAGAGGTCAATTTTTAGCCTTGCGATTGCGATATCTCATGATTCATAGAGATGTAGGGTTCGAACCTATAGGATATGAACCATCATTGGAAGACAATCTGATTACTGCTTTTTAGGTAAGCAGGTCAATGGTCGAAGGTCGGAGGTCAATGTATGATATTACAGGTTTTATCATCGCGAAATGGTATTAGCCTCAATCTTGGTGATGGTGTATATCACCATATAGGAAGACGGTTTCATTAGATAAGTCATAGGTCAAAGGTCACAAAGGTCAATTTCAGAAATTAAAGGTTTTTATATAGCCTTGCTCCCGCAATATCTAAACGCGACAGTATTACTTTAATATTATAGTCGTCCGTTTTTATTGATTTTTCTATTTTATTGATTATTCATTTGCTTATTTATTTCTTCATGATCTTTTTCCAAAACTGAATTACAACATTAATCATGATGATAAACAAATTCTATAATCAATACATCAGCAACGTAGTTACATTGTAATATTAACATAAGATAATCATGAAAATATTGGCCTTTTGTTTTCATCTTGATATGTCACAAATAATTCTATCCATTTCCTTCACTGAATTAAATGCGGAGGCATGTTATAGGCGACGCAATCGTATATGTCTCGTTAGTTTCTTGGATCAACGCTGTATTTCTTCTCAATATGACAGGTATAATACCCACAAACCTTAGTGATGTCTCTTGCTGTAAAGTCTGAGTAGAATAAAGATCTATTCAACCTAGTCAACCTTGTGCAAATCTGAACTCCTGGGCCTTATTCCAGTCTCATCTCGTTAAAAATACTGAAAAAGTACGATGATAGACATTATAGAACCATGTTCTTAAAAGAACTTGGTAACATTGTTCAGATGAGAGAAAATAGTGCTAAGGTAGTGACTTCAATGCTAGATGTACAATTAAAGACAATCTGAAAGTTTGAGTGAAAACAGACCATTATTAATTATAAAAATTGGGGAAAACTGATCTGATCAATTTTTTAATTCTCCCAACTATATCGTTACAATTTAATTACATTTTGGGTGAATTTAAATCATATTTAAGTGGTGAAAGATTTTTAAAAGCCTGTTTTGTGTCTTATTTTCATGGAAAAACTGTTGGGAAAATTCAAAAAAGGGTTGGGAGAATTAACTGTTGGAGGGTGTCGCGCAGTGACACCTTCGAAGAAAACCATAAATATCTTTGTGGTTTGAGAATTTGTTCATGATTTCTTGCGTATTGAGGGTTAGTAGAGAAGAAGGAATATAATACCCCAGTAAGTAACATTTCATACAAAAATTATGCAACTTTTTTCATCAACCTTCAACGATGTTACCGAGTCACTTTAAAGAGATTGATTTTTTAATTATCCAACACATGATATCAAAAGAGACTCACCTCTTCTCCCGCGACACAATAAAGTTTTTCTATTTACTCAAAGCTCGCTCGCATTTATCTAATTATGTAACCTTAAAGGCCCACTGCACTACTTGTAGCTACTTACGCCCTCTTACAACAAACAATGTCTAATCGGTGACCATTGGTCCCCCATAATCCTCTTTTTCTTAATATGTTAACTGAGAGCTGAGTTGATAAGATAACCACCTGCATGTCCAGTGACCTTGCAGGGCGCTCTTATCCCTTCTGTAAACTATGGCAGATAAGCTTTAAAGGTTTTATTCATACTTTCTTTTATGTGACATTTTGCTTAATAACCCACCAATGCGACATCACATGAGTTGTTAGAATTTTTTCTCGCCCGCTCCGTTCGTTCACAATGTACTATTTTTAGTTACATTTTAATATTATTGTCTTTTGTGCAGTATTCTTGTTCTTTGTAAATTCAATTTAGCTGCTATAGGCTGCCATGTACAATGTTTTGTTATATTATACCAAAATGAATAAAATAGATAAATAAATATTTATGAATCTTCATTCATATTTATGACCGTCATATACAACTGGAAAGTATAATGCTGAAGTAGCATGTCCTATCTTTAACCACGAAAAGATAGAAACAATAATGTTGAAGATTGTAATTAATAAAGTATTATTTAAAATGAAGGATTGTATGCCATGCAATGTTTCTAAATTATATATGCGACGTTTTCTTTCTTGGATCAACTCTGTATTTCTTGCCATTATGACTTAAAACTTAAGATGAACTTTAATAGTATTGCTTTGAGGGTATCATTATTTTGTAGGTCACCCATTTTTCAACAACAAGAAGGTCCCGTTTCTTACCCCCCCCCCCCCCCCACCCCCCACTTTTTCGCCCCTTCACGGTCTTCCCAAAGCCCTTGCAAAATTCTGATCCAAATTGGAGATGGAAATTATTACGTCTACCCCCATTTTGTTGTGATCATATCGTCCTTGTTTTCACGAACTGACGGTAGTGAGGAAAATCGTAACGCAAAGTGAAGGCAATTTTTTTTCACTACCGTCACTTTGTGAAAAACAGCGACGATATTATGCACCACCACCCATAGACGATGCCTCTGTTTGTAAACAACAGGGTATGAAGCCATAGACTAATAGTCGAAGGTATATTGTCCTTTAGAAACGATGTTTGTTGTCGGCTAAGCAATGTGGATACTTCGTTTAATACTCACTTTGATTGACTACAATGGAAATGGAGGGAGAAATCTCTCACGCCAATGTGCGCGTGAGGGTTCGATCCCGCCTTACCAGCATCCTCATGCGCAATCTGACGTTTTTGCTCATGCCTCCGCACACCGATATATTAGATTTTGGAGTAACAAGGTGGTTAATATGTGAAAAGACAAAAGTCATAGAGGTTATTACTGAAGTTCTAGATAATAAATACAGTGTATAAGCCTTGTTATCGCGATGAACCGTGTACTATTATGAGGCTCAAGCTAAAGCGATAATTATGTATCGAAGATGATCTGATCGGACTTTGGGTAAAAAGGTCACAGAGGTCGATTTATGAAATTACAGGATTTAGCCTCGCGAGTATCTCAAAAACCGCTAGAGAATTGGGGTTCAAAGTGATAGTATGTAACATCATTGGAAGACTATAACTGATTAGATTTTTGGTAAGTAAGTCAATGGTCAAAGGTCAGAGGTCAATTTATGAAATTACAGATTTTAGCCTCAATCTTGGTGATAACATAATTACCATAGGAAGACATTATCATAAGATAAGTTATATGTCAAAGGTCGCAGAGATAAATTCAGATGCAGGTTATTAGCCTTTCCCCCGCAATATCTAAGCGTGACAGTATAGGCCTACTTAAGCCGTCAGTTGACACTGATTATAGGCTTTTTGTTTTCATCGTGCGCGATTATGTCAAAAATAATTCTATCCATTTCCTATAATAAATTAAATACGGAGGCATAGGAAACGCAATCGTATTTGTCTTGTTAGTTTCTTGGATCAACACTGTATTTCTTCCCATTATGATTGGTAAAAAATCAATACTCCTAAGATTTAAGATAAATTGTAATAAATATGAAGAAAACAAAAGACAGAAAATAAAAAGTGTTTTACTTATTTATGTTTATATTTTATCAGTTGTTTAGTTAGTTTAGTTTGTCAGCACTTAAATGTATGCATTATTCTTATCTGACGAGTTTTGTTCTTTTAGGACATATTCATAAGCTACTCATGAGGGACCTTAAATCCACAAGCCTTGCTTTCAACCAAGGTCACCTCATCTTTCTTTTGTAACGCCATATTCTGTAAACTTGTTATATTCATGTCATATTTGTAAAGTGTGTTATGAAAGAAAGATAAATAAAACTTGAAACTTGAAACTTGAAGTGTTTGCACTGAAATGGAAGAGTCTTTAAACGTCCGATGCTCCTGCTCCTATTCCAAGGAAATTTTAGATAGTGTTTTGACATAATCAGTCACAATCGCATCAGAACTGACTCATGAATATCAACAATAAAGGCATAGGGTTAAAGCATATATATATTTCTTCGTTGGCGAAGCAACATGTTTAGGGTAAAGTCATTTCATAATACGGTTCCGTTTCATATCAGTAATGAGATAGTTCCTATAGATACGGGGTCGGTATGTCTGTCGGTTCAAAAGAAAATTTGTCTTGTTAATCATCGAACAAATGATATCAAAAGAGAAGTTAATGTAGGTATGTGTGCATTTTCTTCGTAATAATATAAGGCTATTCAACATCTCACTATATAGGAAAGTTTTTCAGACGTCCCTGAACCATCAGCGACCCTACTCAGTCGTCGCTTGTATACGGAATGAGCACTCATCACGTAGATCCAGTTCTGTGGGGCACGCACGCACATTTGTATACAGTTGTCATGGCAGTAAAGATTACGTAATGCAATCATTAAATGTAAATAATGACATTATTGCGATCAAAAAGTTGCTACTTCGAGAATACTTTCACAACTAAGGTATTGAAATGTATCGAAGAGAATGTGAAATATACTTGAATTTCAGAATTAAGAGTGAAATACTACATGAAACATAATAGCGTAAATGGAGGATGGACGTAAAATCGTAAACAAACTGCTGCATGCATAAGATGCTCATACGCGCGCGTTCGTCTGCGCTGCTGAGCTGATCTGATCGAGCTATAGCCAGCAGCACGTTCGCAAAACCACAGTTCCAAGGGAAAAAAGTAAATGAGACTGGCCAGGAAAACGCAAATGACGGCGCCAGAATGTGATATTTTGACCAATCAACAGGATATTCAACTTTCTGGATTTAAAATTTACAAGCTTTAATAGGTACTTCGCCGGAGCAATGTTATTATTGTTTTAATTTTGCGTTTCATTTGACGGGGATAATTTTGGAAAGTCGGGTTGGCTCTTCGTGCATACAGCTTATTCTAGCCGCATCGATCCCCAGAGCTCGGGGTAGCTCAGCACGGGAGTGGGGACGTCAGTAAACCAGGCAAGCTGAGGCATCGGCCGACAGCCATCCCATCGCAATGTTTTATTCAGTCAGCTTCTTTCTTTTTATTCATTATCACGGCACACTTGTGACCCCGATGATTTGAACAGTAGTTTGTAAGACTAGATTATGCAGTAATAAGATATTGTGTTTTATTTTCTCTGCCACACAGCTCAGTGTTGATAAAAACGGAACGATGCCGTAGTCGGTGGCGAAGATGCCCCCATCATCGCCGTGAGCGGCGACCACCCCCAGAAACTCTCCTTGGCTTTTGTTTTTTATCATCGAGATGGCTGTCATTTTGCATGAAAGCACTTTTATATGGACCAAGGAGTACAACTTCAGACCCGGAGTTACTCCAAATAACACTGACAACAACATGAACTATTTATTAAACATTTGAAACAAGAGAATTGGAATCTTGCACAGAGAAAATATTCTGCTAGCCAGTGCAAAATGGCTAGCAAAAGTGAGTGGAAGGAAAACCAGTTGATGGTGAGTATTAAACTGCTCTCAATTTTGTATCATTTTCACTTCTGCACTGCTGCACACCTAAACATTTCACAACCCATTTTCTCCTTTTCCTTTTTCCTTTTAATATCTCAGTTAAGGCTTTGTTTGTTGTATGACAAGCAATGACTAGGCCTAATCACGGTAGTCTTATTGCCATCAATGCCATTTACCTACTGTTCATATTCTACTCACCACCCGATTGGTGAAACAATAGACCGAAGGATTCAGGGATGATTTCACTTTGTTGATTCGTAAGAAATACTATACCTATCTGAAAGTTATATATTGCATGTCTGTAATTTGCCGCTGGCACTCAAAATTAAAGCCTGAACTATTGTCTTGAAGTAGCTGATGCAGATCCAAAATTGATGCTGATCCAAAAATTTTAATTTATTGAATTTTCTCTAAAAAAAAAAGAAAAAAAAAGTTATAGGGTATAAAAAGAAAAAAAAGAAAAAAAGAGGAAGGAAAGGGGATAGAAAGAGAAAGAATCCTAAAAATGGTCATTTATGACATGAAATTGTACATAGATCTATGTATAAATAATTCATAAAGTAGTGTGTGGCAAAAATAGTCAACTGTGACTGATTGCCAAACAAAAACAAATCAAGAAGAAGAAGAAGAAGAAGCAGCTTTCATACAGCCCTCTGACTGTACATGTACAGTACATTTAGCTTCATCTGGTTTTCATCTGGAGTACAGAATGTACAGTACATGCTTTTATTATTTTGATACCATTATGAGCTGAGAGCATATTGGATTGAAAAAGAGCCCTTAAATTAAATAACTGCTAAAACCATGACTTGTTTATCCTGAGGGGTAAAGTATCTTTTCCCCTTTATACATGTACATATTTACCTCTTGTGCCTTTAACACCCTTTTTTTGTAATTTTGTTCATCTTATTTTAGTTACAGATTGCTGTATTGTTAAACATTGACTAAACTAAATCATATACAGTATGAAACAATACATGTTATATTACCGTACTACATTGCACCTTAACAATTATTTTGTGAATTATTTCTTGGTTATAAGACAAGTAAATTATTCACATTTGGCTTCCACACTAGACGGAAAATCAAATTGAAGTGAGAAAATTACAAAAAAATCTAAAAAAAATCATAGGCCTACCCATAGATATTGAAATAGTTCAATAACTAAGATGAAATAGACATTGAAATAGTTCTGTATGAAACTACTTCTAAATTAATTTTCATTGTCTTGATGACATAATGTGCATTTCTATCTTCCAAATTACCAAGCTCTTAAATTTTTATTAGATGAAAACATTTAAGTCCTGCCACAGCAAAGTAGTAACATAGAGAGTCGTAAACTCTTTCTGTTTGTGGACCAGTATAAACAAATGATTGTGTTGTATGATTCAACTTTTGCTATGCATTATGAATAAAGTTAAAAATAATACTTTGCTTTGTTTTTTTTTCTATGACAAAGGTTGCCCTTCGGATCCGGCCGTTGACTCCTATGGAAGCTGAGAGAGGCTCCAATCTTGTGGCTCACGCAGTGGAAGATAGTGTAAGTAGCAGAAGAAAAGAAAGAAGAAAAGAAAGAAGAAAAAAAACATTCTAACCTTGATCATACTCTGCTCAGAGCCAGAAGGGCATTAATTTTTAATATCGTGTCATACACAATGACCTTCTGGTGCTCAACAGATGATATACATGTAAATGTACTCAGGCCTTAAATTTCAGTATTTTTAGGGCAAGGCCACTTTTCTGTAGGGCACATTCCTACATGTATATTACAGCACAAATAGGAAGAATTGGAAAGGGCACAAAAAATCTCCAAGGCCAATGAGAGGGGCATTGAGGCCAATCAAAGGGGCATCCACGGCCACGGCCTTGGATTAATTTAAAGCCCTGTGTACTCTTGTTTCTGCAATCATTTCCTGTGACATGAGTTAACCATAGGGTTATTACAATTATTTTTCATTTCCTGTGCTATGCCTGCATTTTTTGAGAAATTGCATTTATTGTTGATTTTGTAGGATTCATAAAATGTGTGCTCACCGATTAATATTTTGTTTTATGGTAGTGTACATTTGCTATGTTTGCATACTTTGGTGAAACAAACACTCTTTGCCAAGGGTATCCAAAGGAAATACAGATAATTTGTATCCCTTAAAGTAGGCTTAATATCAGATACATCATTGAATTAGCCACTTTTACGATGTTATCTGGTACATTTATCATGGAGTAAAGGCGATACATTTTTATTTAATGTACACATTATGGGTTGAATCCTCAACCACATGTTAAGTATGTGAATCTGCATGATGATTGCACACAGAGAAAGAAAATGTTATCAAAATTACTGATGTTTGTCTTTATGTGCAGAAAACCACACAACATACATGTATCTTTGTAAAGTTATAAACAGAGTAGTCTGACAGTTTAGCCCAGCCCATAATTTTGTGCTCTGTAAACACTGTTACAGAGTGAAAAATCTTCACAGTGTCACCAAGTTTCCAAACATTTATGTGTCACCAAAAAAAAATGATAAGACAAGTTTTAACCAGAGTTTCTCTTCTGGGTTCATCTTGTGGAAACAATTACTTTTTCAAGGGTATCAGACTTCACAATTCATGTGCTCTTTTTTTATGTTAAAAAACAACAAGTTTACATGTATAGTAAAACTTTATTTCAATAAGTTTATAATAACTGATAAAACAAAAATGGAATATTAAAACTGCCTAGATAGCATAAAAAGGGTTGGAAAGGCCAATACTGATTTATTGAAAGCCACATGAAATTAATTTTGTTTTAGAGTACATGATGACAAATTAATATATAAAATATTGTTCATAAAATTTGACATTTAGTCTGTGCTTATTACAAGTTAGCTGTGCTGTTCACGATAAGGTTTATCAGTCATTCACACTGCACTTTATTGCCGAAAGCTTTTCTAATCAAATATTCAATATTGAATGGCATATATCATAGATGGATTTTGATGCACATGTGATCACTATGACTACTGTACACCATGATCAGTGGAATGTCAGAGGTTTATAGAATGCAGATTGATTGATTGGATTTCCTATTCATCAGGAGGTCTGTACAAGCACTTTGGATTTGGAGCTTGAGACTGTATAAATACTAAAAGCAAACTAAAAGGGGGATTTTTCTCTCATTTTGCTTTACCTTGTACATGTACCGGTACCTGTATTTGTTTTGTACAAATACGCAAATGTACATGTAGGAAGTCCAGATAACACTTTTCATTTCTTCCACTTTATTTCTAAATCCTTTTGGCTTTGTGTCAGTAATTATATGTACGATACTTCAAAAAATTATTGAAATTTAGGGAAATAAAATAAAAATTTAATATGAAAATTTAGCAATGAGCAATTACTATTCAATTTTTTTTCAGGACTTTTCAGCAAAATGAGATATATATTAAAATGTTGCCAATTTGCATGTATTGAAAGTTCAAATATACATGTACATGTACCTGATTTACCTGATATGTACTGTACTATGATTAATCTTTTAAGGCTTCTAAGCAAAAATGAAGTTTAAGAAAGTTGAAGTTTATAACTTGCATGCAGAGAAACGGGAACAAACCGTGTTTAGTACTTAGCAAGAGATATATAACTTGATTTTAAAAAATGAGTAAAAAAAACTCTTCCTGTATTGATTTATGAAGTTTTTGTCCATGTATGATGATAGTCACATTGTCCCTATTTTCCTAAAGCCAATAAACCCAATGATCTTCCTCTTATCCCACCTTGCTTTCCACATCACATGATGAAGCTCGTTTGTGACTTTTTTTTGTCTGAATTGTTGACAACATTGGGTCCTTGAGGCTTGAGCTCATTGTACCAAAGCCCCCCTACGGTTGGTGATCAATAGAGCTTTCATTTACAGCAGGTAGTAGGCAGCCCCATTCAAGTTTGACCTAGCCCATGTCTCAATCCCACTGATTAATCCAGGGTGAAACACAATGGGTAAGTTGCCTTCTTAGCCAGCCATTGAATTCCTGAGGTTAGAAGGGGAAGGCTTCCTCGAATCCACGTACTTCTTGAAGGACATCCATGAATTAATAATATCCAGAACAAGGATGATAAAACCACTGAAGATAGAATAAAAAAGATATTGAGTGAACTATAAACAGTACACGTAGAAGAGTTCCATGACTTTTTAGTGCACAAGGCCTATATAATATTGTCATCTAACTGGAAACCTTCAACAGTTGAAAATGCAATAAAACTAACTTGAACAGTTTATCATGACTGTCAAGAACTTATATGGTTTCTAACCATTTAAAAAACAAAAAGCTAAATGATTTTTACCCTACAGTTTTCAACAGTGTTTCTCCATCTGTACATACTGTACATACACAGTATGAAGTTTTTTTAAGGTTACTGAAAACAGAGCTAATAAAGATATTTGCTACTTTTGAAAAGATTGATTTATTTTGTTTGAGCCCTTGAAACTGAAAATAGATTCACATAGAATTCAATTTTGGGAGAGTACATGTACAGGTTTAATATTTCATAGTTCTGTAACTCCTTTTAAGTGGAATACTAGGCTACTTGAATATGGAAATTAATTGAGAAGGATATCATATGGACAGTATAGAATAATGATGTGGTCTGTATTATTAAAGCAGCATTGCCACATACTTTTTTGAAGAATAAGAAAATGAAGGAGAAGAAGAAGAAGCGGAAGAAAGGGAGGAAGAGCCACATACAGTGTAAGAAGAGGAAGAAAGAGAAGAAGGAGAAGAAAGAGAAGAAGAAGGAAAAAGGGAGAAGAAGGAAGAAAAAAAAAGAGAAGAAGATGATGACATGAAAGATAAATGTTTTTTGTGGGGTCAGTATTAACAGGGTAGCCAATGTGCCCTGGACTGACTTAAGAAACAAATTTGTCGGCCATTTTGCTGTGGTCAGTCAATAAGTCCTTACAACACGTGAATGGAATGTCATTGATTTTACCCGATCCTCATCTTGTCCAGCTCTATAGACCTGAATGGTCAGCACTGGTCAGCACTGGTCAGCCCTGGTCAGTAGAATGAGTGATGCCCGTTAGCCAATCGATTGTGGATCACTAGGTAACAATGACACAGGCCTTTCATCCTTTTTAATCAAGTATGAAAATAGCTCTAGGCTGCCATGTCAATTCAATGCAGAGATGTAGAAAACAAGTACAGATGGCCGTGAACAAATCGCTTTTGTATAATTGGTATTACAGCGCGTTAGTTTTGTGCATGTCAATTTGGTGGTTTTGCCATTACTACTTAATTATTCATGCCTGTGTCATTATTTTGTCCCTGGATTTGCAAATATTGGTATTTGTTTCTAGGCTTAAATATAGCATTACATGTACGCCATTTCATGAAACTAGCTATGAATATGTCATTCACTTTGTTCTTATGTTGTATTCCTGTCATGAGTAGATGTAAACATGTTTTAAAAAATTGAGAACCAAAGAAATATTTAGTGACTTCCAAGTTCCAGCTTATGATTCATTGTGTATCATTTTACATTTTAAATGCTTATTAGTATCATGGTATCAATCTTGTTTTAAACTTTTACTAGCATTATTGACTAATAATGAGTCACAAGGTAATTTTTAATGGCTGTATAAATAATATGTAAATGAGTCACTGGAGACCACTGATCAGTCACTTTTGCTAATGAGTTCATTATCATGCAATTTCGAACGGTGTAACTGTTCATCAAAATGTAATTTCATTTTTTTAACATTTGTAATGCTCTTGATGATGAAATGCTCTTGGGTATGATCAACATTAAACAATCACTGTAATATGACAAGAAATGCTAATACTTGTACAAAGAAAAATAATTTTAAACTGTTGATTTTCAGATTTGACTGAAGTGCATTGCATGATGAATGTCTATATAAAAAAAAAAGCTCTATATGACCTAATGTACTGTATATAATCTCTGACAGTTTTTTCTCATATTTTTGTGGTAGTTTTTATGGTATTTGTTGGTTTGCGACTTACCGGTAATTTTTTTGTTACTACAAAACGAATGAATTTGCAAGGTGTACATGTACATTAATTGTAAAGATATTGTTTGTGATGATCATACATATACATTGACGTCACAATTTATTAATATCCATCAACTACAAGAATTACATCTCACCCAAGGTAGAACGAACAAGACGGGGCCATGACCAACAATTCTATATCAACAAAGTCAGGACGGACGCATACGCTTACTCATTCTTCCCAAGGACAGTTAGGGACTGGAACAGTCTTTCTCCCTCAATTGTAGCCCAACCTTCCTTAAATACGTTGAAATCTGCGCTTAAAACCAACTTAAAACCAGCACCTTAAGTTGGTGGCCGCACACAACGACACACCTCCAGTTTAAACACCTTTACGGCGTCTTTTGGAGGAATCCTACCAAGTACCAAGTACCAAGTACCAAGTGATTGAAAAAATATATTTATCATACAATTTTGTGCAAGGATGATTGATCGATGGCCATTTTAATTTGTTTGATGAAAATTAGATGCAAAGAAGAATTTGTTGTTGTTGAATTGAATCCATTGAATATGAATTACCAAAGAGACACAGAGAGAGGAAGAAAGAGGTGGACTAGATGGGGGAGGGGGAGGCAGAGACAGAAAGAGAAGGGGGTGAAATCTACACATGTGCATGTACACTGTACATGTATAATATGGTAACTGTCATGAAAACAATGAGAAATGAGTAAATAAGAAAAGCAGGTTGATTAGCACAATATTTTTTGTCTCTTATCTTTTTTCATTCAAATGCCTGGTATGCATATTTATTGTACATGTAAATCTGAATAGTGTAGTGTTAATCTTGCATTTTGTCCAAATTAATTCGTTATCGTCAAGCTTCAAGCTTCTTTTACAGCTACATGTATAGGTCTACACTATTTACCTTTTCACCTTTGCTGGGACTAATTCAAATATATACAAAGCATCGTTGTCTCTTATCTTTTGTTTGTGCATGCATCAAGTATTGCTCTTCAGTAATTGCTCTTCAGCGTTCATTTGTCTCTTATCTTTTGTGTGTACATGCCTGGGGTGATACTCTATTTTTGAAGTACATCTGTACTCTATGCAGAATAATTGATTCTTTTGGACAAGTAGTTGATTCGGCATATTCTCTGGAAGAGAGCCAGAAAGATGTTAATACCCTGACTTTGAGCAGACAGTGTTACATTTATTTTGGATGAATGGTTGCAGCTTCAAGCCTGAACCCAACTCTATACCTAGCCCTAACCCTAAACCTACATGTACATGTACATGTAACTTCAAATCCAATAGTAACCCTAACCCTATATTTTGATGAAATACATGTAAATCCCAGAGCAATTGCTGCCAGAGCAAATATGGGATCACGGATGAACACAATTTGTTTTTTACTACCATGCATTAGCACTTAAAGGGATAGTTGAGTTCTATTTTCAGATCGTAAATGCCTTCAAAGTTCATGGTTATTGCTCTTTTCTTATCTATGACATTTTTAGTGCCCTTTTAGAACCTAAAATTGCTATAAGATAATTTTAGACCCCAAAATATGTGAAATTTAGCCAATACGATCATACCAATTCAGCTCCACTTTCAAAAAAACAAGGTGACCGTTAATTAATTATTCAATCAAAAATAACAATACATGAGCCGGCTAGTTGTGGGTAATATAAGCAACACGAAAAGGCCAACAAAAAAGCCAACATCGTCATTGGCTTAAAAAAGACGTGCAAGGCGTTATGTCATTTTTTCAACGGTTTTTTTCAAATTTTTCAAAATATCTAATATTTGTGGTGGTACACAAGTATTAGAAATCGTTATATTTCAGCCGTCTCTGAACCGATTTTGATCAAACAAAGATGATTTTGTCATTTAAATATTATGTTCTTTCAAATTTGACACTCAGTTTTTCATTATCTCACAAAAAAAATTATTTTGTGTAGCGCCCTCTGCAACAGAACTCAACTATCCGGGAGGAGAGTCGCAAAGATTGGTAGGTGTCTGACCAAAGTTTGCATTTACACTGCAAAAATTGGTGAAACTTCAGCAGGCGGTTAAAAATACCACACTCCAGAGGTGGATTTTTCTATTGTGATTTTTTTTTGTGTGTGTTTGCCGGAAGCAACTAACGGCGAAACCCCGGGATGTGAACAAAATTTGACATTTTGTTGTTGCAGTGTAATTACAGGTAATGTGAATAAGAATATTGTAGACTAAACCGACTTTATTTCTCATCTCTTATCCACAGATTGTTATCTTGAGAGATCCGACAGATGACCCAGATGATGTCCTCAGGGCCAAGAGATCCAGAGAGAGGCACTATGTCTTTGACAGGGCGTTTGATGAAACTAGTACACAGGTATGGCGCTTTGTCATTTGTCCCTATCGTCAGTGGCGTAGCCAGGCTGTCATACGCCCCCAATCAATCCCCCCCCCCCCCAAAAAAAAAAAAAAAAAAAAAAAAAAAAATGAAAAATGAATAATGAAAAATGAAAAAATGAAAGATGAAAAAGCGTTTAAAAAAATGAATTTGAGTATAGATCAGTGGCTCTCCCTTCCTAATGCTAATATGATAACCCCCTTCAAAATCTTGACCCACTGACACTATGCCACTGCCTAGAGCTACACATGTACCCTACCACCCTTGATGTTGATGAAAGTATTCAATATTTTAAGATCTTCATGTAAATGTATGTACACTGTAGAATGGCAATATGCTCATACACCAGCATACAATGTAGCTGACAATTATTCCAATTGGAGGAATTATTCCTATGTTTGGGACTTTCAAGTTATTGTTTTAAACCTTATTATATTCCTCTCTTTTTCTAAATTATTCTGTGTGAAAAGTAAACAAGATAGACTAAATCTTAATTTTGCTTTGAGAAATTTCTAACTTTTGCCATGAAAGATTGGCAGGTATGCACCAGTCATGCCACCAAACCGACTGAAAACAGAATGTGGCTTTTTGATGTAATGTAACTTTTAGTTCAGTCTGTTGTCAAGTGGATTCGTGAGACTGCAGTATATGAAATTTTCAAACATTGTGTGACTGACAAAGTTTTGTTTTCTACATGTGAGTTCTTGCATTCTACATTTTTGTAGTCTATAGAAATATGATCTAATAAATTCATCTACGACAGAGCGAAAGTAATAAACAGTGTAACAGATGTTTGGCGCTCCAGGGCAATATTAGGCACATGTAGAAAACTAGAAATGGTATTTATTCAGTACACAGCTTGAAGTGAATTCAACTGGAGTTTTAAGTAATTTTCCTTTCCCAAACAAGGATAATGGAAAATTTGCACAAGAGAGCAAATATGGTGTTTATTATGTTAGGCAACAGGTTTTTATATTTTACCTTTTTGATCATAGATGCATTTACAGCGAGTAAGAACTGATAAGTGGATTGATAGAGTAATTGGTAAAACGTCTGCTCCGCATCTGTGACTTTGTCAATATGTATAACCTAGATTAAAGATTGATTGGATAAACATAAGCCAGTTATTTAAATCAATTTTTCCTTCATTTTAACTTCTTTCAATTTTGATGTAATACTTTGAGGGAATGCATAAAATCCAGAAAGTACCTTTTATCCATATTATATATTTTAGTTCATTGAATGGATAAGTACTAATCCACTTTTGCCTTCCAATAATCCAAACCCTTTTAATGTAAATGGCATTCATTTGGAAATGGTAAAAAAACAGCAGTCTGAAAGCTCTGTACCTTGAAACCAGTGTACATGTAATAGAGCAATATTTCAGGAAGGATTAAAAAACGGGGGAAAAGAGGTTAATGTAGTGGACGATGAAAGCCTGTAATGAAAAGGAGATTGGATAAAAAAAGCTCTGTTCCACATCTGTGACTCTGTCAATATGTACATTGCAGACTGATGATGGAATGGGCAAACATCGAAGAAGGAAAAAAAAAATCGACAATTTTATTATCCTTTGGTTAGAGCTACTTGTATATTTAGGGAGGGATATTAATTAATTTTGAAAATTCTGTAATGCAGTAATCCACCGTTGCGTAGAAAACAGCAGCTATAAAGTGGACCTCTATGTGTTAAACGTGAACAGAGTTACTAGTTATTATACAACATCCATTTATTCATATTGAAGAGCTGTCAACTCTCCATTGGTTTCCATAGTTACCAAACAAACAAAAAGTCATCCTCACTTTTCAATCAAACAGAGTATAGAGTGAATATAATGAATCATTCACATAAAGATCATCACAGTTTTTATCGATCTCCTCCTGAATAAATATGTTGGAGGAAGGTTGCTATGGACACAGCTGGCGAGATGGAGAGGCATCGTGATGATAGAATGGAGTCTGTTAATCATTAATTTCCCAAATCCATTCTTTTTTCCAAAAAATTATAATGGCATGGGGAAAACGTGATACAGGATGATCATGAATAACTGAGGGGGTTCAGAAAGGGAAATTATACAAGTTCTGATGCTGACTACAGTAAGAAATATATGCCTTTTTGTCCAAAAAATTTTTTTTTTTGAGAAGAGAGAAATTCAAGGTTGCAATTGACAGCAGAACACTCTTAATTTAAAAAAAGAGAGAATATCAATTTGAAACCTTGACTTGTATATTGCCTATCATCTCTCTAAAATTTAGTTCCGTTTTATAATGAAATTTCTAAATTTGGCAGCTAATTTTCTCAATGAACAGATCTGGAGGGTGCAATGTTTATGTACTGTATTTTCTCTGTCTTTTGACCTTGCATCCAGCAATGGGGCATTGTTGTACAGTAGCATTACATTATCTAATCTTAAAACAAAACAAACAAAACAAAACAAAACTTTATTTAATTTCTCTTCCACCACCCATCTCATTATTTTTTTCACTTCTTTGTTGCCTTTACACTTCTGTCATTTGGCCGATTATTATTATTATTATTTTATTTGGCAAAGCAAAGTGTATACAAAAGATTTACATAGAAGAACAAATCATACAAAACAAAGGATGAAAATCATTTTTTTGGTTTTAATTATCGTGACTTCCATGAGCATTTACAAGTTGCCAGGAATGGGGCTGGCAAACTGAATCACCAGAAGGTCCCCCTTTCATTTTTGTCCTCTTTTCAACATGAAGTTTTCTTTTGTTCTCGTAATCTTCTCGCTTCACAAACACAAATGCTATCTTCGTCTGCACATCACTTTGTATCCCAAGTAAACATTATTCATAATGAATTCTAAATTTAGGTATTAAATCTGAACCACAACCTTTGCTGGCAGAGAGAACATATTGTATTTCTCCATCATAATGTGCACTGAAGGTCTCATTTGTTGCACTATATTTGTTTTACTGAATTAATCCATGGTGATTGACAATGTACATGCATATATCCGTTCATTAATGAAAGAAAACCATCCGGGGGTAGGCTTTATCAAGTTGCCTATTCAAACTATCTGTTCTACTTCACTGGAGCAATGCATTTAAAAAATCTTTATTTAAGATAGAAAACAAAAAGAAAAGATAGTTTGCCACACTTCAAAAAAAAGATTAATTTCATTTTTTACACTGATGAATGATTACATTTTGATCGATACATGCATTTCGGTACCTGTGAATGGATAGGAAACAAAAAGAAGAGATAATTTGCCACACTTCAACAAAAATAAAATTGTCATTTTTTTTTACACTGATGAATGATAACGTTTTGATCGATGCATGTATTCTGGTACCTGAATGCTCCTCCTATTCATACTCAAACCCATGTTATACCTGACAGAGTACTTTACATTTTCCCCTTTAAAAATTAGGAAAAGAGGAAACAAAAACCAAAGTTTCCAGTTGATACAATTTCTATACCGATCATTTGCCATTGTATCATATATGACAAGTACATCAATTTGAAATTGATTGATAACAGTTAATCAATATGATTTCTGTCATGAAACATTTACACTCTGTATGTACCTATTATTCTTTCACTTTCTAATATTGGCTATTGAATTCATGCAATCATAAAATACAGCGGTATTGATTGGTTTTAATTGCCAGCAACCTAGAGCCCCTAACTCGTTTTTATCTGCTGCCTTTGTAGTATCACATTTTAATCAAGTTGATTGCAAGTCAGCAGTGCGTTTGTCTGGCTCGGCTCTGTTGCCATGGAGATACTGCAAATATTACCACGTCTAGATAGAGGTATTGTTTCAGGATGGTATTGAATTGGTTGGATGAAAAAGGATGACAACTCCAAGGGATAGAAGATGTGATGATGAAAGTGTTTGAGTGCTCCACTGGAGCCTATCCTCGATGCCAGAGCGGAAATTAAATGGTTTATTCATACCAGCATGCCAATAGTATTATTGCTGTCTGGGCAATTATAGCTAATGGCATAAATTAAACTAAATGAAATCTTTTGACAAAAGAAGCAAATCTACTAGTCCAGTAGAAGTTATATAAGAGTAATTTGTAAAGGCCTTTTTCATTCCTTTGAAATAAATTTCATAGAGGTTTTCTTGGTATCCTTGTCAGAATAGTTTTTTGTCTTCTATTGCACAATTTGTTTGGAACCAATGAAATTGTGTCCTATCAAGATTTTTCTTTTATTTATTTGTATTTTCAGGCAGAGGTCTATGACGTAACAACCAAGGACCTCATACAGCGTGTGACAGAGGGATACAATGCTACTGTCTTTGCTTATGGAGCAACAGGTACAAAAACTTTAACAACTTTTATTTTTATTTTTACTTTCCTTGTATCCACCAGAGTGTATTCAATCTATTGCGATTCCCGTCTTTGATGTATGAAAAATACTGTTCCTTTAAATCAGTGTAATAATTATTTGTACATGTAGTTAACACGAGCTCCTGTGGATTTGTTTCTTTCAAGGATCGTATGGATTCTACACTGTCAGATATACATACCGGTATTTGTTTCATTCCAGACTATATTACTGTAAAATACCTCTATTGTATGTTCTTTTGGCTGCCGTATGGACATTTTTGTGTGTATTTATGAAGTTCTTGCTTAGGAAATATGTACATGTAGAACAAGGTGAATGAAATATAAATTCCAAAATTGATCATTGATAAGAAACAATTTTTCTCATTAGAATAGATTGATAATGCACTCTGGTCTACAAAATATGAAACTGTGTTCTCCACTAGCATTACATACATGTATAAGGTACATAAACACAACAAAATATACAATTCAACAGGAACTATTCAAATGAAGAAAACAAATTCTTGTGCATTAAATTTTGTTTAGTAGAATTTGTATTTGTTCCTTGCTAATTGTTTTCTCCTAGAATGATGCTTATCAATAATGAAAAGATTATTATGACCCAGTTTTAATAGAAACCAAATTTAAACCATCACTCAGACTCAGCAAACATAAATGAAAGCAATTGAAAAAAAAATTATAACCAGATCCTTAGATTGTCCATTCAAGATCTGCCTGTGAAATTGAATTTCAAAAGCATTTTGCTACCACGCTCTTGTCCATTATTGAAACATGTATCCTTGGTCGCTGTTAAATCACCTGTTAAAAATCGATGGAAGGTTTGGAGGGATACGAAAAGGCCGCCTTCATCGCCCTCTTTTCATGCCAGCGTGTTATTGCTCAAATCAGGCATGAGCTAATCACACCAATTCCACATGTTGTTATCTTCCACCTCTGTCTCTTTCTCTTTCTCCCCTCTCCCCCCCCCCCCTCTCTCTCTCTCTTTCTCCTTTCTTCCCCCTCTCTCCCCCTCACTCTCTCTCTCTTTCTCCTTTCTTCCCCCTCTCTCTCTCTCTCTCTCTGTACATACATGTACAGTATATCTCTCTTTCTCTCTTCCTCTGCCTTTCTATTTTTTCTTGAGCTCATTAAAAGGATGTGTGTATCCCGTCTCCTTATACATGTATCTCCTCTTCAATTCTTCCTTGCCCCTCTTTCTACTCCACTTTAACCTCATCTTTTCTCTCCTGTCCTCTCCTCTCCTTTCCTTCCTCTCTAATTAGTCTATCCCTGTGTCCTCAACTCTCCTTTGTCCTGCATCTTCTCTCAGCTCCTCTCATTTTCCTTTTTTTAATCTCTTTCCTCTGAACTCTTTCATCTTTCATCTTCATCTTGTATTTTCTTGTCTTCTCTCTTGATCTCCTCTTTCTTCTCTCATTTCTTGTCTTTTTTCTATTTATTTTATCCTGTCATCTCCTCTGGTCTTGTCATCTCTCTTCTCTCTTCAACTACTCTCCTCTCTTCTCTCTTTCTTTTTCCTTCATCCCTAGCTCTCATTATTTCCTCTATTCATCTTCTGTCCGCCTGTATTTTTTCTTCATTCCTCCCCAATCTCTCTCCATCCCCCCTCTCTCTCCATCCCCTCTTTCTCTCACTCTCTCTCTCTCTCTCTCTCTCTCTTACTCTCTCTCTCATATTCTGTGGATTATGATTAATGTGGGGGTGTATTAATGACGTCTGTGAATCACATAACACCTGCTAGCACCTAGTTAACATTCTCCCGAGAATGTTGGTATCATGAGAGGCAGGTGGAGATGTATTGTTGCAAACCGAAGATTAGTCGCTGAATGATTTTATCATACTCGGTGAATACTGAATACGTCTTGAGCGAGCGGATGTTTCGCCAATAATTTGATGGATTGCTTGTTTCCCCGCTTTTTCTTTTAAATTGAAATCATATCCTCAAGAATGAGTGGGCGGTCAACATGATATTATATACCTGTAGTCCACCTGCGGTGAGAAGGAACAATTCTTAAAGATTGTTAATCCTTCTGCATGTTTTCATTTTTAAAATAAAAAAAATGGATGACTTAAAGAAAATGCTTGTTATTAGTCTTTTTTTGTTGGTGATAGTTGCTGATTTTCTTCTCAAGAAATATATCAAAAGAATATGGTGCATTATTTGAAAGTAGCCTTTCTTGGATGACATGTCACTCGAACTAGATAAATAGGCAAATTAAAGAAAATTAAGTTTTCAATTGATGCATGAAGTCATTGTATCGTGCCTGCTCTTTTAAATCTTGACTGATTGAAACATATCAAATAATCAATCTAAATATGTTCCATGAGCATGTCTCAAACTTCCTCATAAGTAGGGCTGTCAGACTCAATGAATCATAAAACTTTTAGGAAAAGTTATGTTTGCATTCCTCATAGTTTTTCTCTGGTATAGAGGTCATCTCGCAACTTCAATTGACCTTGATTGATTGCACAAATCATCTTGCATGATTGTAATTCATTCTCCATGGTTTAAGTAGAATGATGAATATTTATGGTTTAAGAAAAAGCAGGTGATTTTTATCTTTTTAAATTGTACACCTGCGTCATACAAACACTCTGACGAACGATTTGTGACGTACATGTACACACCAATATGCGTGCTACAAGTAAAATAACAAGTACCAGTCAGATTTGTCATTTCTTAAAAAATCATCATCTTTATTGTACACATCTTTATGAAAAGAATATGTGCGTGATACATGCCATGTTTCTCAAATAACAATTTTAATATTCATAATTTATGTCTGACGAACGCTCTGTGGCGTACACACCAATATGAGTGCTACAGGTAAAACAAAAAATACCAGTCAGATTTGTCAATACTTAAAAAATCATTTTGATTGTATATCTTTACAAAAAGAATATATGTGCATGATACATGCCATGTTTCAATAATAACAATACTATGATTTCATGATTTTTTTCCTGATGATAGGATAACTATCATAGTAAATATGTGTAAATGGGGGTGGGGAGTCTGCTTGTTTTAAAGCTTGATAGCTTTTTGAAGATGTTTTGTTTTCTTAATTTCTTTATTAGTTTTCTTGACAAGATCTTGTATTTCTGTGTCCATATTTGTGAACCCTCTCTGGACCCTCAAAATTTAAACTTTTATACAGATTTACATTATTAAAATGCTTACAGACCAGGGAATAATTTTCCTCAAATTTTTTGATTAGCAATTTCAGCCGATGGATAAATATTTCAAATGCAATTCTGTACATTTCTATGGAAGAAAACTGCTACACAAAAGATATTTTGTGTAGCAGTCATGCGAAAATGCATAGCAAATTGCGATGCGATACCAGGAAAATTATTCCCTGCAGACCCTAACATTTCAAATTGCAACCCCTGAGAAAAAAAACAGTAGCATGGAAATCGGATGAATATCGTGATAGTAATAATGAAGGTGATGATGATGATGATGATGATGATGATGATGATGATGATGATGATGATGATGATGATGATGATGATGATGATGATGATGATGATGATTATGTTTATGATTATGATTTTGATTTTGATTATGATTGTGATAATCTTTATGCTAAGCTATGATTTTGATTATGATTAGAATTTTGATTTTGATTATGGTTATGATTATGATTATGACTGACTATGATGATGATCATATTTTTAATTAGGATTAAGGCTATGATTATGATTATAATTATGACTGTGATTATGACTGTGACTACGACTGATCATAATTATAATTTTAACCCCTGTATGATTATGAATAAATGATTATGGTTATGATTATGTTCATGGTCATTATTTTGTTTATGTTTAAAATTTTTGATATGATTATGATTATAATAAGTCTTTATTTCTCTCCCTCTCCTCTCATTGTGATTGTACAGGTGCTGGTAAGACGTACACCATGCTTGGTACGGACGATGAGCCAGGTATCATGGCTAGAGCTCTCAATCATCTCTTCACTGAGATGGAATCTAAGAAAGAAGAGAAGGTCTTCTCTGTCACCATGTCATACCTGGAGGTGAGAAACTTGATTCAATAATTCCTTTTACTATAAGCTGTTCTAGTTCTTTCATGAGGTATTACAGTCAAACCTGCTTAAGTGACCACATATCTATAATTAAAACATGTACTAAAGGAACCTGTCTACAAAGACCACCTGAAGACAAAGATCCCTTCTTGTTTTCCCTCGGGAGGTCACTATAGACAGGTTCCGAAATTTCAGCTACATACACAGATGAGTTGGCAACATGTGCAAGTATTTAACGTACATGTAAAGTAGTCTGTTTGAATTATGACGGAAACAACAGCTTGCACAAATTTCTGTGACCCTGTTATCTGCAAATATATCTGAATATTAAATATCAGCTCATACACTGGGTAGTGATAAAATAAAATTAGTAAACTCCTACTTGAAGTAGGGAATTCCATTTCTCAGAATTTAATTAAGTACGTTTTAATCATTTACACCTAAAAAAATGGACTGTGAAGCGAAATCAGTCTACACTGTCATGCACAAGTATCGTGTAAGAAGCCTTTCAACAAACTCTCTTGAAGAATTAGGATATGTAGGAATTAGAGGATGTTTTTGCCCACATTGTCTCAGGCATGTTTAAATATTTATAATATCTAATTATTGATATCCCTGTTTCAAAGGAACTTTGTCATGAATAAGAAAGTTTTGGTAAAATTCAGCTCTGTACAATATATCCTAAACAACAGATCAAGGGTGATTTTTCGATGTTCCTGGTAAGAATATTATTTTGCTCCTGTTTTAGGTGTCTCCAAGCCAACAAGTAGGGAGAGAAGATAAAGCATTACCTCCTCGATCATGTACTATTATTGAATATTCACGTCATATTCATGGTGTTTATTCACTTGTAGATCTACAATGAGATGATCCGAGATCTCCTGTACCCATCGTCAGGTTTCTTAGATTTAAGAGAGGATGCATCGGGTAATGTTCAAGTAGCTGGTATCCAACAGATCTCAACCACTTCCACAACAGAGGTAAGAAATTCACTTGAATTATCAAAAAACATTTTGCCTTATCTGTTTAGGATCCGTGCCAGTATACTTTATTAAAAATGTTAGCTTCTAATATTACTTCTGTGAAGTGAAATTTTAGTATTTTTTTATTAAGATACACTCTTAATGGAGGTAAAAGCGCTTACGAGTAGGCTCACAAACAATCATGCAACCATATTCTGATGTGGGTTCTGTGTGCAGAGTTTTATTGTTTCACTTTAATAATCTGATCATAATTACCATCACTATAGCCACAATCATCACCATCTTAACCATTATTTCCATAATCATAAATAATAATTGGTTCATTATCGTTGGACATCAGGCTTACTTATTTCAGCATTATTTTGACCATTGTCACTATTTTGTTGTCAGTTCTGTCATTAAAAAAGAACTATACTACTGGATATTTATGTTAACTTTCTATTTTATAACTTTAAACCATGTAAAATATATTATATTATTCAATATTGGAATATATATCTGATTTCTTGTCAAAATCACTGTTCTGTTGGAAATGAAAAATAAAAGTGAGAGTGAAAATAAATCATCATTATCTGGTGATCTGAATTTCTAATGAGATCATGTTTCTGATAATATCGACAGATCATGAACCTGCTGATGCGAGGCAACAAGGAGCGTACCCAGGAGCCGACGGCAGCCAACAAGACCTCCTCCCGCTCCCATGCCGTTCTCCAGGTGACGGTCAAGGAGCAGAGCAGGATCCGTGGCACCGGCCAGCAGATCAAGATTGGAAAGCTCTTTATGATCGACCTGGCCGGGTCAGAGAGGGCCTCTCAGACCAAGGTTGGTAGTCTCTTGGATAGGATGTTGAATGAAGATCGTGTGTGTGTGTGTGTGTGTGTGTAGGAGGACGGCTACGGCTTGTCCATGTGAAGCATTGTGTTTTATGTAGAGAGTAGGGCAAAGGGATGAAAAAAAATGTTTAAATGTCCATCTACATACTTCAGCACTGGGGGTCACAGAATTATTTTGTTTTGCACCTACTTGACAAAGTGGACTGCCAATTAATTAGAATCTGATTTAGTGACTGATAAATGAATATCCATGACAAACATGAAACATTCTCATTTACTGTCGAACATTCTTGTAACATATCGGTTATATCATTAATTGATATACCTACAGATCCAGGATTTGTTTATCAGCAAATCTATGTAGCATATAATAACCGAATATTGTAATATGTTAGATAAACGGATTAGGAGTTGTACCTGTGTTTATCATGCATTAAATTTGTCCTTGCTTTGTTTGGAACAACTTGTGCTTTAATATTCTGTATTCTTTTACAAGTAAACCTCAACTGTGATGCAACACCTCTTTATTATGATATCATTTTACTTTCCCCCTTATTAGAATCGTGGCAAGCGGATGATAGAGGGCGCTCACATCAACCGCTCGCTGCTGGCTCTGGGCAACTGCATCAACGCCCTGTGTCTGGGGGGCAAGTACGTCAACTACCGCGACAGCAAACTGACCAGACTGCTCAAGGACTCGCTGGGTGGGAACTGCTACACTGTCATGATAGCCAACATCAGCCCTGCGGACTACCTGTTTGAGGAGTCTAAGAACACACTGCTGTATGCTGATAGAGCCAAGAAAATCAAACTAAAGGTAGCGCAACTAGTCCTAAAACTTGCCATAATAATAATAAATAATAATAAAATCCGTGCTTATAAAGCGCTTACCACAAAGTCTCTAAGCGCTATAACGAACAAAATATAATTACATATTAAACATAACAAAAGAGTGCAAATAAACCTACAAATATACATCAATGTGAACAGAGTAAGTTAATCATCAAAGGCAATTTTGAATAAATGTGTTTTAAGACAATTTTTGACAAACTTGATCCTCTACATGTGGGAATTATAACTAGGAATAACTGAAAAGTTAATATTTGCTTTATGCTTTTTTTTCAAAGACTTTTAATTTTTACATATTAATTTGATATCTACTCTATGATATAATGAACATTTCTCTTCTGGACAGCCAGTAACTTGCTTGTGCTATTGACTTAAGGTTCCTTACTTTTCCCAGAGATAAGCCCTTTCATCAGATAATGTTTTTGTTCTACCCATATATAGTAAATAAATACTTTGTGGGAATGAAAATTCTATGAGATACAGTATGTATAATTTTGACTCACTTGTCATAAGACCCAAATGTCATTGACTCTTGAGATTATTCACTTGCCCATAGAAATTACTCGGGTCAATATTTGCAAAAGTTCCCAAAGATGTTATCATTCATGACTAGGAGAGGACCTAAAGCCGTCGGTCCTCTGGTTGCTTACTAACAAGCATTTATGTTTTCTTAACAGTCAGGTAAAATACCACCACTAAACCACTATGTGAATGTGGTGTATTTGAATGTATTTGTTATGCATTCTAATTACATTTTTTTATTGCAGGTCAAGCCAAACCAGATGAATGTGAACTACCACATTGCCCAGTACACTAACATCATCACAGAGTTGAAGCAGGAGATAGAGAGACTGAAAGGCAAGATAGCTGACCGTCAGACAGATGCTCTCAAAGCACAAACCTCTCATTGTGAGTATATCCATTTCTTTTGTTTATCTGTCACACTGAAGTATGGGCAAATAGGACGTATGCAATTTTATAAATGTTTACTGTCATATCTATCTCGCAAACCTTCAGAAGAACATTGTAAACAATATTAGATGTATGATTCATGTACATAATGTCAGTGATATCAAGTTGTGCAAAAGTGATCTCTAAAATATACAATTTAATATGACATTGGTGTTTGAATTGGTATTTAGATTACCTTGAACAATTAAAATAATTCATAACTTTTTTTTTGAGGGGAGGTGGGGGGGGGGGGGAGAAAGGGATGGTGGGGGAAGGGATGGTGGGAGAAGGGGTAGATAACTCCATTCAAGTCTAACATTTTCTTCATGTGATTTTGTACATTTGGAGCTATCAAAATGTTTTCCCCATGTGAAATGCAAAATGCAGAAGACATTTTTTGTGCTTTCTGTATGTGGAATTTATGGTCCTTTATATGATTACTCAATATGTAAAGGGAAACCTATCCATAAAGACCACCCAAGGGGGACAAGAAAAGTGGTCTTTATAGGCAGGTGGTCTTTATGCACAGGTTCTTTTAGTACATGTTTCAATAAGAATCCAATTCAAGGGAAACACAAATGTGGTCTTTGTAGACAGGGGGTCTTTCTATACAGGTCGTCACTACAGCAGGTTTGACTGTATATATGTGTAAAACTAATTGAGCTATGGTCTTGTTTTTCTCCGTGTAGCTGGACCTGAGTTGTCGGCCACCCAGCAGAGCAGAGAGGAGATGGATCATCTTAGACACCAGCTGATCAGTAACTTTCAAACCCAGATGGATATCAGACAGAAACTGATGAATGTTGAACAGGATACATGGGAGTTATCACTAGAAGCTGAAAGATACCAGGCCGTCTTAGCTGAGTAAGTATATATTGTGCTGTCGGAGGGTGGGGGGGGGGGGGGGGTTGATAAGGGAAAGAGTAAGGATAGAACATGATTGATAAATTTCAGACTCAGATGGATATCAGACAGAAACTGATGAATGTTGAACAGGATACATGGGAGTTATCACTAGAAGCTGAAAGATACCAGGCCGTCTTAGCTGAGTAAGTTCTTCCATAGTGATATGAGGATGAGAGGAGAAGGGGGTTAAGGGGGAAGGGTGATCAGTAACTGTCGAAATCCAAAAAGATATGAGAGAGGAACTTTAAGTGTATTGGAGTTATCACTGGAAGCTTACTTGTTTTGAAGGATAAACAGGTCATTGTGAGATCGAGGATTGCATGTCAACAAAGAGACAGAGATGAAAAAAGAATAAAACTCTAAAAAGAAAGGTCAAGACCATACATATATATATATTGAGAAGACTGCAATCAAATATATGAGAAAGAGTATGAGAATAATCCAGAATGTGTAACCTATGTGTATGAAAAGAGAGAAAAAAATGTTGCATTATGAAATATCTAATATATTCTTTTTGTTCTCTTCTTCTTGAAGTTTTGAACAGGATAGATTGAGGCAGCATGCTCCCAGTAAGCTGAGAGGAGTGACCAGTAGTATGGGAGTGGACATGGATAACAGGGACAAAGGTAAGTGAGATTATTGGTCTGGATCCCAGTGATTGTAATAATGCTTTTAACTGATGATGAGTCAGTGGGTATTGTCACGTTAAATTCTAAATAGCACATTCCATTTAAGAAAAATACATTTAAAAGAGTTTAAAAAGTTGGATTTTTATATATAAAAGTGCGAGAATTCTCTGACATGACAACGGGTGTTCCAGAATATGTAGGCGTGAAGAAAATGGTCTAGGAACGTAAGAGGTAGCTGTACTATACAATTTTATTACGAGCTTTCGGCTTGTGAGACCTTCTTCAGGTTCTGAAGTGCAAACACATACAGAAACAAATACATCGTAAGAACAAATGTACATGGCATACAAACTTAATATTACTCAATAATAGTCAAGCATCATGAACATAGCACAAATTAGAACGAGAAATACTTTCGGAATAAACTTAGAAATGATTATGCAATTTTAAAGTGTTTTACCTTGCTTGTGTGTTGGGCTGTCGGTGTGTTTATTCAGTTGATGTGATATATGTGAACGTGTAATAAGGGATGTGCGGTCAAGTGTGGATTACTGACCTGTGACACGGATGTTACTGATCTATGACACAGCCGGTGTCATGACCTGTGTCTAGGGAGGGGAGAGGGAGGAGGATAGAAGGCTTCATTCAAATACATTGGAGTGTACGCAGTCCGATAGGTAGCAGTATATTGACTCTACATTGTATAACAAATGCAAGGATAAATGCAAGAATAAAACATGAGAAACAAAGACTAAAAATAAAATTAAAATTAAGATCGAATATCTGCATTGAGGCAGTTTTTTTATCATATGATCAAAAGTTTAAGTGCGTCTGATATGTCGGTGTGTTAATTGCCTTATTGATCAACATTGATCCCATCTGGGTGTAGGGTTTTAAGTTTTGATATCCAAAAAACATTCTCTGTGGAGGATTGTGTGGCGTGATTTGTTGTGGATTCATTCGATTCCGGTGATTTGAACATTGTCTAGTGAGTGGGACGGAAGGTTGAAGTGTTCTGTGTATGGTAGTATTTTGTGTTGTGTTGCCGAGGGGAAGTTCTTTATTTCGGATCGTGTGTTGTTGAACCGTGTGTATAGTGTAGTTTCTCTTTTGCCAACATATTGTTTGTTGCATTGAGTGCAGGTGATGAGATATATCACCCGACTGGATTTGCATTTGATGTGTGAGGTTATGGGGTATTCTTGGTTAGTCACTGTGCTTCTGAAATTGGAAGTGTTTGTTATGTGTTAGTAGTTAGTTAGTAATGCTTTAATACATGTGTTTCAGCGTCATCATTCCATTCATATCTTTTTCACCTCAAAATCATCCATGGTTTGCAATGTTGTGTTGATCGAGATGTTTACGCTAGTAGGATTTTGAAACTAGGGCAGAAGACGAGTGAGAATTTGGGAATGATTTGATTTTATGCATTTATATCCCATTTATCCCAACAAACAAAATACATATTTTTGTATTCATTAATAATAAATAAATCTAAAAAAAACGGTTAAAAAAAAAAACTGAACAAAAATGCCGACCGTAGATTTTCAGATTTTGGGGTCGGTCGCAAAGGGCAATACAACAAGTTTTTATTTTAGGCCTTAGGCATGGGGGTCCCGAGTTCCTTTTCGTTTTGGAAGGGGAATGGGTGTCTTGCTTTAACGAGTACGTCCCGTAGCGTGTGCCCTCGTCTGTACAAAGTTGTTGGATGTTTAGGAAAGACGGCTTTGGTTGTATTTCCTTGTTGTAGAAGGGGAAAGTGTTTTTTCTTTATGCCTTGAATCTTGGCAGTGGCGGGGGAGAAGGGTACCGTACAGAAGACGGTGTTCTTGTGTTTTTTCAGAGCGTGGTTTGTATTTAAGTAGTTCCTCTCTGGATTTTTCTTTAGCTCTTTCTATTTGTTGTCTAACCATGTCTGGTCGGTAATTTCAGTCTTCAAAGTTCTGTTGTAGCTGTTTGAGGTGGTGATCTTCACGATTAGGTTTTGAGCAGATTCTTCAAATTCGTAGTGCTTGGCTGTATGGTATGCTTTTTAGGGAGTGGCTAGGGTGGCAGGAGGATGGCAGGAGGTATGTGTGTGAGTCCATAGGTTTGGTGTATAGTTCTGTCTCTATTTGGTTATTCGATAGTTTGAGTGAAACGTCGAGAAAGTGAGTCTTGTCATTAGATGATTCAAATGTGAATTTGATACTGTAGTTGGGTGTATATTGTTCATTTTTTCTTGCAGTTTGGAAAATGTTCTGGGCGAGCCTGTCCAAAGAAAAAAAGGTGTCGTCTATGTACCGTTTCCATGAGTTTGCCAGGGTGGGTGATTGTGTTGTGTTGAGTATTTGTTTCTCTAGGCGGCCCATGAATATATTTGCGTAGGTGGGGGCAACCGGTGTACCCATTGCTGTTCCCTCAATTTGCTTTTTTTTTCTCCATTGAACTGAAAATTATTTAGTGTAAGGATGAGTTCAAGTAATCGTATTAAAGGGATCGTTAAACAATGTTAAATCTGAGATACACAGTCCTTCATGTTATCAGTGTCTGTGATATGGTGAAATATTGAAGCCCTAAAAAAAATCGCGCTTCAAAATGATCAAGAAGTGCCTCAAAAAAGTAAAAATCTTTGAGTGACCGGTTTTATCATACTCGTTTTCCCCAATAGACTGTGTTTTCAAAATTTGTAATTGCAATCATTAATAGCTTGATAATCAGACAGGCGATCGGCTTGTAAAAGTCATGGAGTTCCTGACTGACCTAAAGGTTTATAATTACCATTGCAGCATGAGCTAAATCAAGGATTATTTCTAAAGGATCTAAGACAAAGTTACCGGATCGTATTAATTGAACTGTAGGTGGGTTCTGTTCCTTTCTAGTGTTGAGGGCTTCCCGACAGGCTTCAATGCCTTCTCCGTGTGGTATATTTGTGTACAGAGAAGACCCGTCTGCTGTTGCCAGTATGGTTCTTGGGGAGAGGGGTAAGAGTCTATGTTTATTGCTTGGATGTGGTTCAGAAAGTGTTGTGTCTTTTATGTGGGAGGGCAATTTTCCGGTGAGGGGGCGTAGGTAGAAGTCCAGGTATTTGGAGATCTGTACTGTGGGGCACGAGCAGCCTGAAACACTTGGTCGGCCTGGATTGTTTGGTTTGTGGATTTTTTGAAGAAAGTAGAGGTTGGGGCAGACAGTAGTCTTGGGTATCAGACCTTTTTGTGTCTGTAGGTTTATGTCTAGTTCTTTTACTACTTTTTGAACTTTGTCAAGATGGGATAGAATGGGGGTCCTGTGCCAGTTCTTTGTAAGTGCTTTCGTCTGATAATTGCCGTGCCCCTTCTGACGTTTTATTCTTGCATTTATCCTTGCATTTTCTTCACACCTATATATATATATATAAAAGTGTGAGAATTCTCAACTCTGACATGACAACGGGTGTTCCAGAATATGTAGGCGTGAAGAAAATGGTCTAGGAACGTGAGACGTAGCTGTACTACACAATTTTATTACGAGCTTTCTGCTTGTGAGACCTTCTTCGGGTTCTGAAGTGCAAACACATACAGAAACAAATACATTGTATGAACAAATGTACATGGCATACAAACTTAATATTACTCAATCATAGTCAAGCATCATGAACATAGCAAAAATTAGTACGAGAAATACTTTCGGAATAAACTTAGAAATGATTATGCAATTTCAAGGTGTTTTACCTTGCTTGTGTGTTGGGCTGTCGGTGCTGTGTGTGTGTTTATTCAGTTGATGTGATATACATGTATGTGTATGTGTAATAAGGGATGTGTGGTCAAGTGTGGATTACTGACCTGTGACACTGCTAAATCTACAATTCTACCTCTAATCCTGTTTTCACTTAACAGAGTTAGTCCTAGAGAAGGACCTACAGACAGATAGTAAAGATTGCTTCTTTTCCAAGGCTTCATCTACTTTTCTCTCATGAAACCAAAGTGCATATTGGTGTAGTAAATTGAATAATTATTTCTAAGCCCTGCTTTTGCTGAACAGTATGTGTTCCTGAAAAGAACCTTTAAACCGACAGCAGTGGGTCATACCTGAGAAGAAATCCATTTCTGTGTCATGAAGCCACAGTGAATATTACATCAGAAAAATGAATGAAAATCTTTAACCCTGTTTTCACTAAACAGAACGTGCACTAAAGAAGGACCTTGAGACCGATCACAATGGGTCTCGCATGTACCTGAGGCCGCTCCTACTTCCCTTTCATTTAACCAGGATACATATTAGGCTAGTGACATGAATGATAATATCTAACCCTGTTTTAACTAAAAAAGAACGTGCCCTTGAGAAGGACCTAGAGACAGACAGCATCGGTTCCTACTTCCCTTTCATGAAACCAGGATACATATTAGGCTAGTGAAATGATTGAATATATCTAACCCTGTTTTCACCAAACAGAACGTGCACTAGAGAAGGACCTAGAGACAGACAGTCTTGGTTCCTACTCCCCCGAGGCCGACCCCGAGGAGATCATGACGGCTAGAGATAGTCTCACCACCGCTGTCTTAGCAAGGAAACAGAAGGAGTCAGAGAGAAAGAAGCTTGAGAAATACCTGGAGAATGTGCGCGTAGCTGCCAACAAGCTTGAAGAGGTGAGTTATGTTAGATTAAAGGCATCATTTAACAATGTTAAATCTGAGATGCATGGCCCTATGTGTTATCAGTGTCTGTGATATGGTGTAATATTGAAGCCCTAAAAAAATTGTGCTTCAAAATGATCATGAAGTGCCTCAAAGAGGTAAACAAAATTGAGTGACCGGTTTTACCATACTCATTTTTCCAAATAGACTAGTTTTATAAAAACTGTTAGGAAAACAAATTCTGAAATTTCTAATTTCAATCATAGATATCTTGATAATCAGACAGGCAATTGGCTTGTGAAAGTCATGGGATTCATGTATGACCTAAAGGTTTATAATTATGATTGCGAAATGAGCTAAATCCAGGTTTTTTTTAGAATCTGAGGCAAAGATACCTAATCCCTTTAAGAAAAAAGAATATAAAGTGATAACTTTTAAATACCCTGTTATCCTGTATGCAGGGGATTGCACTGAGACTTGTAAGTTGAATTAAAATGTACATTGTATTGTACACTTAAATGCTCCAAAATTCTTAGGTGATGTGAATGTTAGGCTTCCTGGGATTAATTTAAATTTGTAAAGAAATTTTGGCTTGCACCCAGTCAATAAAGATTGCATGCTTGATCTTGTAAGTAAAAATACTAGGTAATATGTCCATTATTATTCACATCTCAAGAATAATGATGTGTGAAGAAAAGCTCACAGCATGTTCATTAATGGATATTTGTATTAAATGATAATATGCAAAGTACATGTATATCTGTACATGTTTAAATGCTTCCTTTTCATATTCCTTCACTGTTGATACAGATTTTGACCACAATGTAAAATTATACTGTGAAGTAGTGTGCACAGAATATTTAACGTCAATATCTCTTGCGTTTATTATCTATTCAGGTACTTCCAAGGAAGATAACTAGTGAGGAGCAGAGAGAGTTGCTTGAGATGCTCTGCAAGGTTCATGAGCTGGAGATTGAGAGTATCCTTTTCATCAGCAAATTTATTCAAAACTTTTGCTGTTTTGGGGTTATATATTCAACATTTGATTAGTGAATTAGTCTTTGTTTTTCACCATATCATCGACAACAGCTAGACACTAATTGTATTGCCTTTCAAAATTTGAAATGAAAATAAATTTGGAAGCTGTGCTTAGGTTTCCATTTTTAATAATTATTCAATGAGATACTTTTCTAACACAATACTGCAATTTTCCATAAGTATCATTCTCATCAATTCAAGTAAGGACACATAACAGATAGCTAGGATAAACAAATTCAAATACCAATATTAGAAAAGGCAATGTTTTTTTGGTTTGTACAGATGTTTTCGCGGATTACAAGGGCACAAACATTTTTGCAAGTTGTTAAGGACTCCATAATTAACATCAGATTACAAAGATAACATGTTCATATATGTGTTGCCAGCTCATAATAATAATAATAATAATAATAATAATATGTCTTGTTTACCCAGGGTAGCCTCATCAGTATTCATACTGTTCTCCCTGAGGGCCCTGCAATCATATTCACATGTTTTTAAATTTGTAGCCCTAAAATAATTTAAGAAGTTCATGAGAAGAAAAAAACCTTGTGAAAATGATAGCTCATACATTATTCAGTGTGGTTTGTTTTCCTGAGCCAGAGATTCCTTTCACTTTAGATACTGAGCTGAAATCACGAGCTTTGATGGACAGGCATGTCTGTGAACAGAAAGAGAGTATCATTCTAAGATATGAGAAACACAAGCAGGTCTGTGATCAGATCATCAGTGAACAACGCAGACTCATTACAGGTAAGAATCCTTGCTCTTAACCTCTGCTAGTAGATGTTTGACACTGTGGGGTAGGAAATAATACACATTCATAACAAGTGCTCGTTCTTACATTTTTGCTTGATGATATTGTTTATTCATATTGAAGTTTTGAAATAAGAAACAGAGGGGTTACAGAGAGCTAGCGAGAGTGAGAAACAGCATGAGATGAAGGAGGAGGAGGAGGAGAGGGAGGGAGGGAGAGAGATACAAAACAGAAAAGTAGAGAAAAGGGGGAGGAAGGAGGGGGAGTGGTGCAGGGTACAGTATCAACAGGAAGGGAAGGGAAGGGTGAAGGGGGGGGGGGGATCTTGGGACAATTATTGTGGCAAAACAGAAATAGAGATAGCAGTAGTGCAAACTGGTTTTTGAAAGAAATATGATATAATTTAGAATAGAATAGTATGATATCATAAAGTTACAAGTCATTCAAGTGACCACAGAAAAGTGAGTTAACTTTTAATTTACTGTTTGTAAATGGATGATATTCTTTTGACACTTACACCATCTTCATTTTCAAAAATCCTAATACAGAGCATAGTCTTCCAGTACCCATGGAGCTTGAGGAGCTGTATGATAAGTATGCCATGGGGGTCAATGAGGACTTGTATGAAGACATGCGCGCACACTCATCTATGCATCAGCATCTTAACATGGTAGGCATGACCTTTCACCTCTGACCTTTGAAAGGTTGTATTGTACTACGATTTTTGGACAGTTGTAAAATGGTGAACCAAAATGCACTTATTTGTTGGATTGCTTTCATCCTGAGTTGGTGGGGAATTTCTATAATCTCTTCTCAGAAATTGCTGCTGATATTGTGCACAAAGAAATTAATAAATAGAATTTGAATTGTTGATTTAAAGAACCAGATAGTATATAAACTAATGTAAGTAACAGGACTGGTTTGCGTGGCAGGAGGTTTTTAAGCTGTGAGATTTTTAATATTAGTAATACCCAAATCTAAACCCTTCTTCTGGATACTTGTCTGTTCAAAATGATGTAACAGGCCATGATATTGCACGTTGGACAACAGTGTGTCAACACCAAGTAAATAATAACTGCTATATTGACATGACGGTACATGCACATGTGCTCATGGATGACGTCTGAAAACTTTGTTTACTTTAGGTTGCAAAATCTTCATCAACGTTCAACTTGAAGAAGATGACGGCGAGACAGTTACAGGAAGAGAGGGAAGAAAGCAACTCACCCGAGAAGGAATCGGTAGAGATTAAACAAAGCAAGCAAGCTACCAAGAGACAGCATGCTCATTCTGAAAGGTAAGCTAGCTGGAATAGTATTACCTCATCAAGGCTTGTCGTAGCCACAAATAGCCACACTTCCCATGAGAAATAGAATTTGATGGCAGTATGAGTTAGAGGAAGGCGAGCACAAATACGTAAGAGAGAGAGAGAGAGGGTGAGAGAAAGAGATCCTTAACGAAAGTGCAACTGAGAACAGTGACTTAGAGAACAGAAAAAGGTTGAATGGAGAAAATATTATGGGGATTCTCACGGTGAAACATTAAAAACAAATAAAGGATTTTAAAATTTAAGGTATTGATTGCTTTCAAGATATGAAAACACATGATTTGTGATTGTAAGAATAATTTGATATCTATGTTATTCTCTACTCTTAGTAAACCTGCTGCCTCTGGTCAACCTCGAGTGTTCCAGCCTAGCCCCAGGACCAGGCAGCTGAGAGAGAATGGAGGTCTAGGACCAGCAGGGGGGTCCATCCCTAGGGTGATGGTAGAATCCCCTTACACCCCTCCAATCACCAAACATGAGAGCCTGGTAGACCTCGGCCCCCACAGCACCAAGCACCCTACCAAACGTCCTTACACCCCTCCCAACGGCATCATGACACATCCTGTCAAATCCTTCAAAGAACTTAACCTCAGCGAGTCGGAAGCCGACATTAATCGTAAGGAGATTGTGCACAGGACGAAGAAAATCGCTGCCGTGGCCGCTCGCAAGCGCACATCCCAGAAAGTGAACGACCGATACTCCAGACCGGAGAAACTGAATCTTCATGAGAGAGGGTTCGCATCGATGCGAGCTCTGGAAGAAGTCGCAGAACCCAGAATAACTCAGGATAGCAGACTTGTAAATAGCCGACTTTCCCAGATCAGTAGGATACACTATACAAGTTCTCCGATCGAATCACATGTGAGTGACTTTGATGACACGTCATCGGTGAGATCCTATGACACGAGGTTTCAAGATAATCACAATACTCCCTTGAAGAACAAGCAACAGTCAAGATTTGCAAGGAGTGTGGCAGAGAAAAGACAGAAGAGAGAATCGCTTGACCAGGTTTGTGAAGATTTACTAAATTTGATCACCTTAAAAAATCAGCCAGTGCTTTACAGTGGCCAATTTTAATTTTTCCAGCCCCTAATATTACAGTGACTGTATCATTATTTAGAGGTAAACTGTATCAAGTTTTCAGTATACTGTTTCCCTCAAGGGACCTTTGTAGGTAGATTTTATTGCATGTTTGCATATGTTCCGAGTCATGGCATTTTATCTACATTGTCTCTTTTGGCCCAGGCGTGAAATAAATACCTGTGCCCCGTTGCACAAAACTTTGCCAAGAATGGGTAACTACCATGGAAACCTTGATTTTGATTGGCTGTTGAGCCCTGTTACCATGGAAGTTGCCTTTGATGGCAAAGTTACCATCAATGATAAGTTTTATGCAACGGGCCCTGCTGTTTGCCAATATCGATTGCAGGCATAAAGAGACCTGATTTTAAAGAGTATTATAAAGAGTTACGATTGATCATAAATTTGATCAATACACGATGAGCCATAGACTTACGCTTAAAGAGGCATGTTCCCCGTATTCCAGAGGGCGTTCAAAATACGTACCCGCTGGCGGACGGTGCTAGCTGCCTATTGACACCAACAGAATACGGCTCTTACGCAGATGGCATGTTCCGAATGCCCGGACAATACCGATTATCGCATACATGTGCCGAAGTAATGCCAATCGCAGTTCGGCTCTAAGATTCGGCTGCTGTTTCCGCCCACTTTCGTGACGTCGCGATCGTCAGCGATCAGCTGGCTTGGCGAAGGCAGGCCAGGCCGCGCGTACTTTGATTGACAGCTGTATGCAAATTAGAAGTCGATCTTCGGAACCAAGATGACAATGACTAGAGCAGCGATAACTACACTGGCGGGAATGTGCCACTTTAATAGTAACCTTACAGTCTATTAAAAGGCTTTATAATACATGGTATAATAATGTGTATGCGCTACAAAAACAGTGTATTGATGTACAATTTTACGAACCATTGGTGAATATTAAGCACAAACCAGAGTCACAGTGATATCAATTCCTTGGAAAATGTCATACTGTAATGTATCCTGTATCCATTCTGATCTTACCCATCTCTCTCTCTCTCTCTCTCTATATATATATATACTTGCTATATACTTGTACATGTGTCATAGTCGAGTGGTGTAAGCACATGACTTGAAATGCAAAATTCATGGGTTTAATCCCCGACACGGCACTAATGTCCTTTGGCAAGGCATTAATCTACATTTGCCACTCCATACCCAGGAGACAAATGGGGACCTAATAGGGTGACAAAAGCATTTGTGTTAGTAATTGCCAAATGCCCTCACAGTGATTTTATGGTAGGAATACTCTCCAGGGAGTGGAGATGGTGCTCATTGTGTGGGAATGAATCCAATGACCGGGGTAATAATATTTGTGAAGCGCTTAGAGACGGTATTTTGTATTAAGTGCTATATATATATCCAAATTAGTATTATCATTATTTATTGATTGTCGCTGATTTTTCTCCCAGTTATCCCTGATCCCTAAGCCTGCTGTCAGACGAGGTGGCGCTGTAGCTCAGGTATCCCCCAGGAGGGGCATTCAGCAGTCCACGCCTTTCAGCATCAACGAGGGCAGCAAACCAAACAAGCGTTTTCAAGTCAACCAAGCTGGTAAGACAACTAACTCAAAGACCTCACTTTGTACTTATGCGCAATCATTTTTTAATTTTTTTAAACTTAGTATTTAGATATCTTTACATAGGTGCTCAGTAGAAGAAATAGAATGATAATAGTACTTCATAATAAGCTTCGTAATGTCTGTGTTCCAAAGTGTTAAGTCAATTTCAAAACACAAATGCTCCTTCTTATAAATCATCATGAATAACATACTAGACATTGTATTCATACACAGTAATGTCACTTGTAGGATCATGGCTATATTTCAAAATCTATACAGTTAATCTTGAAAGCTGAAAGTTGCTGTAGATATGCCCCTTTTCATGAGATGTCAATACAAATAATCTAATCTAATCTAATTAATTTAAGCTCCAAAAATCAAATATTGATTTCCTGTGTCATGTTTTACAAGATGTACTAGAATGCTTTTATAATATTGTTTTTATTAATCATGTATTATATTATATCAGGTTAAATTGTTTTGAGTACCAAATAAAATATCATTTGAAAAAAAAATTATACAAAATACAAATAATATTCATGGTCCAAATTCATGAAGGAGGTGTAAACCTCTTCTGTAGATTGGAATAAGTGTACATGTATATCAGCATGTAGGTGTATATTGCCTTGGAATTCTGGCCCAATATCTATATCAGCTTAACCATTCATTTTGTTTTATTTTGTTCTAACCAGGAGAGCAAGACATTGGCACACTGATGGTGAGGAACACCTCACCCCCTGCCACAGTACGACAGATTGGTGCAGACAGGGGCAAAGGCCAAACTCTCGTCAAGAGATACAAAGGTACGACATTATCATCCTCAGTAACATTCTTTTCTTCTTCTTGTTACATTTTGAGTACATACCTCTTTACAGAGTATTATCGTACTATACTGGGGTGTGTGCAGGTGGACCACTACACCGGGGTTTCTCCCTACTCTTATGTGAATAATGCAGTGGGTTCTTAACATGGAAAGGTAGTGACCCTTCTCTACACGGGGCCTCCATTTAACGTCCTATCCAAGGGACGAGTATCTATAACCATGCAAGATTGCGAGATATCAAGTATCTATAACCATGACCAGGTTGTTTGTGCATGTGCTTTGGTTAAAAAAGGAAGAAGTCACCCCCTTCCGAAAAAATTCAATATTGCATCCAGGTTTCCAGGGGCTGAGTACTTATCATAGTCTGCTTGTCTAATGTAACCTGATAACAAGGGAAATGCAAAGGATGTGCATATGATTTTGCATACTCTAAATTAAGAGATTAAAATGCATATAATGTCAATAGTAGAATTTGAAATGTTGATAAATCATTTAGCTTAATATTTGACAATACTTTTGGAGCTAATATTTTTTTTAAAACTTTTTTCGCTGCTCAAATTGTTCTAATATTTTAGAAAGAGGTATCTGTTCTTACTTTGCATTTATCAGTGTTAATTAAAATGTGTTAATAAATTTAAAAAATTGTAATTTTTCTGACACTATTCAATTTTGTTTATCAAAATAACCTAATGTATAAGAAAAAAGTAACTTTTCTGACACTGTATTTATGAGTGATGTTGAATGTATGCATACAACTAAATCCTTATCTTCTCTTTACTTTGCCTAATTCTTCCGCATCTTAGGAGCCCAACCATCCGGTGTAATATCCAACCATGACATCTTCTCCGAACGGACCTCCCCCGTCCCTGCCACCAAACCCTCCAGGGGTCCCCCCGTCAAGCCTGTGGCCATCCCCTCCCAGGTGCGCAGGGGATCTCTCTCTGTGTCCGGGCTGGCTGTACCACGCAAGACCGTCTCCATCGGTAGGAAGCTGTGAGGGAGGTCTGGAGGGAGATGTCTTCAAAGGCTGAAACCCCTTAGCTGTAGTTTGATATGTATTCATGCCGCCATCGTCACTGCCAATGATGAGACATCAAGTTTCATTTCAAGTTCATTTTTATTCAAAACCACACAAAACATGATATAATCTTTGACATAAAAAAGAGACTGGTAATAGTTCATTAATCAACATTAAGTTGATTACATCATAAAGTGAATGGTTTTAGGACCCCTTTAGAGGCTGCCTACGATATACCCAACAGACATTTTGATTTGTTTCTACATCTCCATGACCCATGCAATGACAGGTTTAATTTTTTTGAGAAAACATTGCAAATCGAAAAAGTTCATTCCAAAAACCATATCATTTGTTTCTAGACAACCCACGCATCGACAGGATAATTTGGTTCAAGAAAGAAATTAAAAATACAAATAGCGTGTTCTTGTAGTGCCAGTGGACCACAAAGAATACTTCATAAAAAGACCTTCATGATCTCTATCACTGACATAATCAATTTCAATGGAAAAGGGCTGAATTTGATTTTAAAATTTCAGATCTAAATCTGTACATGTATTTGTTGCAGTCAGATTGAGCACAAAGTATCTTTGACGATTTTGCAGTAAACAAATTTAATGATTGACCATAAATCATCATCATGAATCACATTCAACACCCCTTAAATGGAGTCAATATTGTACGATTACCAACATATATTATTTCGATGCGATCACGGAAATAATACTACCTGTATATTTTCTACAATGTAAATTTGCCTTATATTCACATCCATCATTATGGAAAGAATTATTAATTTGATAAAGAATGTAAAATGTCAGTGTAGTAAATTATAGTACAATGATGTGAATAATGATTTTGCCTTTGAGGCATTAAATTGATAGTATAGCAATACATTAATGCTTCAATTCAATTCTTATCGGAAAATGCCATTGAATGTCATTTATTTAAACATTTACCGGTATTTTATGAGTGGAGCATTTATTAAACTTGCTCTAAGAACAAATAATCGATATATACATGAGGTTGATAATTATTTTATCATTGTTTTGAGGATCACATACAATTTAGATCATCTTTCAAAATTTTCCTAATGATCAGTATTCGTAACTTAGCGAACGAGTCTTTCAAAATTTCCGAGAAATTCTTCTCAGTATGCAGTATGCATTCTTGTCAGTGGCTTAGAACAAATGTGCTTCTTGTTTTATTTCTTTTGGATCTAATGAAGTATCGTGATGAAATCATGTGTATATATTAAACTTTCATGGTGAACACTCTGGATGATGATACAAGTGGTATGAAGTCCTGAGCTTGTGAAGACAACACGAGAAATTCTAATTAAGACATTTTTTAGTTGCCACTTGCCAGTGAGAAAAGTTTATTGGAATGAAATAGTTTATAAAAAATTATAGAATTTTAAATGTTTGAATAGAATCTTCCTGTCTTGTCTTGCCTGTGTGTTTTTGTTGGTTGTCTTTAAAAAAATAAAAAGACAATGAATACCACAAATTGTAGGGATAATGATTCAACATGATTCAGGCTATTATGCTCCAAGTGCTTTGATCACTTTTAACTGGTAAAGCGCTTTTATGAAAAACAGTTATTATAATTATTGTTTAATAACCTTAACAGTTGTTGAAACACAAAAATAGTGGGGGAAAAAACAAATTCTGAAAATAAAATTGATACAGAACAACAGCCGCTTGTGAACACACCTTTGTCAAACAAACAGGAAAGCAAAACTTTACAAAAATAATGTTGACAAAATGATGCTTTTCATTGAACCTTGTTAAGTGGTTTGCAATCATCTGTCTAGATTTGTCAACAATTTTGTTAATTTGCATTTTGAAATACAAGAGGTCTTGAGATCAAGATTTATGAAAGAACTGTAATTATTGATTTTTTCTAAAAAGAAAAATAATACTTCCAAAAATGACTTTATTTTGCTCTCAAAAGATTTAAAATCTTTGCCTGGCAATATTGCCATCATATGCTACAGCAAATGTCTCCAATATTTCTTCCATTTTAATTTTAATTTGTTTCATACACCAAGAGTTGTTATGTGTTAGAATTTTCTGTCTATAATTTTCAAAACAATTGAAGATTGTATCTATTGGATCTCTCCGTTTGAGTAAGTTTAAATCATGCAACAGCAGTAAGGGGGAAATATGTGTAAACGGAAAAGAATTAGTGTTAATGTCTTTTTTTTAATGTGTAGAATTGATGGTATTTGTCAATTTTTTGTATCCATTCACATGTGTTCTTTTTGTTTCTTCCGTTTTCATATTTAATGGTTAAAAGTATCTTTTAAGTCTGTTCATTCCATTTTGCTTTGCAAAAGAACAAAGCGTAATTCCAATTCATTCTGTATACTGGTACTGAAATCACAAGTCTGTATCGTATACTACCGCTTCAAAGAAATCTTTTTTTTTCTCAAAATGTTTCCTTAACTTGTACACTTCAGTCTTTCAGTGTGTCTTCAAAGCTTGTGTTTTATGTGTTTTTATGAATATGCTGGGAAATGTTCAAGTACTACATATGTGAATTAGTACATGTACTTGTATTTACATTCCAAATCTGTGCACATCAGGTGTGTGTAAGAGGTTTGAAAGAATACACAAAGCTGTATTATATCTGCTTATTTTTGCTACCGGTATACATATAATTGTTTTTTTTCCACAATATCAAAGAATAACAGTGAATAGAGACATATTATGACAGACAAGTTTTAGTATATCTTTTTCCACTGCTATTCTTCTTTTGCCATTTTATTCCCAAGAATATCGATATCTACTCCACTTTTGTGTTTTAAGTATATATTATTTCAAAGAATTGTAGGAAGAAACAGGGTAGAGTAAAGACAAATATCTTATCACCTTGTTCAAGGTTTGTAGATGCTTGAAGATGTAGTGTGCTAGAATTTACCAGTAAAAATAAGGAACATACCACACAGTAGGATCTCTGGTCAGCAGTACCTAGATACAGATGAATGTAGCTTTCTTTTGTTAGAAAGGATAAAACATTTTAAAAATTGTACAATAATTCTTTCAAGTAATGACATTTTCTGATTTCCTGTAAACTGTCAGTTTGGTTAGAACATTTTACTTCTTTTGTATTATAATCACGTGTTTGTCTATGCTTTTTTTTCCTTTCCAAAAAAAGCAACATTTTTCCTGGTGCCTTAAAACTATGTCTCCTATTTCTTCTGGTCTAAAACTTCCAAAATTGGTTTCTTCTAATCTGTGATTTTACAATGTGATATAAGATCTGTATAAACTATAGAATGGAGCATTTCTTGTGATAGGTAGCTAGCTCATTGAGTTCACTTTGCTATTTTTTCAGTGCCAAATTGAGTGAAGTTTACTGTTTGTAGTAAGTTTTTTTTTTAAGGGGGTTGCTTTGTGACATGTTTGAAAGAAAACATTGTTTGATTGGAGAATTTCCTTTTGGTTTCTGTGACGCTTCCAGTTTGTTGGATAATTCTACTTTAGCAGCTATTCTATATGGAGTAGAAAATGTTAATTGTACTATTCTATGGATCTATTAGAGAAATGATTGGTACTATTATTTCAATTTTTATTTATTTCCCTGCTGTTTCTGTGACTTCATTTCTCCACTGTCTCTTTTCTTCCTACCTGTTTCATGTTGCTCAAGTAACAGGAAGCTACTTCTATTATCCCTCTTCCTCTCTCTCTCTCTTTTTTTCTCTCACTCCGACCCTCCCTCCATAGCTCGCTCTCTCTTTTATCTCTCTCTCTCTCTCTCTCTCTCTCTCTCTCTCCCTTTCCCTTTCTTTCTTTCTCTTGTTACTATCCCATTCTATCTCTTAATATTTAAACTTTATGATTATATAAAATGTATATTATCATTGTAGACTCTTTTTCAAGCAATTTTTTATTTTATTTGCAACACTAAAAATAAACAATATTTTAAAAGACACAAAATCTAATATTTTATAGATTCATACTAATATTCTCATTTTGAAACTTAAACTGTACTTCAAAAAGATGATCATGCTGTAAAAAATCATGATTATTCCATTTAACGGTAGTAGTCTTGTTTTAAAGATGTAACTATTATCTACAGGCTGAATCTTTGTGAAATAATAATCTTGTAAAAGTAAATCTTTACCTCTTCTCTATCAATGCGTACTAAGCAGTATTAATTAGTATACATATTGTTAGTTTAAATAAAATGAATGAAATATACATTAGTTCAATGTGAAAATGTAAATAATGATGAAATAAAGAAGAGCATTCCATGAAAACTTGGTTTTTGTTAGATGTTCTCCGGCCTGACTGAAACGAGCAGACTTGGTTGATATATTCTAGCATGGTGAAATTAAACACCTTAAGACACATGGATATAGGATTAATTTACAGAGATGGGAAGGTGAAGAGAGAGTGTGTGTGAGAGAGAGAAAGGGGGAGAGGGGGTAGAGAGATGAGAGAGACGAGTGAGATGAGAGAGGGAGAGGGTCGAGAGAGGTGTGTGTGTGTGTGTGTGTGAGAGAGAGAGAGGGGTAGAGAGAGAGAGGGGGTAGAGAGAGAGAGAGAGAGGGAGAGGGTCGAGAGAGGTGTGTGTGTGTGTGTGTGTGTGAGAGAGAGAGATGAAATAGAGAGAGTGGGGAAGAAGTGAAAGAGATTTGCAAGGTGTAATTCCATTGTACAAGAAGACGAAACCAATTGGTATTTTAACATCTACTTCGGATTTCCATTACAGTCATACAAAACAAAACGACGACAAAAGAGAACAAATGGCACTTTTTTTTGGAAGAAAAGTATAATGGGAACAATAGAATAATCCCAAATTGAGCATGATTAAATGGAGAGAAAAAAACTGGGAGAACATTTCATGATTTCCCATGTTATAAACAAAACGGACTTTAGTATGACAGCGTAATGTTCTCCATGTAAGACTGCACCTGCACATTTACTACTCAGTTAATGTCTGCAACCATGGCGACACATTCAATCTTCGGGCTTTATACATATCAGTAATACCTCACTGCTTTTATATTTCCCTATAACAAGTATTAAATCTCGGCTCGTTGCATGGTGCTGGCATAACACTCTCGTTTATGATCACGATATGATTTATTGTCAAGGCGGGGGCGTAAGTAATATCTTCAGATATGTGGTATAGTCTGTAGTGATAACAACTATAATCATCATCATCATGTAATGTGTTATTCCGACTATTTTTTACGATGTCATGGCTACTTGATGTTCAGAACATCCTTGATAAACCAGTCTGTGACGATCCTATGATGACCGTCTGCGTGTCTCTTTATCTTGAATGTCCGGTTGCAGAGCTTTGCCGCCAATTCTGGATAAGGGGCACTCTCGACCCTCTCCAAGACAAGATGGTGGACAACACTGAAAGTAAATGACATGTAAAGAAACGACGAAGCTACCATAAGTATCTGAATAGGACAAAAATATGGGCGGTAGAATAACGAATAGTGGCGAGAGATATATTTAGAATTCATCAATACGTTTATCAGATTATGGCGGTAACAAAAAGTGGGACGGACGGATGTGCAAACATAATACATCGATCGGCACTGCCTAGGAGGAGGCATAACAGATAACGGTGTTTGTTCCTTTGATTTCTTTGAAGCGCGCAGACGGAAACTGTTCTTCGCAGGTCGGTACACAAGAGAGATGAAAACAGAGACAGAGAGGAGAAAAATCGGCAAGTTTTCCGTTGCGTTTCGACACCCGTCTTTGCCACATTCACAAGGGAATATACTATTGATGAAAAAAAAGAAGATTTCATATATTATGTGTATATCGAAAGAAATGGAGTTCGTGGAGATTAATCAGTTTTAAACAAAAACACAATGAAGGATAAAATATATAGGTATTCTGCAAACAGATGGAAAGGTCGTAAACTAGACATACAGTCAGACAGACAAAGTTATTGACATACCCTGGATCGTCATCATTTGTCACAAGCCGAGTGATTTCGGTGAGAAGAGTCTGAATCGCCGCGTAGTATTTACCAGGTTTCCACGAGCACTTCGATATAAAACAGACAATGTATCATAATCAGAACTTGTCAAAACAAGATATTATATAATAAGTATGAAAGTAAACAGATCAATCAAATTGGTTATTTTAAATCCCCATTGCACTACTTTTACTTAAGCCCTCTTTATAGCAAACAATGCCTCATCGGTGACCATTGGTCCCCATGATCCCCTTTTTCTTATGTTAATTATTGAGAGCTGATTTGAGGAAATAACCAACTGAAGGTGACCATGCAGGGAGGTCTAATCCCTCCTGGCCAAACTAGTGCAGAACGTTTTTGTTTTTTTACCTTTCGAAATTCTTGACGTTACTTCTTTCCCTCTGAGTCTTCCCCTTTTTGTTTCCCTTTCTCCGGATCGACAACAAATTTCTCTTCCCTAGGCTCTCTTTTAGATGCAGTTACCCTTTTTGTTGTCTTATTCATTTTGTCAATGTTTTAACAGTTTTCAAAACATCTATAACAACGCATTTAATTGCATTAAAAAGAAAGAAAAACACTGAAAAGAGGGTAATGAAAATATCGGAAATATGGGAACGAAAACCAGAAGGTTAATCTACAATAGCGCTTACAAAATTGAAGAATTGAAGAGAAAGAATAATACACTATCAAGCAATATTGCTTGGATGCATGCATTTTGATGATGATTTGTTTTAATATCCGAAATATAAAGATGATGATTACCAAAGGAAAGCTGGGAATGTCTTCAGTCTTGTATGTTTCTGCTCTTGTGATCACGTGACGTTCATCGTCCCGCCAGCCCAGGATCACACGGGGTATACCAGCGATGTGGTTCTGGGACCAAAACTGAAACAGCTTCTTCCTTTGGGGTTTGAGGACAGGAGTAAATGTATAGCTTTTTCATTTCTTAACCCGTTTACTACTGAATTTCTCTCTTTGCCATAGGCTTATACAGAAATCCCCGGTGCCAGGGGGCAATGGGTTAACTGAAATGAAATACAAAGGTCGCAAAAAATAATAAAACACATCACGTATATAATAGCATTGAAATTGTTGACATCATAATGCTCGGGATCTAAAATTAGTATATAATTCGTATTTAAAAAAGAAAAGGAAAAGATAAACAGAACTAACAGATGACAGTGGAATAAAGATTATTTATATTTATAAGGTAATCAAGAGGAAAAGAACGTTATGGGCGCCTTTGAATGTTTGAAACTGATAATTGGCGCCATACAAGTGATGCAGGTCATCATCATCATATGAACAATTTTTGTGATTAATATCTCCGGAGTACTTCTGCGTTAAAAAAGTAACTTTTAGGTCGTAATCCATTAGTATTGTGTTCTGCATCCATGCAGTTTACTTCTTGAAGAAGAAAAAAATCAACAGAATTGCCGATAAAACAGTGTAAACCTAAGGTATAAAGGATTATGCCTTTATAAACAATCAAGCTTCTAAAATAGACAACCTTAAACACTACATAATACAAATAAAAAGGAATATTTTATTGTATACTGATAAAAATCCTAACCGAAAGAAAGCCTTTGACTGTTGAAGCTCAGTCAATGCGTTGAAGTCTCTGGTAGTCCTGATGTTCACGTAGTTCAGATGATGTAAACCACGATAGGTCGAGGGAATCTCTCTGTTGTCTTTGCTCTCGGCATGGACCTCGACGGCGAACATCAGTTTGAAGTCGCCGCATCGTGCCGCCATGACAGCCTCGTAGGAAAGGTTGTCGTTGATCGGCTGCGTGGTGTCTGGCTTGGCGCCATTTTCTTGAGAGGGAGGTTAAACAAAAAAGGGCCTTCGAACAAACTTAGAAATGGTAAGGGAAAGGATATAGGCCTATTATATTCCATGCTGATTATGACGTTGAAAATAGGTAATCGAAATGGTAAGGAATAAAAGCCAAGTAATCAACCTCTGTCATCATTTACCCCCAAAACACAACCAAAAGCAAATAAATATGGGAGAAATGAAACAGGATAAAACAAGACAATTGTTGCGAAGTTTTATTGTAGATCTTTTTTGCCCTTCAAATTAAACAAAATTTATGAAGCAGAACTTGACCGGAATTCTTAATCAGACCAAACGAGGCACCTCATTTTTAGTTTTTCCCTCGTTTAATTTAATGACAATACATTATAGTTATAGTGCAGTTCATCACTGTCTTCGCCTCTACCCCTTCTTTCTCTCTCTCTATCTCTCTCTCTCGCTCTCTCTCTCTCTCTCTCTCTCTCTCTCTCTCCCTCCTTCTCTCTTCCTCTCTGCATCCACCCAATGTTCACGAACGGTAGTGACGTATCAAGAAGGATGGGGGCGTACCCCCAGCCCTATCTTCTGCTGGATACGCCACTAGTCTCGCACACTCACCGCTTGTGCAATACTGGGCAAACTTTTTCCCGCTGTACACCTGCGTCCCGTCAGGATCGTTTGGATTGTCGTGCCGACCCGGTAGCTCCAGCTGCTCCAGATAGTAAGTTCCTTTGAAGAATGTGACTAGGTACTCCGTCCGATCATTGAGGTGGGCCGATTTGAAGAGGTCGTGCAAAGCGCCTCGCCGGGTGACGAAATCCAACGCCAATCTGTTTGGGCACCATAGGGTTGAATATTGATTAAATCGGTTTGAATTGAACGGGAGGGTGTGGGTGTGGCGTGTGGTGGGGTGCTGACGAATTTTAAAACAATTATCATCGTCTAACAAGACTAGTGGAAAAGGCGGGACATTTTTGACATGCATGTTTCAAAGATGCAAGTGTTTTGATTCTTTTAAAGAAATTTTGTTGAGAATATATAAAGTTACATAGGCTTGTTGTCATTTATCTCCGTGAAGTTGAACACTCCCTTTTAGTTTTATCTTGAAGTTGGTGAGGAAAATGCCCCTTCCTATCCATCTCACCTTCTACAATAATTGTGAAACTCTATATAGTGTTAATGCATTACTGAAGCGGATGGTGAGCCGATAGTGGTCTAATTTCAAATAGAAATCTAATAAGAGATGCAGTGGCGGATCCAGGGGGGGGTTGGGGGGGTTGCAACCCCCCCCCCTTGGGCGGCCCAAAAAAAAAAAAAAAAAAAAAAAGGGAAAAAAAAGAAAAAAAAGAAAAAAAAGAAAGAAAAAAAGAAAGAAAAAAGAACGCACGCTGGAGAGAAACCCTTTCAAGTGCAAATATTGTGAGAAGATATTCAACTCATCTGGTAACTTAACCAAACACATGATAACTCTGGATATAACTATGTATTAAACTGTTACTTGATTTAAAAAGACGTTATCATGCACTGCTTTTTATGGTCTCCATTGTGTTAATAGATGCCAGGAAAACATCACTTACGGGGTTCAAATAAACACCCCCAAAAAAATCGGCTCGCCGCTTCGCGGCTCGTGGACGATGCTCCGCATCGTCATTATTTTGGTCAACCCCCCCCTTAGCAAAAAGCTAGATCCGCCCCTGGAGATGGCTCACAAGATCTTCGGTATTGATGATGATAATCAAAAGGAAGCAAGTAACATACTAGTGATAAAAAGGCCAGATCAATAATTGTTTTCATGCTTCTCTCTCTTACTTTCTCGTTTCCTGCCAATGTTACCCTTCCACTGACCACACCCTGTCCGAAAAAAACAATTCCAATCCACCCTCTATTGATCAACTCAGGCGCGGATCCACGGGGGGGGGGGGGGGGGGGGGGGGGGGGGGGGGGGGGGGGGCGACGGGCCCGGCCCCCCCCCCTGGTTTAAAAAAAAGAAAAAAGTTTTCGGGGTCAAATACAAAAAATGAATTATGCATACTAGCCCCCCCCCCCCCCCCCCCCCCCCACTGAGCGAAATATTGGTAGGCTCGATTTTCACATTTTCGGGGTCATATACCAAAAAAATGATGCTCACTACCCCCCCCCCCCCCCCCCCCTACTGAGCGAGATATTGGTTGGCACGATTTTCACACATTCGAGGTCAATTACGAGAAAAAAATTATGATCACTACCCCCCCCCCCCCCCCCCCCCACTGAGCGAGATATTGGTCGGCGCGATTTTCACATTTTAGGCCCCCCCCCCCCCCCCCCTATCGGCAAATCCTGGATCCGCCCCTGGATCAACTTTGTGACATTAACGATAATTACATTTCATTACAAGATTGAAAAAAAAGGATATATTTCAATGTTATAACTATCTTTATCATTATTTTTTTAAACTAGAAAACCTGCTTTCTGAGGCTTTGAAATGCTAGTTGCACATGAAAAGTTCGACCAATTATGTTAAAGCTAAAATGCTTACGATTACACAACATACTCTCTTTGCCATATTACTGATCTTTTAAAATATTCATTTTCAGTTTTTTTTTTTTTTTTTTTTTTTTTTTTTAAACAACATTCATCTGTTAATTTGGTCTGCCAATTCCAAATGGATAATTTTTTGAGCTTCAGATTAACTTCCAGCCTATATTAAGCAATTTCAATTTCCGGCGAAAAAAGCTTGAAATAGACAAAATAAAAGCCAACCAATATCATGGATAAGTGTTTGGTTCTAATCTTATCTTATACATGCAATTAAAAGTAAACCAAGCGATTCAAAGTAAAATACCTTTTCGAACCATCTGCCTGAATCTCCAAGATCTTCCTTCGTTGAAGGTCATCTTGATGATCCCGCATCCATCTCAACAAAACATCCAACGACTTCACGTCGACACCGTCATCATCATCGCCACGGTTACGATCAACATACTCCGAATGACCTGGGAGGAGGTCAAACTTGGGCCATAGCCCCGGATCGACGAAGAATTTACGATTGCGGTGGTCGTCGCAGTAGTTCCGATTTTCATCAAGAGAGAAATTTCCGAGATGGACGTGTTCAGAGAAGCCCTTTGCCTCATTTTTCCATTTTGTGTCGCTCATAGTTTGGTAATCTTACATCTGCATTTCCTCCAAGAGTTGATTATTCTCCATTTTAAATGCAACCAGGAGATTCGATGACAACATGCAGCTATTAAAAAAGTATGTCAATGTTGTTTGGGTTTGATTGTGTATACAGGGTGCACGCACAGTTCAAAATGGATCGAATGCGATGAAAGACATTGCTAATTCATGAATTTACATCAAGGAATGTTATTTACAGATGGGCGCTCACAATGGATTTGCGCTGCAGTCTCGAAGAAGGTCCAAGTTTATTATTTATCGTGAAGCGCACCAAACCGTCTTCGCACTCTTTCGTATCCTAATGGCACGTAATATTAATCGAGATGGATCTTTAATATGTTGACGATCTCTCTCACATGTTGATGATCTCTCTCTCTTGAATAATTTTACTGAGCGAAGACTTAAAAGGTAAAGGCAAAGAAAGGAAAAGAAAAGTATGAAATTAAATCCTTGAGAGGATTTCAATAATTTATGCAAAATCAGCTGAATACTCGAATTGAACAGGTGAATATATTTAACAGTGTCTTTCAAATACGTATTGGAATGCACCGTGGATCCTCATCAAACAAACGATAGCTTTTGTGATCTAGGCCTTTTTAAATCAGAGACGTTTAAAATACAGTGGCGTACATGTAAACTCGATCCAACCAGTGAGAGGTTAATTGTCAGAGGTACAGGTGGAATTCAAAGATATGCGGGAAATCATGGCCAACAGCTGGGGGAGGGGGAGTGGAAGGGGTGGAAGTAGAACTTTGCTATATTAAATTTGAAAGTGGTGTCCGACAACATTTTCAAAGATATCAAGCAAAATATTAAATAATGACACAGAAAAAAATATATTTTCATATTTATTTGCCGACGCAATGAAAAACTGAGGAATTAGGTCAAACGAGGAGAACAACACCGTGCACCCCCTCTCTCTTTCTTGCAATATATTGGGAGAGTGTGAAGATGTCGTAATTGATCTTCCTTTTTTAACGTTCTTTCCCCTCTCCCTGAAAACTGTCTTTCACTCTCTTATTCTGTCCATCTATCTCTCTCTCTCTCTCTATTTACCATATACCAATCGAAGGAGGATGAGAGCAATTAAACCTCTTGTATCCATACCACTTGATCGCTTTATTCTTCTTCCATAGTAGGCCTACCCAGGGGCGGATCTAGCTTTTTGCTAAGGGGGGGGTTGACCAAAATAATGACGATGCGGAGCATCGTCCACGAGCCGCGAAGCGGCGAGCCGATTTTTGGGGGGGGTGTTTATTTGAACCCCGTAAGTGATGTTTTCCTGGCATCTATTAACACAATGGAGACCATAAAAAGCAGTGCATGATAACGTCTTTTTAAATCAAGTAACAGTTTAATACATAGTTATATCCAGAGTTATCATGTGTTTGGTTAAGTTACCAGATGAGTTGAATATCTTCTCACAATATTTGCACTTGAAAGGGTTTCTCTCCAGCGTGCGTTCTTTTTTCTTTCTTTTTTTCTTTCTTTTTTTTCTTTTTTTTTCCCTTTTTTTTTTTTTTTTTTTTTTTGGGCCGCCCTAGGGGGGGGGTTGCAACCCCCCCAACCCCCCCCCCTGGATCCGCCACTGATGGTAGTAACCCAACGTTGCCAGATCTGGCATAATTTGGCTGTTTATGGCACAATTCTGGCATAATTTGAGCTTTTTTTAAGCATAATTTCAATACATTTTTGAAGTACATGTAGTTATGATGGTAAATCATTCCACTTTTCTATATTGTTTTCTAAGCCGCCGCTAAATATTTCCTAAAAAATCAGACCCCCACCCCGCTATTCAGCGGCTGGCTGAGTTGGCGCAAAATATTTCCTGAAAATTCGATGTCTGGGGGGGGGGGGGGGGGGGGGGGGTGGCATAATTTTTGGCGATGTAGCAAGATAATTTTCTCTGCTCTGCCCTATAGCATAATTGTATTTTTTCCACTGGCTACGCTGACCTTGCCTCCTCCTCACTCACTCGACACTTGTGAATACAAATACTATTCTAGTAGATTCTTAAAAAAATTCTTCAAACATCTGAATCTACACACTTCATGTTACCAAAAAAGCATGCATTATTTGGCCGATCTAGCTGACTTAAAATAATATACACAAATCTAGATCTTAGCCATGACAATTAAACCGAATAGCTTGTATTTTTAAATCTCACATTCATTCATTGCAATCTTGAGTAGATAAGGTCCGTGTACAGTAAACTGTAATCTCAGTGCATCATACAGATCCAGTCGCCATCGACGTCGCTTCACGTCAATCAACAGGCCATGCCAGATTCCGTCAGATTCTTTTTGTTCTCGCTCGCGCGTGCTCGGCCGGGGTCACACTGGCCTGCAGTCAGACCACGCGCGTGCCGTAGCGCGTATGCTAATGAGGCGTACAATCATGGTTGTCGATCCCGGGGGGATGGGGGGGGGGGGGGGGGGGGGGGGGGGGGGGGGGGGGGGGGGGGATATTTTCCCCAATATTTCAGGTGGGGGGGGGGAGGAGGGGGTGGCCTGTACAATCATCCCCCCCCCCCAATAATTCACCATCACACACACACACACACAATTCAGAGAAAAATTAATGATGAGAGCCCGATGAGAGTAGTTAATGGTTATTACTCGCAAGATGACCATCACTATACACATTTTGCTATCTAATTTTCATAATACATACATGTATAAATAGAAAACGAAGTAAATGAGACAACCGTATATGAGACAAGAATAAATTAAATTCTCGCTCATACGGTTTCATCAGGAATTGATGGAATTATTCAATTTATTCAATCAACAGCATCATAGAAATGCAGTGCGCCAAATGCAAAGCCGCAGCTTTAAAAAGCAACGAGCTAAATGTTAAGCGCGAAGCGCAAAGGTGCAAAAAAGAAGTAGAGAGTGGGAGAGAGAGATAATGAGAGACAAAGAGGATACAGGCGCGTAGCCAGGGGGGCGGGGGCAGTCGCATGGGTCCCATATTCTCTGAAATGTTACGGTTATTGAGGGTGACTTGAACAAGTTAATAACCTGAAAGGGAGGGGTGCAACCTGCCACACGCTTCTACCTCGTGGTTGCTTTGCTACGCGTGGAGGAAGGGGAACTTGATTCAAACAAGGATTAAGAGTCTAGAACGGTACAACGAATCGTCTTCTTTCTCCAAAAATTTAATAAAACATCAAAGCTTCCGCGTGGGAGCCTGCACCAACCTTAATTTGGCACCAACCCCCTAGGGAGCGCGCTTCGCGTGCTCACTACCGCCCCCTAAAATAAAACCCTGGCTACGCGCTTAATTGAGAGGATAATAACCCAGGTAGCAAGCTCATGTGGGACCCACATGGGTCCCATATTCTCTGAAATGTTATCGTTATTGAGCGTGACTTGAACAAGTTAATAACCTGGAAGAGAGGGGTGCAACCTGCCACACGCTTCTACCTCTTGGTTGCTTTGATCCATTGCCGAAAATATTTTGGCACCTATCATCCCCTCAACCACGGATACAAATCGACACCCCTGCCTACAATATGTAAATTATCCAGGATCGGGGACAAATATAAATCAACCTATTCGGGTGAAGTGGCAACTAAAATTTGGGGAAAAAAAGAAAGAAAAAAGGAAAAAAAACTGCCCCTCACTTGTTTGTAAAATTTGAAAAGCAGTGGTAAATATATCTGTGGACAGTGGCGTACGCAGGATTTTTTTCAAGGGGGGGGGGGGGGGTTAACATTTTTAAATCGGGTCGAAAATTTCGCAACGCCTCTGCCAGCCGCGGGTGGGGGGGGGGGGGTAAGAGCACATTTTTTATTTTTGTATATAGTGATGTACTTGAGGACTCAGAATCGGAGAATAGTTAAGCAAGTGATGTGATATATGACGTATATGCACTGGCGGATTCAGGCATTTCTTACCGGGAAAGGGGGGAGGGCACAAAATCGCATGGGGTGAAATATTAGAGTTTAGATTTTAAATTATTTCAAAAATAAAGAGTATATTGCAGATTCGAATTGTAAAAATAATAAGATCACAAGAAAATGATTTCAATTCAGGAATTTGTTTATATATTTATTTTTATTTATTTATTTTTTATTTTTTTTAATCATTAGCAGTGGTCATAACAAAGTAGGTGTATATTATAGCCCAATAATCAAAGGATAATACGTCTATGTCTCTTTTATATTATTTCTTCCATTTTTGTTGTTCATGAATATCAGAAATACATTATTGAAAATATGTATGTCTTCTGTTAACTCGACAGTTCAACAAATATTTGTATCTAGAGTAGTCAATTTTATTCATGTTATAAATATGAATTACCTTGAATGAATATGTTTGTTAATTTATTGCAAATGAAAATCAATAAAATCCCTGATGTGGAGTGAAAAAGTACGATAAAAATGAAACCATTATTTCTCAGCATTGGTAACAGCTAGAAACGAGATGAGAAAGAATGAACGCCATGGCGACCAGAAGTGCAATGAATCGTGTTAGACATACACATATCATCATGATCCATACAATGAACCATGGCATGAACACCTCTATTGGTATATTGAATAAAAACCTAATTTTTTTTTTTTTTTTTTTGTAAAATGAATTTATTGATAAATATATGCATTTGAACAAAACAAACAATCATACACAATCAATTGAAATAACATCGTAGCATCTTAGCATAGTTCAAATAAAACATGTTTCGTTTTCTTGAATAACAGTGTTTTCAAAAATGCATATCTTTTTTGTTTTACAGTTCCTTTCGATCTTTAATCGATTGTGGATTAGTCTTTTGAAAATACAAAGAATAGAGACTTCATGAAACATGAGTTTGCGATTTTCTGCTTGCATAAATGTTAAATAAACTGCGTATTTTGCATATATGATAAGAAAATTTAAACTTTTAAATATTTTGTTTTTCAATTTATAACCTTCAATTAAAACGAACTTGTCAAAAGAAAAATTAACATTGTAAAGTTTTCGAATTATGTCTCCAAATTTTAACCAAAACAATCTTGTGTGCTTGCACTTTACAAATAAATGGATAAATGAATAAAAACCTAATTAATTATACTATGATAGTAGGTGAGCGTGAGCACGAACGCTTGAATGAAGTGTTGAAAAAGCGAGAGCAAAAATAGTGTAGGCATAGTGATGTGTATTAATCATTGAAACAAATATTCGCCATTCGAGGCCAATATGTAATGCTAAAATGCATCGAGTCTCTCTCTCTCTCTCTCTCTCTCTCTCTCTCTCTCTCTCTCTCTCTCTCTCTCTCTCTCTCTCTCTCTCTCTCTCACTCTCTTCGGTTATTTTTTTCCTCCCATATACAAATTCATGATTTGCAACTAGCGTTACAACAAATCATAAAGGGGGTCAACTGAAGGGGGAAACATGAGGAAAGAAAGATAAAAGAAGGTAAAAGAGAAGAAGAGAATAAAAGAAGAGAGAGAGAGAGAGAGAGAGAGAGAGAGAAAAGAGAGAGAGAGAAAGAGAGAGAAAGAGAGAGAAAGAGAGAGAAAGAGAGAGAGAGAGAGAGAGAGAGAGAGATATGAAAATGCATGGAAGATAGGAAGAAAAGGAGCCTAACCTTGGCAGAGGTTTAAATGAGAGATAAAGAAAACGCAATTTACATGACTGCATGGAAAAATAACATAATAAAAGACAGAATATGTGTTACAATGATAAATTTAAACAATTTAAACAGCAGGTCATTCATGATCATTAACTTTATTCAAGTTTATCTTAATACCACTCCCTTCATCCAGATAAAAAAATTGTTGCCAAATCCATCGTTTTAAAGGGATAGTTGAGTTTTGTTGGAGAGGGCGCTACACAAAATATTCTTTTGTGAGATTATGAAAAACTGAGTCTCAAATTTGAGAGAATATACAATTGAAATGACAAAATCATCTTTGTTTCATCAAAATGGGTTCAGAGACGGCTGAAATATCCATAAATATAACCAATCAGCCATTAAAAAACGAGATAGCGCCTTATATGTTTTATTCCAGCCAATGCCAATATTGGCTTTTTTGTGTTGGTTATAATACGCACAACCAGCCGGCCTGTGTATTACTATTAATTAATTAATTAATTAACGGTCACCATATTTCTTCGAAAGTGGAGCTGAATTGGTATGACCGTATTCAATCTAAATTCACACATTTTCGGGGTCTAAAATTACCTTCATAGCAATTTTAGGTTCTAAAAGGGCACTAGAAATGTGGCATAAATAAGAATAAGAGCAATAACCATGCATTTTGAAGGCGTTTGTGGTCTTAAACGAGAACTCAACTATTCTTTTAAATCCTATACTCACAGACAATAATTGGATCACGTCGATACATATCAAATGAAGGATATAGAAGCTCTAGAGAAAATTAATCATAATTGAATGCGGATATTGCACATTCAAATAAATGGGTGACATCTGTATCAAATATTTAATGCAATCAATCTTGATATAAATGCATTTGAATAATTTCTAAGGATTGGTGTGTTATTTGCATCTCACCGAAAAAATTCATGAATTGTTTTGAATTTCCAGGATAAATACTTAGTTTAACTTTAACAGTATATTGGTAAGTTGGTACGATAACGATCTGCATAAATTTGTGTGATTTATATGAGCAACATGCATTTCTGTGACACAAGCAGTAACGAAAATGGGTTTATTTGTGAACTCGATTTCTTCCCAAGTTCATAGAACTTCATGTTCCTCCAAGTCCACCAGTTACAATAATCTCTCCCACACGTAAATGCATTAAGAATGGCTTGTGAAAATCTGGGCTTTATCAAGGCATCTATTGGCAGGATACAGTTGATAAAGATGATGCAAAACGGTTGGCAATTACAGTTATGGTACATGTTATTCAGACAAACACAAGGCCAAATGTTAATCATCTTAACACAGTCTCTCTGTATGTAATAAAAACATGGTTCCATGAAAACAAACATGCTTCACGAGTCATCGCACTAATGTTGTACAATGTGGGTACATGAATACAAACAACATGCTTTAAGAGTCTTTTCACCACTCAGAATAAGCTAAATTTGAATGCCAATTATGAAACTGTCAATAATTATTTCATATATTTACAAAGATATAAAAAATATTTTATAATTTGACGGAACCTTGTTATAAAGGAGCCTCATTATAACTATAAATTACTACAGAGTCCAAGTACAACAAGGTAATATTGCTGGTCGCACTCTTTTTGTCATTTATTGTTTTTTGTTGTGTTAGCCCTGCTAATCTAAAGATATCTAAAGATTTTACCAATTCCAAAATTATCTTTTTTTTTTCTTTGTTTGGTGGGGTGTAGCTTGTGCTGGCTTTGGGGCTCTGGGCTCTTGCATCCATTTTCTACATGTGCCTAACATAAATTCATTGATAATCAATAATTTTTTGCATTAGGGGGGCGAGTAGAACCGCTACTTATTTGATGTCTTAATCTGAAGGTTATCTTAAACCATCCTTATGCTACGGTCACAAAGGTTCGTACGAACGATAATTTTGTACGAATCTCTCTGTTTTTCCATTGTCTTCCCGAATTTCCATTGTCTGAAAATCGTTCGTATGGCGTTCGTAGCAGTTCGTAATGGCATTTGTGACCGAGGCTTTATACTGAATGTTTTGAATAGTGTTTCCATCCCCTTACTAGACAATTCATTTCACACTCCAACTATCTAAATGAAGCAATATATTCCTGAGACAAGAATTGCTCGTCCCCTTCGGCATGCAGTGTGCAGGTGACCTCAGATGACCCCGGAGCTCTCTTTAACATGTAAACAACCCTGCAACAGATAGAGAAAGAAAGAGAACAGAGAAATAACATGCTTATAGCAATGAAATCATGGGAAGAAATAAAATAATATCTTAATTTTTTGTCTTAATTTGCCGTTTTACTTGATCATACAAGTGTCATATTTTGATATTTGTCTCTTTGAAAATTTGCTTTAGTTTAGGTACACATCATTAATCATTCACAATCATGCTTCGCTTGGTTTCTCAAATGAAAGTTACACCTTCTTCATGATTTTTCACACTAATAAGATAAAAATAATTATCTTAAAAGTCTCATTGCAAATTTTCTCCTCTATCAATATTAGAATCTAATTCAGAAGCAGTTTTTCAATGCTTCAATTTACAAAAATGTTTTTCCTCAAAATATAATACATGAAGATCCAATTCCTGAAAATAATAATAATTATAATACAAAACACATACAATCAAAGTTTTTCAACTAAGCAAAGTGAGAGGAGGAAGAAAGAATTATATTTGTGTACATGTAACTCACTTAGGATTGTCTATTGTCACAATCTCTTTGATGTATGTCAGAAGTTGATTGGCAAAGTTAAAGCAGACAGCAGCATCCCACATACCCTGTTAAAAAAAAGAGAAATTGAAACGATTATTCATACAAAATGTCTGCCCCAGTAGGATTATTAATAATTTATCATAAACTATTAGACATAAAACATAAAACTTAAAGAATCAAATTTTTCACTAGTTGATAAAACTACTGGTAGTTGGACCTATATAGCATTTTCCCCCTTGAGCATAAAAGTGCTGCATATTTTCATAATCCTGCTTAATCAAGCTTCCATGATAAGGCATGTTAATAAGTTTCTTCCCAATAGGTACCCATTACTTTATCTGGGTCAAGAGTGGTTATGTTAAAAAGCAGTATTTGAAAATGAATGGCTTGTAATTGGAAGACAGTACATTTGGAGTTTTTGATAACCCACTTTACTACAATGGGAAACAATTCTTAAACCTAATTATATACAGTTGTATATGTATATACCGGGGTATATATAAATTAACAAAAAACACCTGAGAACAGAGTCTGTAGTACAAACACATTCTATCGTTTAATTTACGGAAAGATTTATTAATACAAGGCATTAAAAACATTTCTTGACAACTTATCACAAAGAATAATTCAGCGAAGATAGTAGTGACAAATTTTTACATGTTTTCATATTACGGTAATGTATACAAGTTGTCGGGTGAAAAAAAAAATCAATAAATTCCTTCTAAACTTGATACCATACCAACTCAATAGCACAAATCCTACAATTACCATAAAAAACAATCAAACATGGTAATACCTGTGAACTGCTCGCCATTTGCATTGTCTGGAATGATCTGAGATACGAAACAATGCCCTCGTCGTCACGGAAACCAACGATTACTTCCGGGATGCCGACAAGGAAAGACTGGGCCCACACCTTGAGAAGCTTAAACCTAAATTAAGAAGAACAATAAAGTGTTTTGTTTAAAACTCAAATGCGATAATGAAATGGATCTCGTTCTAAGAGTCTAGGTCATGACTCGTGACCATGAAAACTTTAACTAAATGAAGATAATCCAATCTAATTTTGTTCCCAAGGACGTATTCTCAGTACCCTCAGTCTCGACTATAATACTGATTAATATATTTGTTTGGATTACATCCATGACAAAGGTGTAAGCAAATACAACAAAGTCCTTTCTTTCCTTGCCCCTTTCCTTTTTTTTTCTTCATTTCTGTATGATTTCCTTCCCGTCTCTTTCTTCCTCTCCTTAAATGGCTCCACATTAAACATTTTCTGGTTGACGAATTTTGGGTCAGATTGCAAAGAACCTTTGTTGACATGTAAACAATTCTTGGGTCCTGAGTAGAATATTTGAGGTCCAAGTTCCTTCTATATCTTATTCAATACTATTACACAAAAATGACAAAAGAGTGAGAGGGAAAAATCATTAGAGTAAAATCAAAGTCATAAAGAAAACAATATGTACCTGTAAAAGTTCCTCTCATTGTTGTGTTTGTACCAAATCCTTGTCGTCTTGAGTTCCATGTAGTTTTCTGGAGGTTTCTTCTTTGAGTTTGGTATCCTACAGTCTACTTCACCACTATACAGCAGGGAGTGAGAATCTAACCTTGTTCTGATCACCGAACAGAAGGCTTCATGGGTATCTACAGGCTTGGTGGTGTCTGGTTGACTCCTCTCGTCATCTACCCAAGAGACAATGAAAATGTCACATTTTTAAATGATTGTACTTGTGGGTCTGTTTGATTTGCTATCATGATCATTTCACTGTGGCAGACACAAAGGGAAAAAGATGGGGAGAGAGAGAGATATATATATAGAGATAGAGAGAAAGAGAGAGAGAGAGATGAGGAAGAAAGCAAGATGCAAGCAAGGGTGATAACAAATCATTAACCAGTATGAGAATATGTTTCAGTAATAAGAACTTGAAATTACAACCCTTTTAAAATTAGGATAACTGAAAAATGTGCAATGCACATAGTTGTAAAAGTAATAATAATGATAATAATGTCAATAACAATATCAATAATAAAAATGATAATACTACTACAAGTCTACTCCTACTTTCACTAGCCTACCACTACTAATAATCATAATTATATTTATAACAATGATCATAATAATAACAATAGTAATATAAATCACATTACTTTAAAAAAAAAATCCTTTGATATCAAATAAAGTCCAATTACCACTTGTCACATACTGCTCAAACTTATATCCCCAGTAGGACATCTCCTGCTCGCGGTCAGACATGCCTTTCCTCCTAGCTCTGTTCTCCTCTGTCTCTACCTCACTGATGTAGTACGTCCCTCGGTAGAGGGTGACGGCCATAGCCCAGCCTTCTCGGTCCTCGTACGGTGTGCAAAGGAACTTGGTCATGTGGCCTCTCCACATTACAAAGTCAGCGTTGATTCTGTTGAAAAATTGGGAAACCATTAGAATTTGTTCATATTTAAAGAAATGAAAGCTATACAGCTAACTCACCTGCAGGAATTTAGTTCCTTGTAAATGCATGGTTTTGATAGTTTGTTCAATTTTCCAAGAGCACAGAGTTTTCTATTCAATGGAAATTAATTCTATAATAGTTTTAAAAAATCATTAAATGTCCTTCTTAATATAAGTCATTCATTGATGAAAGTGCTTACATTGCATCATTACCCCATTAAATTCTGTCAATACACTCCACTAGGTAAAATTTTAGGGAGTCGCCTTTAATCAGGTCATACAATCTACCAAGCATGTACCTTGCTTTTTAGGATATAAATTCTGTGCATTAACTTGAACGCATGACTTAATTTCCAACCAAGAGATAAAATCTAGATTAAATCTTACATCTTTAAAAAAATTCTTCCAATCATAAGGGTTCATTGCTACAGCTTGGCATATTTGTTTGAACATTTTGCAGGGGCGTAGTCATTTCCTAATCAGCGTACCTTTCACAATGCCTACTTGTGCTTTCGTTTCCCTGGTCTTCACTTCTCTCAGAGGTACTGGTGGGTGGGGCAGCTATGAGTCTTTTATTCTCCTGCATCCATTTGGTAATATTGTTCAACCTCTCCTTCACATCATCATCTCTCTTGATATAATCCCTGTAACCTTTCCTCAGGTCAAAGTCGGTCCTTCGAGGGTCCGCTGGAGGACAGTAGACCTTCAGCAGTCTCGCGTCACAATGGACGCCCCGTTTGGAGTCCAGAGAGAAATGTCCTACTTCTGTGGGCTGTCTGAAGAATGGAAACTTCTGGTTGAATCGTGATATTGGCTTGATGGGAAATGGTCGGATCATCTGGAGACCACCTTGGTTTCTTGGGGCTTCTTCTTTTCCAAAATTGGCTGCCACTTTTGTCCTCTTTGCTGCAAATGTATCTCCAGATCTGTGCCTTTTCATTTTCAATAAACTCCTGTATTTAGTTAAATGTTAGCAGCATCAATATTACACCACTTGTGAAATCCAGATGGGTGTAAATGCCAGCACTGATGTTTTCTCACTCTCAGGTAACTTTAAAAAAATACATATCGGCATCTAAGGGAAAGAGGAGATTAAAATAAAGAAAAATTCAATATACCGAATGACATACAAAAATAAAGTTAGGTAATATGCAAAATGTTTAACCTGGTAGAAGTCAGATATGATTTTATTATAAAAATCAACTGTGCCTACTCAGTCTCAGTTCAACTAGTCTACTCTACTGCTGTCCGCACATTTACTAAAACTACTAGGTCTAGACTAGGGGCGCGGCGTAAAGGATCGAGGAAGATCATCACTGGCTATCCAAGCCTGAAAATTAAAATGCCACATGATCATGATGGTAGCGAGGTAAATTACATTTTGATTTGTTAATGAAATATTAAGCATCAAGATTTTTAAGGACTGCAAATATCATGACTGTCGTGACTGTCGTGACTGTCGAGCTGAGTCTATATTGACTGGCTATCACCACTTCTCGGCACCGACGCCTCACCGTCAAGCTTCACGCAGTTACCGCTACCTTATCCCAATGGCAATGTTAAACTCCGTCACTCACGTTTGTACTGATGTTTACATAGTTTATTAGGGATAACATTCAGGATTATGACTAAATATGTATACAATATAATGAACGATATCATACAATATGGATTGGATTCACTGTAAATGAATAGAAACCCACCAAAGAAAAGGATCTTCTGTCTTCACCAAATTTACTCGCCAAAACAAAGGCAAAAGTCGGATTCCACGATTCCCGCAAGTCTAGCGCTGAATCTGAGATTGTCTTTTTTCAGATAACTCTCATAACTTTAATAATTTTGTCAACTAGTTGTTTACTCATGTGATCTCAAATATTACGAAAAGTACTAAGATAGTTTAGTATAATTTTTGTATCGACAACTGATGTTGACTAGTCATCCTAAATGATCATTTAGAGTTTTAGACAAAAACTGGCACATTAAAATTGATGACGATAGCCGCTTAGGGTCTGAACAGTATTCTATACATAGCAGTTTAGGGAAATACCCGGAATATATATATATATATATATATATATCTCTCTCTCTCTCTCTCTCCTTTCTTTTCCCTCACCCTCCCTCTCTCTCTCTCTCTCTCTCTCTCTCTCTCTCTCTCTCTCTCTCTCTCTCTCTCTCTCTCTCTCTCTCTCTCTCTCTCTCTCTCTCTCTTTTCTCCCCCCTCCTTCTCGCGTTTTTCTTCCTCTCCCCCTCTCTCACATTAGTTTTCACCTCTTCTCTCTGTACATCTTTTATTTCCCATCAACCCTCTCCTCTATTTTTTTTTCTTCTATTGGATAGTGAGCTAATAATTTTGAAAGGGAAGCATGAACTTCTGTCAGTTTCAATTCTCATATAATTCCTTTAAAATATTCAAGTATCAACATCAATTTATCTTTTTGATGATTATTTTTGGTATGAGTAAACTTTGTTTTTTCTTACATTGCACACCATGATATTGGTTTAAAGTCTAGTGTTGAAGGGTTATGTCTGATATTTTACACACACACCACATAAACACAAACTATTGCTAAAATGTTGTTGCAGTGAAATATGTATTCAAACATTTATTTTGACCAATTTTCTTTGGAACATAACAGCATGTGTAAAAGATAATAGCAAACATTTACTAAATGTGTTAAGAGCACAGCTAATCAAATACAATCTTATATCCCAAAGCGATCAAGTGATAATATTAAGTGCATTGGTGTGAACATGTGAAAAATATTTGCATTCTAAAAGTGAGTTGAATTCCATTTCCCCCTATAAGGCAAAGTCTTCATATTCTAACTTGTGGGGGTAAGCCTCACAGACCACTTTATTTCCCCCTCCGTTGCTCTTCTCTCTCATATGTCGATCCCTGGTCAAGAAAAGATATCATGGCATCTGATTACATTAATGTAACACCATCTCCCAAGTTAACAACTATTACAAAAACTTGCTGTGAACTTATCATACATACCAATTTTATATTCAATGTGAGAAATGTTGTGAGCATCAAATCTTCCAAACTTGATATTTTTAAATGAAAATCCATAGACATCAAGATGTTAAAACATAAGCTCCTATTTCTAATTGTTTGTCTTGAGTCAGTTAGGCCTTTCAAAAACTGTTGTATGGTATACTCCACTGGAATCCTAAAATTGACTTTACATGGTACTTAGGAGCAAATAGCAAATGCATGTCAAATTAATTTAGTAGAAGTTTACATTTACATTCATGTCCTCCTCTTGATCCCACAGTAATGGTAAATGTCCACAACGAATAACCATCAGAACAATTTACTTCCAACATCAAGCATTTATGAATAGCTTGATCAATTAAAGGCAGAAATGGCTACTTGAAATATCTGCATTTTGTTAGAAAGAAGCAGTCAATACATCACAAATTCATTTAATTCTGAATTAACAAACCACAAGAGACAACTTGTACATTGAAATTTGAAATTCAAGACAGCGTTAATTTTGGTTATATCTTACAAAATGTATATACAGCTTTTCTTTACAAAATATTTATCAAAACTATGAAGAGCTATTGCACAGCCAGTGAAAAGACAAAGGGGGCACAGGGATACTATTTAAATGAGTTTCTTGGTTCATCTGTGAATTGATTTCATTTTGGCCTTAAACACAGGAAATGTAGTAAAGAAATCAAGCTACCGGTAAATGTACACAGAGCCTAAATTTCTCATGATTGTAGGGTGCCCCGTAATTTGCTCTACTGATAATTGATCTGGGCTTTATTTGTAAAATATGTAAGGTTAGGGTTAAAATAGCAATTGGGGTTTACATTCGATTTACGATTAGGGTTAGACACATTGTTTGGTCCAGGGTTAAGGTTATTAATTTGGTTTGGGTTGTATACTGACCGCAGACTGATCGTCACTAAACCATGTGACTTTGAACACGATATCTGGAACAAGGTGATAGGTTATTGTTTTCCAAGTGGTTCTTTATATATAACATGGTTGCAAGTTTAATTCTTGGACTAGATCTTAATCAGCTACAGATGCACATTTGTAAAACAGTAATTTCAAATATACCATTTTGGTTCCAAATTGATTACAACAATAATCGCATATATACATACAGGTGGAAAATATTCCATGTACCATTTAACAAGCACACTATAACATCAATGCCACATATTACGATTTATCTTGAACTGAGATTATACAATCAAGGCTATGTTTAATAATATTCATATCATTCAACAGATCACTCCTAGATCTTAATCAAATGACTGGTCAAATGTGGCAACAAACAGACTGTCCCACACTTTTTAATGAAAAATTGTGCAATAGATCCAGTACTATCCAACAGCTTTTAAGTATGTGATGCACAGTTTTTGATTAAGGCACAGATGTATGCATTGTACAGCCTCACAATGAGATATGATATCATTTCAACAGTACCTAAAAACAACACAAGACATTTATTCATTCACACTGCTTTCCTATATCTTTCATCACATGTTTTTATGAAAGGAAATCAATCATCTTCAAATTACAATACCTGCATTTATATATACATTTAATCCTTTTAATACTGATTCTTTTAATTCATTATACCTTTAAAATAAAATGTTGTTTCCTGTACAAACAAATCCATTTACAGATGTAGTCCAAAATAAGATTTGTTACTATTTAATTCTACACTGTTTATTAAACATTAATCACTGTACATCTGTAAAATGGAGAATCATAAGAAATTAAGAATCATACAAGAGCTGAGAAGTATTAGGAAACAGTTCAAAAAGATTTGAAAGAGTACAAATAGGGCAAATATCAGGTAGTTCACATCATAGCCTTTCTCTTTCTCATCTACTGATCATGTTTTCCATTAAAAAAAGTTTTCACATACATATCTATGAATGGTGATTGGTAAAAACAAAAATCATATCTTTTCATTATCATCACACAAATAAGTTTACAATCTTCATGAATTTCGATTAAGTACTAGACAGCGATGGAATTATCATTTTTAAAAGGATGCCATTCAAAAAATTGAATCTAATACTGTATTCATTTCATTGTGCATTTGTGCGGTTAAATTGACAATAAAAAATTAGATGACTAAAGGCACAAAGTGATAGATTGAACACGTATTACCAGGTGCAGAGAAATTATAATAATAAATATAATTAGACAGCATGAAACCCAATCAAGAATAGCACCTTTAAATCAGAGTTGTTAGTAAGTATTAACTAACGAAGAGGACATAGACACTACAAAGACTATACACAGTTCAGTTCATAAATAGTACAATAAAGCAATAAAATACAATAAAATCATGAACAATTAACCATACAGGTAATGACGGTGGATTGTCAAAAAGCAGAAAACTTGAAATTAACAAAATTTTCTCTAATCATACAATGTGTATGTCATTAAAGTGACTCGGTTAATATGAGAACTTGATTACATTTTCTTTTGACACAACAATGTTAACAGTGACCTGAAAATATTGTTTAACTTTCTATAACTACACATGAAAAACATCTTTACAAAATATGCAACAAAATGTACAAGCAGCCTTAAATAAAATATACAACAATGGAACATAAGATATTCCATTTCAACAAAATTTGTACTTAGAAAATGAGCTGATTCCACATATACACAACATAGGACATGGCTAAAACAAACCATTGTATTTCCAGATGATTTAAGAAGGAAAAACGTGACGAAAGGTGCAGTGAAATGCTATAGCAACAAATGTTTGTAACTTTGTATACATGTAATGACCCTGTCAGCTACAGCGTTCTAATTGTACTCTGGTACCATTAGGAATCATAAAACGGGTCATAGAAGGTAGGCAATCTAATTGGTAAACTGACACCATGTGACCGTGCATTGTTCTTTCCTATAGTGCATGAGCTCTTTGCTAAGAGGAACAAAGGTAAGAAGGCCTTTCATGTAAGTCCAATTTGAATGACTACTGAGAGTTGTCATAATTTGGGTCTGTTCAGAGAAATAACAACTTTTAGCAATGATTCTGAAATTAAAGCTTTGTCTGCTGGTACCAAGAAGGTGCTACACATTATCCTTACATTCAGCCAGTACCCAGCTGGCTCATAAAAAGATGATTTGTTCCTCATACTCACTACTACCGGTGCTCACTGAACAAAAGAATTAAATCTTTAAGTGTACTAATCACCAAAAAATATTTTGGTCTGTGGGTTAGTAGTTCATGTCATAACACTATGTCCAATATAAGGCCTTTAAATATTACCTCTGTGAAGAGATTTTGAAGTTTAAATACATTCTGAATTAACATAAAAGTGCCTCGTTGTGAGTATATTGTATGATGCACCCATACATGCTTGCATAAGATGGGGCCGCTCGGACCCAGGTCGGACTTGGAATTCAAATGCACAAGTTTATGTTATTCTTTTTTTTTTTTAAACTCCTAATAGCCTATAGAATGCAGGGTGAATTTAGGAGTAAATTTTATCGACACAAAATATTCTTATATGTGAATGGTACGCTAAAAGATTCAAATATGCATACTTTCTTAATCAACCCAAATCTTTACTTTGGTATTTTCTGCTTCCCTGAATTATAAGTACAATGACTATAGAATGTGACCCTGTGATTACTAGCACTGCTACTATCTCTCACTCGCTTCAATACAATCAATTCTGACCAAAATATATACCGGTATGTTCGAATTAAAATTAAAAAAAAGATATTCTTGGGCTGTGTAATACAAATTCATTTTGTTTCCTTGGATATACCAACATCAAAAATTAATGTTAGACTATCATCTGTTTGCATGAAAGATGCAAAAATTAAGATGCAAAGTACTTCAAAATATACTGTGGAATGCATGGATGAGAACAGTAAATATTTATTTTAAAACCACTAGTCTAATTAAAGAAGGCAAAAAGATTTTTTTTTAAACAGTTCAGCTTAATAACAGACTTATAAATATAAATTTTGATCAGGAGCAATTCCCTGTGCATAGACTGTATTCATGGATATAAGCATCTATACTCCACAAGTGATAGTTCATACCAATAAATCATATAACTCATATTCACTCCAATATTTGTGCACTTTACTGATTGTCAGTTTCTAATTATGAATTAATTAAATGTAATCATATATTTTTGCTCAGTTACAACAATACATTGACAATAAGTATCCAAGACTCTGATAGTATGTATTCAAGAATTTGACATTAGGGACTTTTAGATTCGCACGAGGACAATGGGGATTGCTATGATCGACGTCCTTTTAATGCACTGCCTTGAATGGACGTCACACGTATCAGTCTACGCAAATCTAAAAGTCCCTATTAAGTATTTAAGTACTTACATTGTAACAAAACCTTGTATTTCATTGCAATTTGTTGCTTCTAAAATCATTCATAAAATATTTTCTTGTAGAATTTAGTCACAATACACTATAAGTAGCATTAAAATGTGTAGACAAAGTGGGGTTACTCTGTTATACCTACATTGTGCAAACAGTCATAGTTTTCCCCAATGGCAAGAATAATTTAGAGGGTAGAAGAATCAGATGATCACACCCTTTTGGATTGGAATTCAATTTTTTCCTGATTGTTTGCAAACTTCTGGAGGTTAGAATATTGAATATTTTTTAGACAATATATCAAAGGTATGTTATCATGAATTCACATGATATATTCCTCATAATTCTGTCTTCTTTTTCCTCTTTTTGAGTTGTTTGGAAATATCCTCATTTTTTTCTCTATTCATCTCTTTCGGTGATTTTTTTTTCTTCTGTCTTGCCATCTCTTTCCTCATCTGCCTCTTCCTCTCCGCCACGTCATCATCGTCCTCCAGCTCATCCTCCTCCTCGCCTTTCGTCAATCCTTTGGCTTTCTTGGCCGCCTTCTCCCTCGCTAGCTTCTCCTGCTTCTTTTTCTTCTTTCTCTCTTTCTTCAACTTCGCCTCCCTTTCTTCCTCCTCTCTCTCCTCCTCAGCCTCCCTGTTGTAATCTACTTTCTCATTCCCTGTCCATTCCTCGTCTAGACATTCTGCAGTTGAAAACAAAAGAAGGCCATGGAAAGAAAATATGGAGATTGAATTATTAATGAGAAAAGCTTTAAATAAAGGTCTACTGAAAAATGAACAAAATAGCAAATATCACATAATACAAACTGGAACTATTTATAGGGAATAAAGTAACAATCTCTGATTGGCTATCAGAAATAATGCAACACTAGCATTGGCTGCTATTCTTTTTACAATGAGCTAATGGTAGAATAACACCTGTTTTTTGAAAAAAGGGATACTCTTTGCCAAAAGAGAAAGTATAATGATAAAATGTCAACTTAAAATCCACAACTCCAGAAAACTATTAAAATGATAATAAAGAAATATTGCAAATGTAGCTTATGTTTTGTCAAGCACACTGATGTCACATCAGGGACCCCTTTCACAAAGCCTTTTTTCAATGAAAAATGACAAAAATCTGTGACGAATCTGCTGATAACCAATCAGAAGCAAGGATTTCACTAGCTTATAACAAAAACTGTCATTTTTGCACTGATGACAAGTTTTGTCAAATGGGGCCCTAGGCTTGAACCCAAGACCTTCATGTGTCCAGTCACATGTTTAAACAGTTGTATGACACTTGCTCCTGTGATGAAGGCTCTGCATGCCATCAATTCCCTACACTAACCAAATTTCTAACTTCAACCCTGGACCCATACTATACCTAATCATAATCCTAAAGCTAACCTAAAACCCAACTGCAACCCTAACCCTAACCTTATGCCTTTGGCAAAATAAAGCCTGGAGCGATTGTCATCGTAGGAACACAAATTTTTAAACCACTTGACTATGACACCTCTTTTTATCAGGACATATTTCCTCTCACCTGACTCTTCTTTAGGTAATACCCTCTCCCGACAAAGATACTCCAACAAAGGTTTCTCTTGGTCGGTCTTGAAGAACCAGTTCTCTATCGCCTCCTCGTGTTGTTCCACCATAGTATCACACTGCAAAAAATAAGGTGTCATCATAGCAACAATTTGAAAAAATTGTACACTACTGCCTAAATGTTTTGGCACTTCGGTTGGAAGGAAGGAGTCCATTGCCGAATCAGGAACTTCCTGCAGTTCGTTTTTTGGTTTCAGTGTCCATTGCAACATTTTGGGTTGCCATCGGCGCAACATGTACACCGATCATTGGGAAGTGGGCGCGGCCATCCCGATGCCAACAAATTTGGGCAGAAGTGTCCTATTGATACATAAGGTTGTCTGGAATTTGTGTCAGTATAGTGCCTTGTAATGTTTCATAATTGTTTAAATGTAAAGCCAGAAAGTGTGGCAGGTAGAGAACTTTTCAGTTCACAAGTGGCCCAGACATAGGTCAATCCTGCAAAAGGACTTTATTTTATTAAACACTGAATCCAATATCACAAGGAGAAATCCTCTTAACGTACTTGAGGCAATTTGAGTATGACTATGAGTTTGAATTTTAAGTTCTAAAGTGTCAGTTCCTAATGAGAATCTTGAGTAAAAGGGTTGAAAATGCAAACTCACACTCAAAATGTCTCTAATCACTGAATTTTTCTTTGCATATTCCCAGACATCAGGCACTGTGGACCATTTCTGATATTTGTTACTGTCATAGATTAGAGCTCCTTGTACAAAGAGGTGCCAAATAATAACATATTTTTCTGCACTCCTGACAAGAAGCAGATTTAGCAATCATGATAAAGACATCATTATGAGATCAATTAAATAGAAGGGTTCATCTATAAAGACTATTTTACTTACATATTGCTTCATCTTAGTCACTGCAGCAGACGGCTCATCCCACATCTCTAACGGTATGCCTAGTTCAACTTTGACCCCTTTATCGACAAGGCCATGAAGCGTTCCCATGGTTTCACTCATGCCCTTGGAGAATCTGATGAAAGAATGAAAGAAATGTGCAATTTTTCAGAGTTAATACAGACTTTAAAAAAAGTACACCACTGACTGGTATAAATTCATGAATATCTGATATATGATGCTACCAGTATAAACATACTTGAGGTAGCAGATATTCCGTCCATAATGTGCATTCACCTGATCTGAACTCCTGTATTTGTATATCCATTTATTTAAAGGGATCTGGTAACTTTGTCTCAGATTCTGAAACAAAATTCTGGATTTAGCTCATGCTGCAATGATAATTATAAACCTTTAGGTCAGTCAGAAACCCCATGACTTTTAAAAGCCGATCGCCCGTCTGATTATCAAGATATTTATAATTGGAATTACAAATTTTGAAAACCGTTTGCCAAACAGTTTTCATAACACTACAGTCTATTGGGGGAAAGCGAGTTTGGTAAAATCGATCACTCAAAGATTTTTTATGTTTTTGAGGCACTTCTTGATCATTTTGAAGCGCAATTTTTTTAGAGCTTCAATATTACACCATATCACAGACACTGATAACACATTGTTAAACGATCCTTTTAAAGCTAGCCATGCCTTTGATTTCTTACATTCTCTTGCTCTATCTGGGCCCCATCTTATAAAGAGTTACGATTGATCCAAATCAATCGCAAGTCCTCTAATCAATTTCAAGTTTGCAGTACCATATATCTCTTATGTACATTATTACGATTCACATCAATCACTAATAAGTTGCAATGAATATAAAATCTTTATAAGACGGGACCCTGCTCTCCCCTCCCCCCCCCCCCCCCTTTAAAAAGGGGGAACTACAAGTTGACAAAATCAGAGCTCCTTCTGGGAAATACTTGCTGACAGATGGTCAATAGAATCAACCAATAATTAATCCATTGAATACTGAATTTTCTAATTTTCATAGGCTTAACACAGGGAACACCCAGTTCTGGTAGACAATGGGTTTAAATGACTGACCTTCTTGAATTGTGTCTCTCAGCATGGATGTTATATTGTAGGATCTTGGGGCAAACCTCATCTAAAGTCTCCAGTAATCTCAGCTCTCTGAAATACAAAATAATGATGTCTGTTAAAGTGTACCAATATTACTTTGAAAAATATTCACAAATCGCTTATGAGAGTGTATTTAAACTTAATTGCAAAATCTCTTACGGAAGTATTTAAAGCTCATACTTTGAGTAGCATTACAACACGGTTCTACTAACATTCAGAACAAAATAATTTTTGGTGATAGGTATCTTTTGAAAGCAGCAGAACTACCGGTAGTTATATCAGGTATACAGCATAATGACAGTACAAATGTTGAATGAAGCACTTAATTATATGCAAGCCTTTTTTTATGATTGAGAGAAAGCAATTTATCAATAAAGACTTTCAGGAAGCTTAAAGGTACTACGTCCAATTTGCAGGCCAAAAAAATGAAAAAGTTAAATTCCAACTGCATTTGAAAGATAATACTAATTTAGAACTTCCCTGAAAAAGGTGGGGCTTGAAAATGTCTTCAAGTGGGAAAATAACGACTATTAGTTGTCAAAACGACTTTAGGGCTATAGAGCCCAAAAGTAATAGTCTTGATTTTCAGACAATTGTACCGAAAGGTCATACGTTTTATGCTGCGCAAAGATTCAATCAGTTTAATCTTGGCCGCCACAAGAAGTGGGTTATTGATGTAGACAAATGCTCATGTACCCTTTACAACTATTTTCATGTATGTTATTAGCAAAGAAGAAAAAAAGCCAGTCAGTCACTCAATAGTGTCTGACAGTGAAGTCTAGCAAGTAAACGGGTTTCCTTGCATAATTTGAATATGAGGACACTGTTAACGTTTAAATTTCACAGATAGGACATACATGACATATTCATAATTCCTGCAAAGTTCTACAGAATTTGAGGTTGGCTGCAAAAGGGACATAGTACCTTTAACAAGTCATTAATAGCATTGAAAGTGATAGTTACCATATCAAATTTAAAACAGCGTAGTGATTTGTGGAGCTCTCGTAATAAAATATCACTTACTTCTCTATCATTTTTTAAGGTACTCTAACTATACAGCACTATATATCAACACTTGAAGAGGGGTAGTATATGTGTTGTATCTCATTTAATAACTACCAGTATGCAAAACCTTGAGCTAAATTTATTTAAATTCACAACTTCATCATTGATCAGTCTCTAAATGACGGGAGGCTGGTAAAACTGCAGAAGGCTTAAATATGTATACTGGTACATGTATGTACTAGAATCTTTTCAAGTGAAATTTTCCTGAATTTTACCATTATCACAATATCTTTTGTGTTTTAGAACTTTTGTTTATTCCTGTATTTATTATATTTTATTTTACTACGGGTCTCGTGTCTCAATCCCCAAAAGACTATTGTTTTTCTATATTTTTGACACAAAAGAATAATCCTGGGTTCACTATATCAATAAAATTATGTATCCAATATCTTATCTTAAAAGTAACTTTAAGACAGATGCATTTCTAATACCGTACATCAAGTCTTCCAGGCTAATTTTCATCAAGTTCCGATATGTAATTGATAAAGAAAAAAACAACAACTTAGAATGACTTGACATACAACCATCATTTATGAGATGGATACTGAAACAAGGAAATACATACATCTAATTACTTGGTTTGCTCGAGGCAAATCTTTAATATCCTTCTCCTACTCTAAGGCCTGCCTAGCTAAGCTCAGAATATATGGAAAGCTTCTACATAATGGCTTTGTGAAATTTTAATGCATACATAATGAGGCAGGTTTCCTTGCATCTATAGGTCTTCACAGAGTGCGCGCCTTTCCTGAGTGCACATGTTTACTCTACTGTATAACCAAATTGTGTAGCAAAAGGTGGTGATATTCATCTACATACTATGTTGTTGACTTGTTGTTGTTGTTTGTTTGTTTGTTTGTTTGTTTTTTTTTTTTTGGGGGGGGGGGGGAGGGTTGTCCTAGTTTGAGGAAGAGTTCTATGAAATATACTTCTAAGCCTGTGATATTATAAAAAGGTAGAGTCATGTACTTAATATTACATGCAATTTAATTAATTTATTAATACCAGTTGGGTTTATCAAATTACACCCATCACTACCCAAATTTTGTTGTCAAATGTTAGAAATATATTATTAACATTTTTCAAAACATTTTATCAAAATTGTAGACTTTATTTTATTTTATTTATCAGTGGTTAAAATTCATGTGATAGACATAATGAGCAAAAACCAATTATATGATATTTTATCTAATGCTTTTCTTTAGAACAAAAATGTGTAAACTAAAAAAAAATATACTATGTATGAACATGTCCTCATACGCATGTATTATCTGCTTAGTCTTAGTCTTTGCGATTCAAGACTCAAGATGTTATTAATTAATTTATTATGCTTACACTTACTAATTAATGGCTATCATTAATAACATGTATCATCATTATTTCAAGCAAAGAGTAGTCTTTATTCATCAGTGCTCAGCATATAAATCATACAAGGAAATGATCTTTTTAGTGAACTTTCCCTTTCCTTCCACTTTCCACAAGTAGCTACAAACTCTCATTTTTGTATTCAAATTTCCTTTGTCCATAGAATAAGGAAATGAATTATGGACATCTCCAATTCTCCATAATGCCTACTTTTTTACATTAAAAACTTGTATTGCTTTTCCATTTCAGCAAGGAAATAACTTAGAGAAATACTTTCAGAGGCGTTTTATATAAGAGAAATACTTTCAGAGGCGTTTTATAAATTAATAACAACAAAAGTCTTTATCTATCTACACCTTTTGCCACATGAGCTCAAACGCTCCTGAAACAAAATGTTTAGAAACCAAATCAGTAAACCAAATATATACAATATATATGCAAATAAATCATACAGAGAGTAAAACAGAAATTTCATCACAGTCAGGTCACATGGATTTGAAGTTAGTAAGTGCGATTACCTTAAAATTTAAGTGCAGTGACTTTTCTGAAAGAGCAAAATGATTTGTGTTAAATTTGTCTCCACCTTCCTAATCGTTTTCTTGGGTTGTAACCCTTTTGTTGGAAGCTTAGAAGCTATACATGGAGATGTATACCACAAGCAAGGACATCTGTCTATTGTCAGCAGGCCACTAATGAGGGCACACTGTTCTCTAGAATGGATTACAGTGACAGACAGTGAATAGCGTTCCGTCTTTTTTGGATTCGAATCTCAGTGGGAAAGAAGGATAAGCTGGTTTAATTGTTACTTAATACTTAGAACAGTCTATTATTTTTTCAATTCTTAGTCGAGCTCTTTGTGGTGGAATAATTCTGTGAGTATAATTATGAGCTCCCATATTGACCCCCCCCCCCACCCCCAAACAAAAAGCCCAGACCTAAGTAATGTACTTTATCCATCAGATGGCTGAAACAAACTACAATGTTAAAATGATATTGCTCAACAGCAGTAAAGCAGTTTGAAATGCTTGCAGAAGTAGAGTATGCCTACATCAGATAGGTTTGACTTTAAACATTAAATCATTCCATTTTGTACATGCAGGGCGTACTTGTACAAAAAACAGAAACAATTTGTGGAAATGATGTGAGAACTGACATAGGATGAGCATGCTTATGAAGACCATTACAAAGGAGGAAAGTTGATTAGAATGAGTGAGACAAAAATTTATGATGTCTTTAGCAACGGCTATACTCAACAATACTACAGTTTTTCCATGATAATGAAAAACACCAACTCACGATAGTCTGTATTTGATGTGTCTCTTAGGTTGATCTATCCGATACCCAAGATGGAGGACGTCAGAGGTTTTCCCTGTATCAGCCATCGTATCCTGTAGCTCAGTGGCTACAAACTTACAAACTGTAATGAATGATAATGATAATGATGTAGGCCTAAGTACTATAATTTACATAAATATTCAAAATAATAATACTTTTTAATAGTATAATTGCTCTAGAATCTACTCTAGTACAGTCAAACCTGTCTCAGAGCTACCAAGTGACACGCATTAGGCGTGACATCACGCATTTGGAGGGTCTGGAAATGCTCTCATGCACGGCGCTAGATTTAGAAAAAAGGCTATACCTTATACCTATACATACCTTGTGTTATACCCTCGCACGCGCGCTTGTGCGCCGAAAAATTAAAATGTCACGCATTGCCGATCTTTGAACTTGGCGTCTCTGCTGTCTATAGCGACCACCCAACAGGTGGTCTTTGTAGACAAGTTTCTTTAGTACATGATTCAATGAGAAACCATTTTCAAGGGAAACAACAAATGTGGCCTTTGTAGACAGGTGGTCTGTGTAGACAGGTGGTCACCAAAGCAGGTTTGACTGTAGGCCTAGTAGAGACTAGAGGTAATAATAACAATAACAACAACATCAACAATAATTAGTCTATAATATTAATTACCCGCCAATACCCAGTACCGGTATACTTCGACTCTTCGAGTATAACAAGACTCAAGAGGGTTTACAAATACAAATATTACTAAACTCTGTAATAATAATAATACACTTCATTTATAAAGCCCCATTTCAAGGGATACAGAATAAATCAACAAACAAGAAAGAAGTTCAGTATTAGTAGAAAAGATGTGCTTTCAAAGAATTCTTCAATAGGGTCTATTGTGACTTGTGTGAGACTGAATGAGATCGAGTTTAAATTCTTCATTTTTTTCATGAGGTGAAACCTGCACAAATCTGTAGTGATAAAATATGAACATTAAGGCGTTCATACATAAACCTGTACATATTTACACAATATAAATATTTTCAAAGCTCCTCAATATAAAAGGAGTCCTTAAAAGATCATCGGCCTCGTCATGCTCTTCAACAGAATAGTGTTAAATTTTCTTACCTTCGCATTTTGACGGTTCCCTGTGCGGGTCTGTCACCTTTGCTTCGAGGTGGACGGCATGTAAAATCAAACAGATGCAGTAAAATATGCACATGGACACAGCCATATAAAATGAAGCCATTTCTCATAGCAATCCAACGTTTTTCTGGATTGAATTTGTCCAAGATCTCCCGGCCGTAATTTCAACTGAACTCTCACAGCATTCAATAAGCTCCCTGGACCCTAGCATGCAGTATACTGCGAGTTTTACGTGCTTTTCTGCTATTGGCGAATCTCGGTTTTCATGACTGCATTCACGCTGTGCTTTTCATACACATTAGAGTGCTAATGAGAATTTCCCACGGTATAAGTGGGCGGGGCTTCTTTTTCGTTTATCATTTCATTCGATCTCGAGTACAGGGAGATGTGAAGTTCTCCCTGGTACATGGGTAGTACCATGCACGATTTAGGTTAAGAACAATCGATAAATTCTAAATTGAATTTCCCCTTTCAAAATTGATAATCGTTCGTCGGCAACCTATCTTCAGATGATTGATTGATTTTTCAATCATGAGTGAATTTGCACAATCATTTTCTAATCAAAACGATCATATTTATATATTAGATTCATATCTTTTTCTGATTTCTCTTTGATATTTGTCCAAAAAAAAAAAAATCAATTTCTGATAAAACGATCTCTATAATATGTCCTGCAATCTCTCTATCATAAAGTTTATCTAAATGAATATGTTGATTAATTGTTATAATACATTCACCTACTCAATCTGTTTATGTTCCTCACTCATTAATTATAATGAAACCCTTCTTTCTCCCCCTGCCCCCTCTCGATCGATCTATCCCTCACTTCCCCCCTCTCTCCCTCTCTCTCTCTCTCTCTCTCTCTCTCTCTCTCTCTCTCTCTCTCTCTCTCTCTCTCTCATCCTCATCTATAGGGCCATTGGTATGGAGAGGGAAGGAGGCGATGGGTGATGACACTCCTGACTCATATTTTCATGGTGTTGAAATGTAAACATTTAATTTAAAATTCAGAATTTGTAAAAAGCTGGCAGCAAATGAATAAAGTTGTGGATATATATTTTTTTTCCTGTTCAAATTGTTCACAATTCCTGTCAGTAAATTTGATAACCACAAAGTAAAGTTATCAATTTCTTTTCTTTTCTCATGTAAGAACATATTCAAGAAAAAATTGAGTAAAACTTTTTGTCCGACACACCATGGCCACCCCTATCAAAAAATAGTCTAGTCACATCCCTGCTCAATTTTCCTGTTCCTAACTTATTTTTCTCTAAATCAACATGTGTATCCAAGAATATTTTAATTGCCTAAAATTCTCCCAACAATACATCCTGCACTCATTCCCCATATTTTCTAATAAACAAAATGCAAACCTAAGCTCAAAAGAAAGTTTGGTATAATCTTCATATAAAATTTAATACAAATTAAGGTAACTTGATTATTATAATAAATAATACTTTATTCAGTATCTCATCAACACCCACAAGAACATTAGGAAGATAGCATGCCAGGTTGCTTGGGAAATAGAAAGAGAAAAAACTAATTACTGTACTAGCTGGACATGTATGGTAACATCCACAAACATAAAATATCATATCTGAACAAAATATAAGGGATACAAAAATAATAATTTGAACAAAACATGACCATCAATTACATGTACATGATTGCAAAATTGGATTTGATATCAAAATTGAAAATAGCTTAAGAGTGTAAGAATATAGGTAAATATATTAATATTTGCCCAAGCCCATCAATAATATAGATACAAAGGTAAAATGAATTTAATGTTAACATTGACCATGACAATTTACCATTTTTATACACATTCGTCATTCAATCATTAAATAACAAACATATATGTATAAAAAGTCTGTATCTAGGTATTATGATTACAGTATAATTAACGTTTATTGGGCTTTCCCAAACAATGAGAAGATAATTGAAATATATAATAATACAGTATAGAAAACAAAATCATGAAATGATTTTTGAATTGAAGATTATGGGTTTATATAAGATTAGCTAGTTAAAATGTAATGTTTAAACCAAATGTAAACATAATTAATAAGCATCATCATAATTATAAGCAGCATTTAATTCAAATTGTATCAGTTTCATAAGAACTTTCATCATCTGGTACATAAAACATAAAAATAAAATTCATATGGAAGCACGATTCTTTCATAATCTGTATCACATTCATTCACCAACATATCAACTGAGAGGAAAAAGCATAAAATATACCTTGGATGTTTATTACCTCATCAAATGCTTCAGATACCACACAATTTATAAGCCTCCTTAAATTCTTTACATACTTCATTTTTCTATTTTTGAACAATATTTGTATACGTTTCTGTCCATTTGAAATGATATGATACTGAACCAAACCTATAAAGCATGTTCAAACCCAAATAATTTATTGCAAAATTGATGTACATGATGAATGATTCTCAGTAGATTAAATCTTGCTTGTAAATCATACATCTATACTTAACATATTTTTTGATAATTTATATCGCAGGTCAATGGCAGGGTCCACAGTTAGACATAGACCTTGCATATGACTTGTATTATTGTAACAACTTACAGGATGTAGAGACACATTTCTCAGAAGAAAAACAAATTCTAAGTCGTCATTATAACATATGCCATATGATAATACTGTTTGATTATTCGAAAAATAATTCAGATACAACACCTCCAGAAGTATACATCTATTTTGTTCATTGGCAACACTTTCACTATAATACCCCCTAGGCTCCCCCCAAAAGGAAAGCTGTAATTAATTTTTTGCTTTTTTTTGGGGGGGGGGAGGGGGCAAACAATGCTTCTATTTTTACAGGATTAGTAAAGAACAATATGATTTATTTGCAGGGTGAATAAAACAAAATTTTGCTAGGCAGAAGAAAGAAATCCTAATTTCTACTGAGAGAAATACACCACACTAATTAGACATTTGATCATTTTCCTATTTAGATTGTAAATACATAGATGTAGTACCAATTTAGATTATGAATACATCAATGTAGTAACAACACTTCTATTCTTACAGGATTAATGAAGAACAATAATTTTATTTTGCAGGGTGTCTACAAGGTTCTGCTAGGCAGAAGAAAGAAATCTTAATTTCTGACACACAGAGATACACCGCACTAATTAGACATTTGAATGATTTGATCATTTTTCCAATTTAGATCATGAATACACCTGTGTAGTACCATGAGTCATTGAGAACAATTAAAATGTGTTAACTGTTTTTAGTTTACAGCTTCATTTCTTAGGCTTGAAGTTGTCTTTCTCTTTGCGTAACCTACCCATCACTTCAATGGGTTCAGTGCTACCTACATGATCCTGAATAGACTTGGCTCTGTAGATGAGAAAAGAAAGGATGGAGTGAAAGAGGGAAGGAATAAAGGGCAAAGAGAGAGAAAAAATGAGAAGGCAAGAGCAGGGAGGGGGAGAGAAGGAAAAAGCAGGAGAGAGAGAGAGGGAGGGAGGGAGGGAGGGAGAGAGAGAGAGAGAGGGAGGGAGGGAGGGAGGGAGAGAGAGAGAGAGAGAGAGAGAGAGAGAGAGAGAGAGAATTAATATATCATATTGGTATCAGCACATTGGGATTGAGTTTAAATAAATAAAAGTTAAATACCACTTAGACCAGGTCCTAGGAACAATGCATTTTAAAGAAAATACAAGAATTACAACTGTGTAATCTCTTATTCTTCTAAGAAAGTTCATTAAAAAAAATATTTATATTAAAGTGAGCATTAGTAATATAATCTCTATCACAAGAGGTAAAAAAAAATCTACAGTATAAAAATGTAAGAGATACATCTGATCTCACAAGATAAAGAAAGCCTGAATTTTACCATGAAAGTTCATCTGTATTGGTGAAACATGTGTTTGAAATTTAAATTTTGATCTTAATACAACATTTTCACCACTTGAAATTTGTAGCTGCTTAGTTACAGCCTTCAACAGCGAGGTAACATTTTTGTAAAGGTTTAACTTTCAAACATAAAATAGCCTGGGTTATGTAGCTTTCCTTGTAACATTCCTATGTTTGAATCGAGTTTTAAGTTAGTCATTTAAAGATTTGTAGGATGGCACAACATTCTTGTCTCTATAACTTATCCAACTATATATACTGTTAAACAAAAAAGAAAATGTAACTTTACAAACATATTCAAAATATAATCAAAGGAAATGTTAAAATGTGAAAAAACATATAATTAATTTTGTGATATAAGTATTATCTATGTGTTTTTCTTTGTAATCATTAAGATTATGTGTTTTTTAATCAGTCAATTAATAAATGATGGAAAAGAAAAGAAAAAACAAACTTACCCAACTCTCATGAAAGGATTGTATGCTTTCTCTTCAGCTAGCGTAGAGGGTATGGTCGGGAGTTTCTTGGCTCTTTGATCCTGTAATCAAAGATGTAAAATAGTGAAAAAGCAATGGTTTATTTTATTATTTAAATTGACACCAAAATCTAAATATACTTGTTTTTCTCATTAGCTCTCGGTCTTTAGGTATTTCTACATCTGAAATAAATTTTGTTTAAAGATTGCTAAAATCACAAAATTCTGAACTATTTTGATGAATTGAAATCAACAATCTATTATCCTCTATTCTATAAGTGAACCTACTCAGATAAAAAAAAATTTTCTTCACAGAATCAAATTAGCTGAAAATCTGTCAACAACTTATAATTGCTAAAGTCAATGTCATAACATATTCACAAAAGTAAACTTTCTTCTCTGGCCCAATAGCTAAGGAAAAGTCATTTTTATTCAGCTGTTCCAAAAAAAATTCGCTAACATAAATTTTGAATATAACAGCATCACATAGACTGGAGAAACCTTAGAAAGCTTTTTACATTTATTGAGACCAACTCTACATCTAGAAAATATGCTTTATACTGGATTACAAAATGGCTGACAGCTCAAAAAAAAAAAAAAAAAAAAAAGCACCTCATGATGCTTACTGCTTAGAAATAGATATATAGGAAACAGTCAATACATATTCATTCACCTTAGCCCACTCTAACTTCTTTTGAATAGACACATTATCTGGTTCCACACTGAGGGCAAAGCTCAAACTAGACACTGAATATTCATGCCCACAGAAGACATTGGTGTTATCAGGCAGTTTGCTGAGCTTCTCAATGAGGGCAGCATACATCTGGTCAGGCGTGCCTTCAAAGAATCTCCCGCAGCCAGATAGGAATAGTGTGTCACCTGTTTACAGAGTGTGAACACAAAATTTATTAAGAAAATGAAGTCTATAGAAATTTCTAGCCTACAGAAGTAAACTTTTTTACAGAGAATTCTTGTCATTTGCTACCTGTAGATGTACATATATATCTTTTAAGGAATATCTCTAGAGAAAAAAGTAAATCAAGGAGCAAAAAAAAAAACTTAAAAAAATTACAGAGCCCTTGGTTGTAGTAATGGGTATATAAATAATTCATAAGAGAAAATTCAAGCCTAAACTTATATAGCTTAATAGTTCTTTAGGGAAATTCTAAATGCATGTGACCTGAAGATGGGTATACATCTTAAACTAAGTAAAGAAATATATGAGCAAATAAAATACAAATTAAACAGCCCTTGGTGTGGTATTTGGTAAGTAAATACCTAAGTCAAATATCCCAAAACTGAACAACTAATCAAAGAGTATGGTGCCTACACGTAAATGTGTCTCGCATAGTCAGCCAATGTGCTGCACATTCAAAGTGTTTTGACAGGGTGATTCTAGAAAAGAACAAATATTTGGGAATTTGAACTCGCATTGTGAAGTGTTTTGCAAGTAAACTTCAACAAAAGAATGAATACTTTAGGGTATAAAGTTCACCTGTAAATACAACTGGGGCTTCGGAAGGATCTCCTTGGACAAAATAGCAGATGTGACCGGTTGTATGACATGGCGTGAACAGACATCTCACTTGGAGATTACCAACCTAGTTAATAAAAGAATAACAATATGCATATTTTATGTTAAATGTGAATGTAGAGTTCCCCTTGAAAATATATAATTTGGCATTAAAAAGCGTCTGTATCCAATGGAGCAATCTCTTTAATAAACATGACTGTTAAAATGAAAGCTAGAAATAGTTTAATCCTGTAAGTTAAAACACTGTGAACAGGCATGCATTGGTTATAATGCAATTGAGAACAACAAATTCAGCTGCAGAAAAAAAGTAACATCATCAAAAAGTTGGAAAAAATAAAGTTCTGTATGGTTCTTTCAAATTGATTTTTAAAATTTTGATGTTAAAAATGTAAATGAAAACTGGGGAACATATCAACGTATGATGACACAAACAGATACTGATTGTAAATCTCTGATCATTGGCTGGTTTTAGTCAATTCAATTCAAAGTCTAATCACACATATCCTCATATATAGATATGATTATTGTGAAACCAGAAAATTTGGCAAATTTGCAAATGGTCCAAATATGCAAAAAGTAACTCAACATAATTACAGAGACGTAATACTGATTTAACTGAACAAATCCTAAAAGAGTTTCTGTTTGCATTTTCTATAGTACTGCTAACCTTGAACTCATCCCCATGACCGACTTTCTTGTTGAGCGCACCGATGCGATCGTCTCCCCCACAGACGGTCAGCCCACTGGTCAACTTGACCAGCTTCTCATTCCCACCAGCATGATCCCTTCAAACAAATCACAATGAGATTTCTTTGTGACCGTTGTGCCAAGAGATACCATTAGACTTCTTTACATACATGTAGATCTGGCCAAGTAGAGTAGATACAAGACTATTCAAAGAAAATTGGCACAGATAGTTGGAAAACATGCCATACATTTATTGTGACTTTAAGGAATGCATGCCAACTTGTAATATGCATTTTTTGGGAACAAAGAAAGATTCTATAGGTTATATATATACATTTTTTGACAACATTACTCTGAATTGAACATAGAGAGAAGGTGGTCTGCATAATTATGCTTCTCATATATTTCTTGACAGGAAGGTAATCCAATTATGTTCATACTATAAAGGTAACCATTAAGTGTTTAGATTGGTTCTTCTATTAATATTGCATGATGGCATGAAGAAAGGTGTAGGATACAAATTTGTGGCAATATCATTTTTAAAGTACAATTACATACGTTGTAGTTCAGTCAAAGACACAAGGATGAAGAAGGGTAAAAAGAAGACAGGAATGAAAGAACTGAATGGTATTAGGTGTAGCTCAAGATGGACTCATATGGTTAGAAGAAAAGACATAGTGAAATACAGTTTATGACAGGGCGAAACAGTCTTGTGATTTTGGGGGAAGAGAAGTGGAGAAAAAGAAATTTGGTACAAATCTCACCAGTGATGATGTGTGGTCAAAACTGTTGTCAAATTGACACCCTCTTCTTGGACAGCTTTCAAAACCTGAAAGAAAACAAAAAATCAGTAAAAGAAGTGCCATTCAACTAAAGTCATTGCCACTTAAAGAAAGTAATAACAAAATAAATAACACACAGGTATCAATATTCATTAACAAAATGGTCTTCAGAATATGAACCCGTCTATTGGATTTTTTCAACAACAGTGTGGAACAACAGTAATTCCTGTATATCCAGGCCTCAGGAAATGGATTTCTGTGTTTAGCCAGCTAAGTTATACGTTATTATTCATGTTCAGAGCTAGAAGGGAGTTGTTAACTTTGTGTGAAAGAATACGGGGGAATATTCTTCTGGCTCCAAACAGATCATTTCACTTTCCCTGATTTCCTCGATCAATATTTCATAGTTGAATATTTATACAGAAGAAAACCTGCCTGTAGTAACCGCTCATCTTGTTTCCATTTTTATTACTTCCAGGTGTGATTATAATATCTCAAGTCATGATGAAATGAATGTTAACTGATTGCATAAAAGAATTGGGTGGCTCCTGTATTAAAGCAGGACTGCATTACTTGTAGCTACTTGCGCCCTCTATATAGCAAACAATGCCTAAGCGGTGCCAGTTGGTCCCCCATGGTCCCCTTTTTCTTATGTTAATTGAGAGCTGATTTGATGAGATAACCACCTGTCAGCGACTACGCAGGGAGGTCCAATCCCTCCTGGCCAAATTAGTGCAGATAGGCTTTAAGTAAAAGGGAGAATGCAGTAGTCAGAGGGTTAACCTTCTCTGGGTCGACAGGGTCTACAATGGCGGCTTCCTTGGTGGCTTCATCAGTCAGGAGGTACATGTAGTTATCCTCCAGGGCTGAGAGAAGTGTGATCTTCATGTCTGGTAGGCTCGTCACTGTAGAAGCAGAGTGGCACAGTCTGAGTTGGGGCCGGAGCACGGTCTGGATGTGGTGCAATCTCGCTAGAGAAGGCCGGCTGCCTAAAATCAGAAGATGAATGCAAGAAGAATTAGGTGTGAGGACTCCATACTCTGGGACCCACTTGAAGCACTCCAGCAAAGCAAAGAGAGTCAGTGCTAATGCGTATTGGCCTCTAGTGCTGCACTACGTGCTAATAGGCAGCAATTGCACACATGAATAGTCAATACACAAATAACACACAAATGCACACAATGATGCCGATGTGGCTGCAAGCAAGTACGACAGTAGCCCCACAATTTATTCTTTCTAACTAGTGTTGTAACATCACAGATATTCCGTTTAACCGCTAGTCAAAACCGGACAGTTTTCGGTTAAACGATTAAAAAAAAAATAATAATAATAATAACTAGGGGTCTAATAATAATTATTAAAAAAAAAATTAAAAATTAATGGCATCAGTGAAGTATTGTGCATGTATTTCAAGGCTGGGAACTTAGTTTTACGAGTCAACTTCTCAACCTACAATCTTGCAATTGATTGTTTGTTATCATGTAGATTGTTGCTCTGCAATCCAACATTCAACAGTCAGGGCTGACTTATGATGACTAAAATGTTGGCAAAACTTGATTTATTACCTTATATTTAGAACATCAGTTAGTTCAAAAAAAATTGTATTTTAATGCTATTTAGGTGTCATCAATTGTCACTAAAGTACCGATTTGGAGCACCAATTTTTTTAAATCAACACCTTCTTCTTCTTTTTAGTTGATCCCTCCACTGTTTTGGAGATTCCTGGAGTCCAAATAAAGTAAATGTTTAAATAAGACCGGTTAGGAGCTTTGGAGAGTCTTAGAACGAGAAGCATCAATTTTGTGATGGAAAAAGAGCGATAGTAGAAGTAGGTTATTACACCCCCCCCCCCTCTTTTTTTGTTTTTTTTTGTTCATGCGACCCACCCCCAGGCCACTACGCAAATTAAAACACATGGGACTACATTCAAATTTTTGGACGTTTCAGCTTTGATTGATCACTGTACTAGGTTCTATTTCATGAAATGACATAAAATTAAATACATACCTCCAAAATTTGGGCTCTGCTGATCGCTTGGCTGTGTAAATGTGGATCCTGTACGAATAAATCTGCTTACAACTGTCAAGTTGGAGTTGAGCCTTCGCACAGTCAACATGATAATAATAGGGCGCTACATTTGGCGACCATTAAGGATTCAGTCGAAGTTAGCGCGGAAATCAGTAGAATTCAAGCTAAGGTGTCTTCAAAAGAAAAAACAAAAATGAATGTGTAACTGGGTGAAAAAAGGAGAAAAATTAGATAAAACTAAGCTATAAAACGTGGCGTATTAAAGCAGAGCAAATACTTTATAAACTGAAACATTTAAAGCATTGAAAACGTCTGATTATAGTTTCAAGTTGAGATAATGACTCACTCATCTACTCAATGACTCACTTGACTACCTTTAATCTGATAATCAGCTTTAAAGAATTTTACCCCTGTGTGAAAAGGGGGAAAGACGTTTATCAGATTAAAGGTAGTAATTACTCCCATAAACTTGAATGATTCCAATTTTTTTTTTGTCCGGAGTCTTCAAGTTAGCTCGTGCTCAATTTAACGATTATGAGTTTATCTGCCCTGGCAAAAAAAAAGATGGTATAGCGACAGTTTTACCTTAATCTTAAATCTGCAACAGGGGGTATTCACATTGATTTTTTTTTTGGGGGGAGGGGAGTTTTTAAAAAAAAGGAGATATTTTACCTTTTTGTTCTGCTCAAGGGGGGGGGGGGGGGGGGTGTTGAGTTTAAAAAATAGTACTCGATCACTACCCCCCCCCCCCCCCCTGCCTATGCGCCGCTGAATATTTTCTCACGAATTGGGCACCCTCCCTCGACGCTGGCTGGATCCGCCCCTGCTGTAAATGTATATTATAATGGCTAAAATACATTTTCAAGTTTAAAAGCTTTTAAGAATATTGTATGAAATTTTAACTAAATAATGACCTACATCATTTTCAAGGTCAAAAACCTGTTCTTTACCCTTATATATGTCACATGCCAAAGCTTCATGCCTGGGTCTCGGAAGGCTTTCGGCACTGTACATAGGCCGATACAAAAAAGACAATAAGACCTAGACAAGAAGTTTTGGAGTGTGACATATATGAAATAAAGATCAACACTTCAGCTTTACAATGGTGTGGGTATTTATTTAGTTTAAATGTCATAAAATAGTTTTAAAAACATCCAAATCTATTCTAATCTCTTACTCTGGTGCCGTTACCGTCAGCCGAGACGTGCAAAATTTTCTTTTTCCATTTTGATTGTACGATTTGGAGACACTACAGCCTCATTATTGGTGGCTAGCCTCCTCCTTATTAGTCGCGGGCTTAATGGTCGCCAGTTTCAAGGGGCGTAGCATACCTATCTCGACTTTGCTGATATGCATGATAGCGAGTTGTGCAACATGTGCAGATTGTTTTTGCTTGATTATTGCAACATACTGCATCACTGACAAATAGGCTAGCTGAGCTGCCCAACAGACTTGATTTGCCATTTCAGAGCTATATCAAGTTTATGTATCTCTCGTCGTTCAGTGTATCCACAGCCAGATGCTGCAAGAATGTGATTATTAGGAACACGCTCTCAAAAAATGGGATAGCATGCCCAAGTTTCACTTTCAGTTGTAAACACTCGAGCACGAGCTCAACATCATTGTCATTGGGACTGTTGAGTAGATCTAGGCTTAAAATTGTCACTGAAAATACAAATTTTCTCAGCATTTGTAATGTTCGAAGAATCTCCAGCGGAAAGAACTGGCTGAATTTAAGGTGTACAAAAACATTTTACTCTGATCCATTTCAAAGCGAAAGTCAAATAAGGCTAAGCCGGAGCAAGTGGAGCTTTTCATCACAATTTGGCATCCAGCGAAGGGCTGCATCATCACACTGGGAAATGGCGGCGGACAAGGCTAAATTGCGATTTTTGAAGAACAGAGAGAGAAGAGCTCAACTAGATAAAGCTCCGCAGCAGAGTGGAGTAGTTTCACTGCAAATTGTTGGAAATGGATCAATCGATTGCCCTCCATCTGTGCTTATCATCACTGATACGTCTAGGTAAAGAATGAGTGTGTGTGTTCAATGGATAACACCAGAATCAGTGCTTGAAAATATAAATTATTATTATCCTAATCCTGTTGAGAGCAAGACAGAAGAGAGAATTAAAGAGGGAGAAAAGGATTGATGAAGGGAGTGTGAAGTGATGGTGAGAGAGAGGGAGAGTGATAGAAAGAGAAAGAGAGAGAAAGAGCATGAGAACATTGTATTCAAATTAATGATAGATTTTACAGTTCTGTGCAAATATGTTACAAATATTTCTGATATTACCAGAATTTTTGTTTCTAGCACAGTGCATAAAAATGTACACTGCCATATTTTTATGGAAGAAAATGAAAATAAAAAATGAAGCCTGTATATATGGCGAGCACTTAATTGTCACCAGAATATTGAAGATCATTAAATGATCGCCATTGGTCAAATTTGTTCATGTGAGCATGCGAGGTGGGCAAAAAAGTAAATATCAATTAAAACACTTGACAATTTTTATTTTTTTTTAAAAAGACCATTATTACTGTATATTAAAACGTGATTTTGATTTCCTTGCCCATTGATGTAATGTAATTTAAAGTATTGTGACCAATTCAGCTCAGGTGTGAATAAGGCGTACTTGGCCTAAATACAGAAAAAATACTGTTCAGATCAGATTGGACTAATATTGCTGACTTTGATATTATATTAGAAAGTTTTAGACTTTCTTATACAGGTTAATTAATAGATGCTATTTGAATTATGAATTGTTTTTAATGGTATATTTTGTTTTCTTTCCAGATATATTTTCAACTGTGGAGAAGGCACTCAGAGGTTGCTGATGGAGTGTGGGTAAGATTTTAAAAAAATGTGTAATTGAGTCTTTACTGATGTGAAACAATAACATTTGATAATTTTGTGGGCTGTTTTCTTAGCCTGTCGGGTTACAATGCCCTAAATATCAGTCGAGCAACTAAAAAAGAAAGAAAAAAAAAATAGAGAGATCGAGATAGAGAGAAGTTAGTTATTTTTGGAGGTACAGTGTGTAAAATCAAAGTACAGCAGATACATTCCGGTTGGGTGGGCGGGGCCAATGGGGCATGCTAATTGAGTTTTGTGACATGGTGTACATATATAGATGTTTGGGTTATTAGTTGTTTATTTGAAGGAGGGGGGAGGGGCTGTGTAGATTACATGTACAGTACTTCTTGTACTACCTAATACATCATTATTCATGTTATTCTACCATATTCACAGGACGAGGAATCTGTCAAAGCTTGAACACTTATTCCTCACCAGAATGTCTTGGGAGAATGTTGGAGGAGCCATCGGTAAGCCCTAGTAAATAAATGGAAAATACTTCATGATGCTGTATTTAAAAAGGACTGGTACCGTTCAGGGATGGCATTCTGAATTTGATGTTGTCTTTCATGTGGGTAAAACAACATGTATGTTGATTGTCATAGCAAGTCAAAATTAGGACAAGTCATTGATTGATATCTGTGCAAAGCTGGCTATTTTCATGTGAAGTTAAAAAAGGCATCTGTGCAAGCACCAATGTAGTATGTGATAATTCTGTGCAATTTTAGTTTCTTATAACAAATCGTTTTCTCCAACATTAAAAAGATAAAATTGCTTCAAAAGATGGCCTAGTACTATTTTTGTTTTGTTAGCCTCATTGAGCATTCACCAGTAGCTGAGATGACGAGTTATCCTCTTGCAATAAGAATATCAGTTTGAGCAATTATTGATTTATTGATAACTCTTCAGCATTCTTTCATTACTGATATTGAATCTTTCTTTTTTATATTCTTTGAAACTAGGCATGACCATTACTCTGAAGAACATTGGAATTCCACGAGTGACGATGTATGGACCACCAAATATGGTATGTTTTCATCTTAGTGGAATTTCAGAACAGATCTTGTATTTGATTTCAAGTAATTCATTGACATCATATTAACATGGCAGAAAATTATGGTGAATCCCTAAACCAAAGTAAGACCTTTTAATCTTAGAAAACAATGCAAATATATACCCATTTGCTGATATCGTGCATTCATTTTACAATACAATTTACAGATCATATCATCATTTTTTTTACAATTCTGCTAGAATGGTCTTCAAAATGTACATATTTGTTGTGAAAATAAAATGAAACCTTGTTTGGCTTGAATTGGATTCAGTCAACAAATGTTATTCCTGTTAATGATTGAAAAGTCTCCTTTTCTATTATTTTTTAAAATTTGAATATACATTCTTACAGGAGGAAATTTCCGGGCTCTCAATAGATAAAGCAGAAAGTTATTATTTGTTTTAAATGTAATTTATTTCTATGTTTTTTATTTGTTGCAGTGAAAAAAATACATGGGGGTTCGGGGAGAAATAGCCCCCGAAATGCCAAAAAGAGCCCTGTAAATTTGCATATAGTTCAGTGCAAAACAAATTTAGAATGTTATTTTCATGCAGGCAAGCTTGAAAAGTAGCCCCTGAATATTAATTTTTTTCCCTGATTAATTGTATGATTTTATTTTACAGGAAGAGTTCAAGAAGGCAATACAAATCTTTGCAAAGCATGAAGCTATTGACATCAGTAAGTATTTCATGTCAAGCATCCTACTGTCGAGTGAGGTTGGAAAGGCTCTTTGCAAAATTTAAGAGCGTTTATAAATGAATTCTGTACTTTTCTGTAAATTAAGCCATGGCAGTTTCTGTGTCACATAACAAGGGTGAAGGAAATATACAGTTTTTAAAGTTTATCTTGCAGACAAGATATACATGTTCATATTTGATATGTTTATGACAAAACCCTTGTCATACAAGTTTTTAAATTGTTTTTACAGTTTGTAATTAAACAAAATGATGTTTCTTTTGAAGCGTTATATTAGAAGTTGTGAATTTTTCACTTTATTATTCATCAAGACATATTTAACAAAAATATCCCTTTACAAGGATGTTACAAATGTGATTTTGCTGAAGGACTTTCAATTATGTATTTATTGTTGTTTTATTTCTTTTGTAGATCTGAAGCCTTACAGTGAAGGACCATTCATGAATGACACCATGGTTGTGACTGCTGTACCTCTCTTTTGTAAGTGTTTTTTAAGGCCATCCCCCAACACCTGATTTGGCAAATTTTCTCTAGACTGTATTTTGTCCAAGTCAGAGGTTTAGGGTTAACAAAATCAATTTGGCTTCACGATTAAAGGCATCGTTTAACAATGTTAAATCTGAGATTTATGACCCTAGGTGTTATCAGTGTCTGTGAAATGGCGTAATATTGAAGCCCTTCAAAATGATTATTTAGCGCGTCAAAAAAGTAAAAATCTTTGAGTGACCGGTTTTACCGTACTCATTTTCCCCAATAGACTGTAGTGTTTGAAAACCGTTAGGAAAACGCAAAATTTGATTTTGATTTCCAACAATAAATATCTTGATAATCAGACAGACGATCGGCTTGTAAAAGTCATTGGGTTCCTGACTGACCTAAAGCTTTATGATTATCATTGCAGCATGAGCTAAATCCAGGATTTAGATTCAGAATATGAGACAAAGTAACCCAATCCCTTTAAGAAATAGTTGTCTTATAGTCCGGTATCGTATCAGCCTCATAAAACAGTCTGTTCACAAAGTTAGTCATAGAACGGAAATTACTGATTGGAAAGTGATGCTGCAAAAGCATTTTATTCCCTACTAGACAAACAATTTCTCTTTATCTTATTAACTCTTCCCATCAGCGACCAAGAATGAAGACACAATTGTCTCAACAGAAACAGATGATAACCAAGGAGAAGAAGGCTGCTCCGAAACCAGTGACAGGGAAGATAATGTCTCCCCTGTGCCAAGTGAAGAATCAGGAGTCAAAAGGAAAGCCGCAAGCCCATTGGATGTGATAGCTGACATGAACGTAAAACTACAAAGCACAGGTGCCTGTAAGTGCTGAATAATCTCAATATTTCTGACAAGTTCCCAGGAACCTTAAATTTAGGTGAAATTACACAACTTCAATTAATACAGTGAAAGACATGATTAAGTGACTGTGAATGATATATACAAGGACACAGACATTCTCAAGAGTTGTTCGCGTGGTAAGTAACAATTAATGCAGGCTACATACACTACTTATACAATGCTCATATATGTGCTTCACCAGCACAGTTTTGTTTGTTGTTAAACAAAGCATTGCAAACCTACATAAATCACAAAGATAAGACCCTCTCAAAAAGAATGGCTTATACATTAAATGTGGAAGGAAAACTCAACTGATATGCATCAATCATACTCTGATAACAATAGCTATTTCTGTTTTTGTTTATTTTTGTTTTTATTTCTTTCTTTATATATTATTTTTTACAGCTGCAAAGAAGAGGAAAACGGAAAGATTACCAGATATGACTATTGCATATGTTTGCAAGGTAAGACAATATTTATCTGTAAAGCAATGCAGACATCAGAGACGTATTATGTGCTATATTTTTCTGTCTTTTTCTACTTTTACCTATATTTTTTCCTCCATATTTGTATTATTATGTATCCTTTGAGGGTAGTCATGCTATCAAGCTTTGCTTACTTTGTCAACCCTCCTTTTTGAGTTTTCGATTAGTTAATTTATTCTATTATATTCTTTTGTCATGTGTAAATTTGAAATGTTTGTTTGTTATATATTTGTAAAAATGCGAAAGAAAAAGGAAATCAAACAGAAATAAATAATCAAATCAAATCATTATTCCTCACAGTGGTAAAGATTAATGAATAAGTCACTGTGTATTGGAATGGGATTGATACTACTAACTGACTACTGTATTGATCACTACATAATAATACTTCTTGCTCCCTTTTTCTAGTTACATGATAAACCTGGAAAGCTACTGGTCAAGGAAGCTGTTCAGATGGGGCTCAAACCGTGAGTACATTTTACTTTAAAAAAAAAAAATCATGTTAACTCATATAACTTTACACAGAGGTAACAGCCATTTGGATCGTTACAGAAAATGTAATTGATCAATTTGACTGTTGGCTGACAAATATGAATCAAACAAATCAGATTTTTGCCATTTAGAATTGACAGGGAAGAGGAATTGTGGTGGGGTTATGAGAGGGGGTACCGTAAAGTAGTTGATATTTCTGTTTTCTTTTGCTTTACGTCAACATATTCTGTATATCCGTCTGTATCATATTAATTCTAATCTGCCAATCTATGTATTGATTCTCATATTTATTATTTTACATGCTTCTTTGGTTTAGGAATCTTCATTTTGAGCTTGTCAAATCTGGAAAATCAGTTACATTGGACGACGGTACCGTGGTACGTATGGTTATATGCAGAATTTAGAAATATATATATACGTGTATTGAAATATATATATTTCACATCTGGATATTTGAATGGGTTTTTAAAGTAGTTTGTCATTATTAAAGAATTTATTATTTGATGGAACTGCATATAGAAATGCAAAGACATGTGAATAATAAATAAAGTTACTTCATATTGCTCTGACATTATTTTGTTAAGAATGTATTTGGGAAATGAATAAGTGATTTGAATGAATTTATTATATTGTGTAGACCCTCACATAATGATTCATGTTGGTGATTTTTGTTTCTGTATGTGGCAGGTGAAAGCTGAAGATTGCCTGGGCCCAGTTATACCTGGCCAAGTTTTCATTGGTAAGTCACTTTGAGTGAACGATTTGTCTTGAATTTGTTTGATTCTCTCCGAGGCGTAACAAATTGTATAAAATGTAAAAGTTTTCCTATTATCTGTGCCTACCGGTATATGTATTTTGAAATACAATGATTAATTACTAGTTACATGTATATATAAAAATGCATACCCAGCATATATGTATACATAATTCCTTTTGTAATGTTGATATTAAGTCAATAACTTCAGTAGTTTGAATATACACTGAGATATTTTGTTAATGAAACATTAAAAATATATAGTTTCAATTATTATCGAAATTGAAAAAGTGAAAATTTATTTCCTTTATCTGTCTTCTCTGTTTGTTTTTCTATTTTAGTTCTGGAATGTCCATCAGTAGATTACATTGAGCCCATCGTGAGCAATGAGGTTTTCACCAGGTAAGCCATTCCATCTCTTATTCAACCCGTTTGACTTTTCAAAGAGAACCATTATACAACGACCGTTACAAACAATTAAACATCACATTCACGATACAATAAAACGTATAATAATTAAAATGTGGATAAAAAATGTAAAATAATTCATTGCGAAAGTGGGTATCTGCTAAACCAGAGGAGCCCTTAAAAGAGGCTGACCCATTCTCTACTTCTTTTTTAATACAAAAGTACCTGCAAAACCTATGGTGATATAGTGTAAACAAAAACACACAAAAGAGAATAGAACAGAACAAACAACAACAACAAGAACAAAATTTATTTTGTGTCTGTAATCAAGTACATGAGATGTCTTTTTATTTTCTCCAGTAAGATTTTTCTATATCGTCATTTGGAAATATTTAAGGATTGCAAATCCCCCTTTTTCAGTGGGGAGACAGTTCCATTCATTCTTACTGTTATTATAAAGACACACAATTGTTGTCATTACTTTTACAGGCATTTCAGTGATTGTGGTGAGGATGCAGCTAGCTTGGTTCTTCATATGTGCCCTGAGGAGGTCCTGCATGATGAGAGATACCAGCAATGGATCACCAGGTAACTCATCCCAAAACACTGATGTAGTTGTAAGGAGGCAATTAACAGAAGTAGGAAAAAGAAGGGAGTAAATGGAATAGCTATTTACCAATGAGAACATGAATAAACAAACCTATTTTTTGGGTTGACTGAAATTGTAGCAAACTACTCTAAAACCAGAAAGTTACGTTCATTTCGTGGGCGATCCATGTTTGCAAAAGTTGCATGCAGTAAAATTAAATGAATCACACCCCTGATTTTTTTTCTGATTTTTATTTTCTATCCACTCCAATTTCTTGCTGTGAAAGATGAAAGATTTGTGAAAGGTTAACGTCAAGTTTGCGGTTTTGAAGTATGTTTTTCTAGATGAAGGATTGGTAACGATATATTCTGCTTTTGGTATTTGTTGCAGGCAATGTTTGTCAAAGTTTGTTTTATAATCAAAATGGAATTGTCTTGTGCAGATTTGGAGCAACTGCGGAGCATATAATCTTCAACGAGTCGTGTGAAAGTCTGAGGTTAGACGCAAGTAGAGGGCAGCAGACATTACTCAATCAGCTTCATGAAGGCATCTTTCCAATTCTACCAACTCACACCTTGAAAGCCACTCCCATTCCTCCACAAATCAAGGTACATATATACATTTGGATGATTCTCCATGCAGTGTGTCCCATATAATCTATTGACCAAACTGCCAATTAGAGATTTGCATAGATTCATAATGATCTCATATTTCGAACATTTGAAACTCCCTTATTATTGGCCCAATTTATATCAAATTTTTGCCGTTCAATTTCCCCCTTTTTTCTGTACCATATCACAGAGTTATTGCAAGGGTTATATTGCCCTTTAAGGCCCTTGTAGATCCAAACAGATAATATGTAAATAAACACAATGGAAATTTGTCCACACAAACCAATTAATATGCTCTTTGTATTTAATATTGTGTGCTAATTATTGTTGCTATTCCACATTGCAGATCAATGGCAGTGAATCTATAGCTAAAGTGACATATGCAGAGATATACAACAAACTCCATCTCAAGCCAGCTAAAGGGTGGGAAAGGTGAGATTGGTGATAAAAATCATACCATAGAATTTGTTGTCTCTTCATTAAAGATGAAAGAAGTTTGATTAATTAAATGTGAAAGCTATTTGATTGTTCTCCCAAATGCATGCATATTTCCTTCTGCGTGGAGTAAATTATAAGTGAGTGCAATGAATGTTCAGATTTTACTGACAATTCAAGTTAATAGATCTGAAATATGAAGCATAATAGAAACAATAAAGTTACATCACCAGGTTTATCTATCATATCATCTGGTCAGAGCCTGAAGGTTGTCAAAGCTATAGTAAAGTATTTGAGTTAAAGCCCTTCTGGCTCTGAACAGACAATAATTTCTATCTAAAGAATCTTTCCAATTCCTCTTTATTACAGTATCATTGGATAGCCAGGGTGCTGATTTTATATGCAAGCATTGCAATAACAACCTTGGACTAAATATTAAAAACACTCAGTAGTTAGCTCTCATGGGGAATTTAACACCATTCGGGTGTTTACCCAATAAGAGGTGCTGTCAATCACCAGGATTAGCCTTCAGTTTTATGACCAGCAGGCCTTATGTAATGTACTGTGTTTTCCACCATTCCTCCACATGGTAAAGTCATTATCTCACTTTTCCCTCACCCGGAGATCTCCGATAGCTAGGGGGTATTTCTCGATTGGCCTACGGGTTCGCTGTGTGTAGACCTAATACAGGTACACACGTTAATGATTTTTATCCACCACGTCTGGTGTCACCCAATTATGGCCTTCTGCACATGGAAACTGACGAGTGACTCCCTTCAAAAAAGTATTATACATGTCCATGTAGCAGCTTTCTTGCTTTCCAGGAATGATCTCATTCTGGAATTCACAAACATGGCTAAAAATCAATGTTTAAAAAAAATAAAAAAATCTTTCAATTGATTTCCAGAGACTTCATCATCTCAGAAGACCGGCAGAGGTTCCTTGACGAGCTGGGACCGTTGAAAGGGTTCCAGGAGAGTCTGAAGACACTCAAAGCTACACTGGAAGAGACTAAGAGTGACCACACTGAGTCAACGGAGCAGAAGTACCCTGAGGTGGTCTTCCTGGGGACAGGATCAGCCATGCCTAACAAGGCTCGTAACGTCTCAGGGATACTTCTCAATTTCAGGTAGTAATAATAATACAGTCAAACCTGTCTTCAGCAACCACCCAAGGGAAACACAAAAAGTGGTCTTTGTAGACAGGTTCCTTTAGTACATGTTTCAATTAGAAACCATTTTCAAGGGAAACAAAACATGTGCTTGTTGTAGACAGGTGGTCCCTAAAGCAGGTTTGACTGTATTGGATATTTTGATATCGCACCTATCCACCAAGCAAGGTGCTCAAGATGCTCCAACATGACTCCTGCTCTGCTCTGCTATTAATTTCAGTGCTCACAGCATTCAAGGAATTCTTTCCTACCAGTACCAATTTAACAAATTTAACAAATGTAAAAGGTGAACAAGGTAATAATCTCCCAGTTTGGACGCACCTAGTGATTGTAATAAGCACTATATAAAAACTTTATTATTATTATTATTATGAAGTAAATATATATATATTATGGGCCTAAGACTACTATGTTAATTGTTTGTATCTTTATTGCCATTTGGAACAGAAATATCACCTTTAACCTGATTTGATTATTAGCTGCAATAACAAACAGTGATTGAAATGCTTGAATACAGTATGGCAGAGTGCCTGCAGAGTGCAATCCTTGAAGAACCCAAAGCTATACTATAGAATCCCTGGGCCCCGTCTTACAAAGAGTTGATATCAATCGCAACTATGTATAAGAGATATGAGACTGCAAACTTGCGATTGATTGGAGGACTTACGATTGATTTGGATCTATCATAACTCTTTGTAAGACGGGGCCCAGGAAATACTACATGAATCATGATATCTAAAGGGTTGCTCAATCATTATTTCCTACAAACTTGTCTACATTTATTACATTTGTGATTTTCTGTTTGTAATTTTCTTGCTTAGTGAGAACAAGTCAATGATCATGGACTGTGGAGAAGGAACGTTTGGTCAGCTGTGTCGTTACTATGGTGATAAAGTTGATGGTGTCATGGCCAGCATCCAGTGTATCTTCATCTCCCATATCCATGCTGATCACCATGCGGTAAGTATCTGTTTCAAACGGTTTTAGGACACCTCTCCCCTGGTCATCCACCCCTGGACATCCACCCCCCGGACATCCACCCCCGGACAACTATCCCTTGGACAAATACCCCCCATACATCTACCCCCTACGACAACCATCCTATAGGACACCTACCCCCCCGGACACTATCCTAGGGGGTAGGTGTCCGGGGGGGGGGGGGGGAATAGTTGTCCTAGGGGGTAGTTGTCCTTGGGGGTAGTTGTCTGGAGGTAGTTGACTGGAGGGTAGTTGTCCGGGGGGTAATTGTTGCGGGGGGGGGGGGGGGAGATAGTTGTCCGAGAGGGCAGTTGTCCTAGAGGGTAGTTGCCCTAGGGGTTAGTTGTCCTAGGGGGTAGTTGTCCTAGGGGGTAGTTGACTGGGGGCGGTTATCCGGGGGATGGATGTCTAGCGGGTAGGTGTCCGGATACGGTTTCAAACAAGTAGTCATTCATGCCAATTTGTATAACGTCTTTTCCACTGGATATAAAGCACATTGGACGCCACCCATGAGTCAGTGTTATAGTTAAAATCTTGACAAGTTATACTAAGCAGTGACATTGTGAGTTTGATGAATGCGTATGGTTTCAGAACAGATGTGTCTCCAAAGTCTGTTTGAATTGTACGTAGAGAGATGATCAGTACTACAAAATCAAAGAATAGTTTTGAAAGACATGCTGAAACTTTTCTTCTAGCATTCATTCAGAGTTAGATCCTCTTCCCTTTTCCCCAATGAATTGTTGTGATTTTGACTTTGTATTCTTTCATCCCACTTCAATGAGCACAAGATGAAAAGCTTCAATATGTCATTAAAAGCTAGAATTTATCTATTATTTTCTTCATTATTCCTCGTACATGATGTAAAATTAACAACAATTTTGTAACTTTTTGTTTTAGAAAATGGTCGGGAGAGTATTTATTATTTGATAGCATAGATATAATTTGCTCCATTTGACAAATACTGTACTCAGTTTGAGGGAATTATCATGACAAGTTGATTTTACTACCATTTTGTGTGTAAACACACAAAGAAATGTGAATGGGACAGCAGTATTATTTCTTTCCTTCCTTCCCACCTTTCATATTTCTATTTACTATTTCTGTGATCTTTTGATTTGCAGGGTCTAATCAATCTACTGAAACATTGGAAGAGAGTTACAGTAAGTATCATCTATGATTTGCTTAATCTTATTGAATAATCCACACATGTATGTAGATGCTTAAAGGTAAAGACCAGTTATGGTCATGCAATTGCATTGTGAAAGAAACGTGGAATCGATCAGAAAAGGTTGATCATCTAGCATCTAGCATCTGCAAGGTTCTGGAATCATCAAAATGATAAGAAATTTGGCCCATTCTTCGAAAAGTTACAAGCACTATACACAGAAAGATGTATATGTATACTACCCTATATCTCTCACAGACCATGAGAGAAACAAATTTACCAAATATATGAATTAGTAGGCGGTTTCCCGGCAAATTTTTTATCATCATGTATTAGTCAAAACATTCTTTCACATGATTGGTAATGAGAGCTTCCATTTCATTTTTTGAAATTGGGGCGTTTCCAATACTGGTCTTTATCTTTAACACACATGCTTATTAATCTCAACTTTCTTCTGGTGATGATGACAAAAAAAAAAGAAGCGAACTGTTACAGAATCCAACAAATTCACACTGAGTGGTGAAAGCTTCAAATAACAAATGTGTGTGAAACAAATTTGCTTTAAAATCCATATTAACTGTGTAATCAACAAAATATAATCAAGGCCATTGGTCTCTCAGAGCTGTGATAAAATTTTGTTGAAACTTGAAAGGTACTTGTTGTCAAATTTGTAATTTGAAACTTTAATCTTACTTTTAAATTACTAATTTGTAACTTTATTTTTTCTTGCATTTGGATCGAATTCAGATGATTCTGGGAGTTAATTAATTATGATTGGTCCAAAGAGGATGTTTATCTCTACTATGAGACACTAGCTTTCTGTCATATATTGTCATTATTAATCTTATACTTTTTTTCTTGAATTTGAATAGAAGTCAGATGATTCTGGGAACAATCTGATTCTGATCGGTCCGAAGAGGATGTTTATCTGGCTCAATCTCTTTGACCAGCACTGTGAGTCGTTCATCCATAGAACCAGGTAGGTCTGGATGTGATCCCATTTTCATAATAACATGAGTTTCCATGTGTTTGCATAGACCACCTTCTATTTACAACATACTTGTGTATCTTTAAAAAAAATACCTGGTATCCTTACTTTTCTAATTTCCCTTTCTTCATCGTTTTGAATTTGTTACGTTCTTGTTTCTTTTTATGGTATATTCATTGAAAATCTGTGTTGTAGCCATCAATTTGAATTGTACAAATTTGTACAAGTGATTGAATAAAAATGAAAGTAAGTGAATCTAGTTTATTTTCAAGAGAACTAACAAAAGCTGAGTGTGTCAGAACATCCAGGATTTAATACACTCCTATATAATTATTACAGTCCTAGGGAATTTGTTTTCATGGCTTTCTTTATATATTTTTGAAGGTTTGTGGAGCTAGCAGACCTGAACATCAACCAACAAGGAGAGAGATCAAGACATGAAGCATCACTGCTGTCAAGGTTTAATCTCAAAGAGGTAGGTAGATCACAACAAGAAAGATATGAAGGAGAAATTAGTATTATGAAAATTGTTTGCATTAGTATCTTTGGTAATAGACCAGTTCACTGTGAGCACATGTTCCAAATGACCCCAAATATCAAAAGATCTTCAAAACATGAAGAGGTCCCACTTTGTACATTTTGAAATAATCACTCCTACAGCGATGGAGGTGCTACATAAATAGCCTTTGTTTCCCATTTTCAAAGAATACTTTCACCTGTGTATCATGGAGTGCACTGCTTGTGCATAAATGAATAATGGTTACATAACTTTCATGAGCATGTATCCAGTATTTTGTCTCTGTGTATTTCACAATTTGGTCTGCAATGACCTTTATCTGCTCATGCTCAGACTGCAACCGTGAACTGGCTTATTTAAGCCCAGTTCTTATAAAGTATATGATACTTCGTATGTCCAATGTACCATCTTCTTTTTGCAAAAGATGAATTACCACACACAACAAAGTGTATATCAGTTTGAAGGTGTCTATATTGCGCTTAAGCATGTTTTTGTTTTTTTCATGCTGATTTATTTATTTATGCAACTATATTGTTAGATATAGCTGATATGAGGCAATTTCAAGGTGTATAGGCAGCATCTAATGATATGTTTGCTATGTCATACAGTTCAACACAGTGTATGTGAGGCATTGTGCTAATGCCTATGGAGTAACACTCACGCATCAAGATGGCTGGAAGATGGTCTATTCTGGAGACACCATGCCTTGTGATAACCTCATCAAAGCAGGTAACTTCATATATTAAAGGGGAAGTCCACATTGAAAATAAATTATTCAACAGTGATAAAATGCCATCCATGTTTTTCAAAATACTTCTACAATTAATATGCATCATTGAAATATTAATGGAATTTATTGTAATGAAAGAAAGTTTTTCGTTTAATTCATCTGGTAAGAAAAAAGACTTATCCCAGGGCAATTTTCCTCATCCATTCATGGGTGATAAGACATTTGATATTTTATTCAAATCTAAGCTATCAATTGCACTTTGATACAACATACAGGGAGACATATTTAGAAAAGACAGGTAAATAAGCACATTAACACAATGAAAAGTACATACATTTAAGAATTCAAAAGTTTATATAATTTGATAAAAAGAAGATCAGAAGCCTACAATGAATAACATATTTAAGTGTTTATCTTCATCAGCATATAAATTGGATAGTATTTATTGCACCATGAACTTCCATGGCTGCACAAAAAATGTTTTTTTTAAATAATTTTCAAGTCAGAATGTGATCTTATTTGTATTTTCCTGTTGATGTCAGCACCGCCATTATTCTTCCTTTAATCGACCAGGCCGAACTCACTTTGACTTTCATTTTCGATGTGCCTGCCAGTAGTTCCGCGTTTGTTCTTGTCAAATCCTCCACGATGGCTTGACCTGAGCCCTTTAATTTGCGTCTACTTCTTATTAGCTCTTCCTTTGATTTGTAGGACATCATCTTGGCTATGATGGCCTTTGGGCGCGAATCTGAAGATCGCGTCGTGTCGCGTTAGCAAATGAGCGATTTCCTTGCGGGTCCTGGATTGGTCCTTCCTGCGGACGTCCCGATACGCGATGCAAGCGGTCTAGATCAGTTGGAGCTAGATCTACCTCCGATGCTTCTTGCGATTTGACAGACCAACTGGTCGGGTGTTTTCATTCGGTGTCTCTTTAATACTTAGGATTTGAATATTATTACGCCTAGAATACTGCCGAAGCTGGTCTAACTCACGAGAAACTCGTGTTGTGTCTTCTGTAACCCTTTCCAATGACTCCTTCACAGCTTTGAACTCATGAAGCCTTTCTTTTACCGAAACCTCCAAGTCATGAAGGCGAGCAAGCTTTTCCTCAATTAGATCAGAGCTTCACTTCTCCATGTTGGTAACAAGGCGTACCAGATATAGATAAATCTTGATTCAAATTAATTGCATGATATTAATCATAACAGGAAAGGGAGCTGATCTGTTGATTCATGAAGCTACTCTCGAGGATGGTATGGAAGAAGAGGCAAAGAAGAAAAGACACAGGTAGGTTTACATACAAATTCTGTCATAATACGTTTGATGATTATTCAAGGCAACTTTACCATTACTACACAAGATGATGTCAGGGATTAAATGCCCTTCTGACCAGTATGTTTCAACTTTTTCCACATCAGTCTCACACACTGCTTTAATAAAACAATTTCTCATGAATGAATGTTCAGTCTCACAAACAGAATGTGGTTTATTTTCATTACACTCCATGTAAAAGTGATGTTAAATACTGTAGGTCTTTACCAAGACCCATATCATGACTCAATAAAAGAAATATTTCCCATGTCATGGTTTTCTAGTTTCTTCAATAGAGACATTAATAGAGGATATTGAATTCATAATCCTTACCATTTTTTAAAAATGTGATATGTTAGAGCATGAAATATTTCCATTTCCATTTTAAATAGTGCAATGTATCATTTGTCTTGGAACTAGTATATACAGTCAAACCTGTCTATAGCGACCGCCCAAGGGAAAGCAAAAAGTGGTCTTTGAAGACAGGTTCCTTTAGTTCATGTATCAATGAGAAACGGTTTTTGAGAGAAACAAAAAATATGGTCTTTGTTAAGTTTTTAGACAGGTGTTCACTAAAGCAGGTTTGACTGTATATTAAAGTAGGAGCTGACATTTATTCTAGCTCTTATTTCATGAATTACCACCTTCAATATATGCACACTGTAATATATATGCACACTTTATATATATATGCACGCTTTTTGTGCACACTTTATATACATGTATGTGCACACTTTAATATATGCACACTTTATATATATGCACATTTTATATGTCTCTTCTGATAGCATGATCTCCCAGGCCATTGAGGTAGGCCAATCCATGGAGGCCAAGTTTCTGCTCCTGACTCACTTCAGTCAACGCTACCCCAAGGTACCCCTCATTGAGACGTCCTCCACCAGCAAGATAGGCATCGCATTTGATAACATGAGGGTGAGTAGAGGAACACTGCGTCAGCCATTTTTTATTTGTACACAAAATAAAATAATTTGTATGAAGGTACCAGCCTCAGACTCATTGTAGGATTCTTGTTATTTCCTGGATTCTTAATTTCTTGTAACGTGTAGGATTTTTCTCTTTCATTTTGTTGCGTAATACCGTAGTTTTGGATAATGACTTTCAAGTTTATAGTGTCAAAATACTGGAGTCTGTATAATTCATTGTATTAATGATGACAAAATGTGACTTACATATTGTTCTAAAATTTCTAGTGTATCAAAAAGTGGGGGATCAGCTCTTAACAGTCAATATGTTGTAGAAAAGAAGCGTGAACAGGCAAATAGAATGTATTGTCAGAGAAAAAACAGAAACAACCAGACAGATGTTGATAGAGATAGACTGACAGATAAAGGGATATGATAGTTCTGAAAAAGACATTAATTCAGACAATGAAACATAAAGATGTAGAGAAATGCAGACAAAGAAAAAAGAGAGAGAGAGAGAGAGAGAGAGAGAAAGAGAGAAAGAGAGAGACATAGAGAGAGAAACACACAGACAGACAGACAGAGAGAGAGAGAGAATGACAGACAGGGAGACAGACAGACAGACAGACAGAGAGACACAGAGAGAGAGACAGAGAGACAGAGAGAGACAGAGAGGGTGGAAGAAGAGTCATTAAGATCATAGGCAATCTCAGCCCAGGAGAAGCATGCTGGTATTAATTTGTCAATGGTTCATGCAGAGTATCATTCTTCCCAGCGAGCCCCCATGAAGTGTTATAATTAATGAGTGGAGCCAGAGCTCTCCCATTTATTCAAACATCCATTTCTTTTCCCTTTTTTTTTAATTTATAGGTTTCATTCTCCGAGCTTGACCTGCTTCCTCAGTTCCTTCCGACCCTCAAGTATCTCTATGCAGCTGAGATCCAGGAATTAGAGGTCCTCCGGGAAAAGAAGGCAGAGAGGAAAGTCATCAACAAACAGATGACAAAGAAGAAGATGCCTTCCACATCATGACATATGTGAATGGAACCAAGATTCTTTGCTATCATCATCATCTATAACTTTCCAATCAACATCAAATGCCCTCTTTGATGGAAGCTGGAACACTTGAAAACTTGTTACCTGAAATTACTCTATGAATGGAACCAAGAAGATACCTTCCACATCATGACATATGTGAAGAGGCATGATTCCTTGCTATCAAGATCTATAACTTTCCAATCAACATCAAATGCCCTCTTTGATAAAAGCTGGGACACTTGAAAATTTGATACCTGAACCTACCCTGCATCAGGGTTAAAGTAATGTGTTTGTCTTGTGGTAATGATTCTGTACCAGCTGACAGTTTGAAACTCTCATCCCAAATATACAAAATAAAAAATTGAACTGGTACATGTTTGTGTTAATAACTCCAACATAGAATTTATGAAACACTCATCCCAAATTTTCATTAAAACGTTGGCCAATTCCAGGAGGGGATTGGTCTGGTTTTTAAGTGAGTTACAATAACCCTGGTTAGCTACTGAAATCATTGCTTTTTTTTATAGAAATTTGACTGATAAAATGTGTTTTGAAACAGGGCCCAGATTTGCAAAAGTTGCACGCCATACAATAACTGAATCACAACACTGAACTAGTATAGGGATGCTTTTATTGAAGAAAAAATTGGCCTTTATAAACAATTAACAGAAGTTTCATTAGATGAAAGTTCCTGGTACATGCATTACAATGTACCATGGGAAATTGTTCAATACTTGATTTTCCCCTTGGTTCGAACATTGAAGAGTATTTAGTAAATAGTGTAAGATAAAAGTCCCAAATTTAATTTGCTGATTTTGGATTAGTTTTCATGATACAATTAGAAAGCCAAATGTGAGAAGTCTGTTTTAATGTCTTTGTATAACAAGAATATTTTTGAGATGTTTATACATGTATTTATATTGAAGATAAATCAGAGAGTAATAAAATGACATGAAATATTCCACTATATCAGATTTGAAAGTGTTTTCTTTATTGAATACAACATTCACCATATGGAATGGTCAGTGAAAACAATACAAAATTCAGCATTTCATAAATACAAAGTGATAAATTTACAGAAAAACAAAACAAACAAAGAACAATTTGTTTTAACTTGGTAAACTCAACTGTTACGGTTAAATTCTGATCTGAAAAGTGACATAAAGTTATTAACACTTAAAGGTTATAAAGGGTAAACAGATATTCATAATGCTCATTCAGATGTAAGGTGACATGCAACAAATGGGAGAATATAAATAGTTCCATGCAATTCAAAATTTAAAGTACATAACTCTGTTATCACACATGGAACTGTAATCTTTGTGTAAAGGTAATTGTACAAGTTCAAAATATTCTGGGTTAATAAACTACACCTGACAAAATGTAAGTAGTTTCCAGGCAAAATTCAAAAAGGAATGCAGGAATGTTCATACATGCAGTATCAAAAGAACCATCATATTAACATCTTTCATCTGTAGTTGGCATTAAACAATACCTTCTTTGCATCAGAAAATAGTTGTGTACTCAACAACAGTGTGTGTATTTGCCTCGTGAAGAAGAGGTCACAAGCTTTGAGCAAAAGAAGTAATTTTACAATGAAAAGAAGATATGTTCACCTTTCCACAATCACAGTGTACCAAAGTTCTTGTTTATGAAAATAATTCATGCACATACATACGTCATGCACAAGAATAGATGAAAGTATTTATTGTAACTTCCATTTACAGCATACAGTTCATATTATACGGCTTGTAATAATGATAATAACAATAGTGGAGTCTTATATAGCACACATGTTTGGCACATTGCCACTCCTGGCGCTCCATTTTCATTACCCTGGCTTTAGCATGGCTGCCCTTACGGTAGCAATATGAAGTTGTTGAATACCAAACACCACTACTCTTTTGTATACAACAGTAGCAGAGGTTCATTATCCACCCTTTACATATTTAAACTAATTTCTGACATAAGCACCTCCATTCCATCCAAACGATCTACACTCTTTGGCTTTTTACACATGCACACATCTTGATAAGATTACTTAAAGTACAAACATCACACAATTTTATGTACAATGGCTTTGAAATCATTTTATGCAATTTTAACCATGCAAGTGTCATTGACAATCTTGCAAATTGAAAATTGATTATGGATTTAATCCAGTAGCCAGCAAGGCTTGAATTGATTAAAAATAGTTGTTTAACTTTATATGCACTGTCCCACATATCTTTTCAGAACAAAGGCAACATCAAGATGCAGATATGTTGATCTTTGAAGGGTCAAACTCCGACCCTTGGAATGGTGACCCCTCAGCATTCCAGGCTTTCCTTAGAATGTTTTGTGTTTCCTAGAGTGAATAACCAAAAAAAAGGTGACATGTCAAAAAATACAGTTACAAGTCTCTCAATATGAAAATGAAATGGAGAGTATGATAAATGATTTGGGTAATTATAATCTGTTCTTTTTAATTTAAAAGGGTCCTTATATACATGATGCAATGAAAATAGGTAACAACGTTTTTGGAAAATTATGGATGACTGACGGAATGCCAGCTATACTTTTATATCATTTATAAATTGGTTTACAAATATATTTCACTTGAGCTTAGGAAGATGATTGGAGTTTTAATCTTGTCTTGCGCATTTGAAATACTTGATTACCTTTCCTGACAGACAAAAGACTAGTTTAAAAATTATCTAATAAGCTTTAGCATACAGAATGTATAAATCCTTAAAAGCCTATCTGCACTAGTTTGACCAGGATGGATTAGACTTCCCTGCATGGTCACTGGCAGGTGATTATCTCATCAAATCAGCTCTCAATTAACATTAACAAAAGGGGACCATGGGGGACCAATGGTCACCAATTAGACATTGTTTGCTATATAGAGGGTGCAAGTAGCTATAAGTAGTGCAGTAGGGGGGCTTTAATACCTCTTCTTTACTGGATGGTTGACCCTGTCTCTTGCGTTCCATGTCATACATGACACGTTGGTAGTCTGCCTGGGAGTCGTCGTCCATCTCATGTACATACTGGGTATTATCAATGCTCTTCTGATCGATCTCTGGCTCACCTTCTAAAACGCCCTTCCACCACATCTCTCTCCTCTTCTCAAAGTTCAGCTAATGAAATGAAATGAAAATTAATTCAATAATAATAATAATAATAATAGCTGGTTTTTATATAGCGCTTTTCAGGACCGAAGGCCCTCTCAAAGCGCTCAACAGATATATATATTATTACCCTGGTCATCAGATTCAGGCTTACCCGCACACAATGTATGCACATTCTCCACTCCCAGGGGAGCATTTCTACAAGTGCACACTTGCTAATCTAGGTCAGAAGTACATGTAGTGTGGATGGTTGGGTTTCTCTTCACTAAATTGTTGTACTTCTTCCATCATGTTACAATATCAGCTTCAAGACAAGGGTATTGAATCAAATATAGATGCTGACCATTTTCTAATAAAGAATTTCATTTCGGATGGATGAAAATAGATGTTTCCATGGATTATCAAAAATGGTACTTGGGTGTGGGAAGTGCCAATAGGCCAAGTTTTCTTTTCCTCTCAACAATCCTCAGTCACTCTTATTCTCTTCTTTAAAGGAATGAGAGGGGCTTAGTAAGTTCATTTCACATTAAACCTATGCAGAAGCTGCAATCCCTTTCAAAATAATTTGCTAATATGTGCTATCCAGATCTGTTGATCGATGCACATTGTCATCATTGTCCTTACCTGCACACAGTTTCCTGGATCCAAGCTCCAGATAGTTTCCTCTCCTTTGATGTTCTCCTTGAGTTTACCTTCAACTAAAATCTTCCCACCTTGTCC